TTTTAAAAGTTATTATAAATAAAAGTTAAATTTAAATAAATAATAATTTATATATAATATAAGTATAAAAATATTAATAAACTTATATATTTAATATATTTTAATATATTTATAATAATTAATAAAGTTAAATTTATTAAATAAATAATTAAATTTAAACGAAAAATGAAAATTAAATCAATATATATATTTAATATACCTAATATAACTATAATATATTAATATAAGTAGTATAGCTATAGGGTTAATATACTTTTTATAATGTTAATTTTTAATTTTTATAAATTATTTACATTTTTTCCGGAAGTTTTTACATTTAATATTTAAATTACCCTTAATATATTTTATTAATATATAATTATTACCAATATATAATTATAATTTTAAAACCTATTTTAATTATATCTTAAAAAAACAACTATAATATAATTAAATCAATTTAAATTAATTAGAATTTAATTTATTAAATGTTTTTATATCTATTATATATATATATATATATTATAATTAATATTACTATATATATTATAACGATATATATATTTAATTACCCTTATTTAATAACTATTACCTTTATTATTTTTTTAATTTATAATATTATTACCTTTTTTAACAACTTAAAGTTCTATTCCTTTAGCTTAAATAAATACTCCTTTAACCTATAAACGTTTATTTTTAATTCTTTAACGTTTATTAAAAATATTATTAACCTTTTTAAGCTTAATAACTTTATTTAATAATAATATTTACTTATAAATTATTTAATATATAGCTTTTAATAAAAAAGTTATAATATTAATAATTTTAATTAAAAAGCTATTTTAATACTTTTTAATTTAATCTTTAAAATAAATAAATTATAAAATAGCTTCTTTAATATTAATAAGGATCTTTAAAATTTAAATAGTTAAAAGTAATTTAAAAGGTAATAATAATATAAAAGTAATTAAAATAATTTTTAATTAAAAAATTATAACTTAAAGATTAAAAGCTATAATATTAATAACCCTAAATTTATTAATAATATTTTTAAATATTATTAACTTTATATATACCTCAAAAAATATTAAAAAAAAGTTCTCTTTAAAAATATATATTATATTTATATATATAAAATTATTAATTTTAATATTATAAGCTTTTTTTAATAAATTAAAATATATTATATTTAAAGATTAAAGTTTATAAAAGAAATAAATAAATATTATTATAATATAAATACTATTTTTTTAATAATATTTTTTAAAAACCTTTAAATAGTAACTTTTATAACTATTAAGAATAAAAAGGCATTTTATATTAATTAAATATAATTTAATATATTTATTAAAATATTTAATCCATTTTAAATTAAGTTTATTATTAATCTAACTATTTTTTAAAACTATAATATATTAATTAAATAATATAAAGATATTATAATATTAAAATATTAAATAAGTTTTACCTTATAAAATAAAAAAAAGCAATACTATTTAACTATAAAAATTAATTAAATAAATAGCTATAAATTAATTCCAATTATTAAATTAAACTTATTTAAACCTATTTTACCTTTTAATACTTATTATAAATCCCATTTTATTAAAATTATAAATATCCTTTTTTATAATACCTTCCTATTTAATAGTTACCTTTATATATTTAAAATATATATTCTATTTATTAAGATTTTTATAAAGAACTTAATTATAATTAATTTAACAATTTAAATACACTTTTATAATAAATATATATTATATAAAACATATAACTTAATTTAATCCAATAAATATACCTTTATATTTAATTAATAATTAATTAACTATATTTTAAATATAATATATCCGGAAAGGAAACATTTATATATTTAAATTAATAATAAATTTAATAATTAATTTCTTTTCAATTTTAATAAGTTTTTAAATAATAAGCTATTACCTATATTTAAATATAATTTTAATAATTTAATAACGTAATATAATGTTAGGAATATAATACATCTTTATAAATATTATAATTTAAAAATAAAGGTCTCATTTAAAAGTATATATAGCAGCTTATAGCTTAATTTCTTTTAACACATTATCTATTATTATAAATAAAAAAAATAAAAGTTAAAATATAAAAGGTAAAAAGTTTTAAAATTATAACTATATATTAATAATAACTATATATTAATAAAATATATTATAGCTTAAATAATTATTAAGTGGAAGGTTGGCAGATCTATTATAACTTTAACTTAAACTACCCTTTTTATTATTATTATTATTATTATTACTACTTAATATAAATAGTATTAATAGTATTAAAGGCGCTAATAGTATTAGTAATAATAATATAAGTACTTTATTATTAATATACTCTTTATTTATATCTTTATTATATTTAAATAATAATAATAATAGTAATACTTTACCTTTATTACTATATATAATATAGTTATTCTTTTAAGCTTAAGCTTTACCTTTACTCTTTTTACCCTTAAGAGGTATAATTTAAATAATAGTAATAATAATATAAATATAATAAAAAAAGAAAGGAAAACAAAGTAGAAATAAAAGTAATATAAGAGTTTTTAATTAAAACTAATTTTTAAAATTAATAATAGTTAAAAAAAAAAGAAAAAAAAAAGAAAAAAAGTTAATAAATAATTAATAAAAATATATATATAAATTATAAAATAAATATAAATTTAATACCTATATACCTTTATTATAATAATGCTTTATATAAATAAACTATATTTATATATTTATTATAATATTTTATATTATATACTTATATAATTAAACTTTTTATTTTATATTTAATTAATAAATTAATTATATATTAGGTTAAAGATAACTTAATTAAGGAAAAAGAAATAATTATTATATTATAATATCTTAAGGCCCTTAAAGTATATATACTTTATATATATTATATATCCTTTTTATATATACTTTAAAGAAGATTTTTCCTTTTTTTAAACTTTAATTTTATTAAATACCTATTATAAGACTGAAGAGACTTATAATATTATACTTAACCTTTAAGATTTAACCTACCTATAACAGCTTTATTTATTAAATTAGGGTTATTGGAAGATTTTAATAGCTAATTTTAAGTTTATTATTTTTTTCAAGATAAATTATATTAGCTTTATCCTTAAGCTATTATTAAAAACTCTTTTTAATTTAAATTTCTTAAAAGAGTATTAACTTTAATTATTTATTTATATATAGGTATATTATAATTAATAATATTATAGACAACCTTAAAGGAAAGCTTTAAAATTATTATAAATAGATTAAATCTTAAAGGTTAAGTATAATATTATAAATCTTTTTAATTTTATAATAAATATTTAATAAGATTAAAGCTTAAAGAAGGGAAGAATTTCCTTTAAAGCATATATAGGAAGGGTATATAATATATATAATATATATATATTTTAAGGGCTTTAAAATACTATAATATAATATTAATTAAATAACTATTATTATAATTAATACTTTATTTATTTATTTAAAAGTTAAACTAATTAAAAAAAAGCTTTATAATAGTTAAATAAAGTATTTATTTTAAATATATAGTTAAAAAACCCTTTTAAATAAAAACTTTTAATTTTTAATAACTATAATAGCTATATAACTATTAAATTTATAACTTAATATCTTTTAAATTATATATATTTTATTTTTTTACCTTTATATTTATTTTATATACTTTAATTATATAGTTTAAGCCTATTTTTAATAGTTAAATATATATATATATAAAGATTTTAATAAATATTTATATTAAATATTATTAATTATATTTAAGTAAATAAAAATTTATTAAAGCTTTTATAATAATTTATTAAAAAGTAATAATATTTAAAAATATTCTTATTAGATTTAAAATTATTAATATATAGCTTTATAATTAATTAAAAGCTTTAAATTTATAGCTTATATAAGGTAATAAATTAAATAATTTAAAAGAAATAATAAAAATACTTATTATATAAAAAAAAATATTAAATCTTTATAATATTTTTAATTTTATATTTATTTTAATACTTTAAAGTTTATATTAATTAATTATAATTATAAAAACTATATAATTTAATATATTAAGCTTTAATAAGCTTATCTTTTATATATTATTTTATAAGGTTAATAAAAGCTTTAACCTTTAAAGTATTAAAATAGTTAAATTAAAGTAAAAAAATAATAAATTAAAAACTTAATTATAATATTTATAGTTTTATAAATAAAAATAAGTAATTTTAAACTTAGATAAATTATTTATTAATATTTAAACGGTTTTAAAAAGTAGGGGTATTTAATAAATATTAAAAGAGTAGGCCCTTATAATAACTATATTAAAAAATAATAAAGAAATAATAAATTTAAACTTTAAAAGTAACAGAGAGGTATAAAATTGCATTACAATTACGATACCGCTATAAATAATAAATTAGCTTTATTAATTATTAAGATATTAACTATAGAAGTTAGATGGCGTGCTAAAGTGAGGCTTCGTTTTAGGTGGGTTGATTGTGGGGTGGTTCGTAGGTGGGTGGTTAGGCTTATCACACAACGGAATAATCAGAAGAGGATCGCCCATCCTCCCGCTCCCGACCCCGACCCCTACCCGACCTTGGCATACATCAGGGTCATTGGCGCAGCTGAAACAAATTGAGGATTTATTAAAACCTATCCTGCATGGTAGGCTAGAGTCTACATGGTATATGTGCCTCATTGTGGCTGCTGCACACAACCTGCCTCGTCAACGCGAGCCGGATTGACGCGATTCTAACCCCCAACGACCCCTGTAACCGTTCATGCGTTCAGACGAAAGGGGAAGGTCTTTCTATATTAATAACTTTCTTAAAGCCAGTACCCTCCATTGGTGCGCAATCGGAGGTCGCACAGCGAGTATCGTCATAAGATGCATTGTCTGATACTCGACTTGACTCTTGAGGACCCCATTGAAGAAATGATCTAAAATGCTCAAGGGAGAGGGGTTAGAGCTATATAGCTGCTTTTAACGGTATACCGGAGAAGTCGGCTGCACCTCACTTCAACTTTTGAAAACACGACCCCTTTTCACGCCTCAGCACCGACTTTTTGAGTATGCAACGGAGCTTGCACGGCATTAAGCTATCGATACTACAAGGCAATGCTTTGACGAGTAGGTGTCCGGAATTCTTCATTTGGCATTCCTATAATCATCCACGTCCTGCTAGGTAGTCCTCCACTTTATACGATAATCACTTGACAGTCATAGCACGACAGGCTTCCACCGCGCACGCCCACGCTTCTGTTTTTCCTGCTTCAGCTCAGATTGTACGTGAGATTCTGCGGGTAATCGGTGGAGATTGCCCCAGAATAATGCAGCCGCTGAGCTTTTTCCATCAATGAGTGGTGTATCGTAGTCCTTGCTTAAAGAAGGGTATGGATTTTCAATCTGGTAAGACCTTTGTGCCTCGTGCCTAGATATCTTGTCTTCTCGCTGAGGCGATCGTGAAGAAAACACTTTCTTTGAAATATCCTCGCCTATCCACGGTGAAGGGAGCACAGTGAGCGGAGATGCTTCTTCCTTAATAACTGTGTTGTTCTTAGTAGGATCTTGTGCCTTAGATGTACGGTTGACTTCTTGTATCTGTCCTGGAGACACATTTGGTGGTATAGGATAGACGGAGTTGCCTACCAGTGACTTGGGGTTCTTGTAAACCCGAGGTTTGGTAGTAGAGTGAGCTTGTGACTCTGTTGTTCGAGTCGTATGTTCCGAAGGCTTCCGCGCGTGTAATCGTGGAGGCCGCGGGACCCGTTCAGGTACGGCTGCATCAAACATGTCCCGCACTGCTTGAATGGGATGTGACTTAGCTAGTTCCCGTGGAGTCGGCTGTTACATGCTAATATCTGGATCAGCTTTATAGAGACATAATATTCTCAGTGTTTGCAACACATCATTATCCCTGTCTGCATTCATATGTTTGAGGGCTTCATGGAGAGGTGTGCACCCTCGGTCATCGAGAACATTAGCTGATGCACCAGCGTCCAGGAGGTAGGTTACCATGCTTTTATAGGCGAAGCGACAGGCTATGTGCAGCGCGGTTGACTTCAGGGGCACATGTACGATCGGGCTTTTATCGGTAGAGCGCTCCAGGATCATGTGAAAGTCTCTCTCGCTCTCTTGCTGCAGAGCTGCATAGAGGAGTGTGTAGCCGTCCTCATTAAGAACGTGAGGGTCCAGCCCTTTTGATAGTAGAAAAGAAAATATACCTGGAACTTTTCTTGCGGTCGCAAGATGCAAAGCAGATTCCCCTCTATGGGTGCAGTCAACTGATTTCTAACATCCTGGGTGGCATTCATGCCTGAATGTTGTTTGTGTTGGTAAGTGAACATCACATTTATACACCAGAAGCTCAGTAAGAATTCTCGGTACTCTAGACTCCCAGGATTTCGTGTCTAGTCTTACTCCGAATTAATATGTAAAGTCGTTGGCAAGCGCTGGAATCCGTGGAAGAAGTAATTCGTGCATCGCGTTGAGTCCGTATGGACTATAGGCGTTTGGGTTGGCACCTTTGACTAAGAAGGAACTGAAGGTTCGCGGCAAGACGTAGCTACAAGCGATTCTAAGGGACGCATCAATTTTGTCCTGCGTACTGGTAGGACCTATGGATAAGGCCTGGCACAGAGGCATGAGCTTTGGACGATTGTATCTTGATTCACTCAGGTCCACGCCAGACTTCAGTAGATAAGCAGCAACGTAAGGTGAATCGACAGCAAGAGCACTTCGAAGATAGCGAGGCATATTGATCCGTTTCTTGATGCCCATCCCACCGTCCAGAAGGGTTTCACTATATGGATTAGTAACTGGTCAAACCAAATGATACTCAAATATCGTACCCCATTAGCCCCAGAGTCATTCTGTGATTAACAATACGGTCTATAATCGATGAGGTGTCGCTGCAAATTGCGCCTCCCAGGAACAATCCCAAAGTGGTTTGTCTATATCGTGCATTTCGTGTCCTGGCGCAGCCCCGATCGAATAGATAAGTCAAAAGCAAATCGCGGGTGCGTTTATTTAGGTTCAAAATTTTGCTAATATATTTCAGCTGGTCAAGTTTCTCGACTATTTCGAGAAGAAGCTCGTTAGCCAAGCTAAGAAGCGATGTTTGCCGATCAGGCATCTTTCAGAGGCCAACGAAGTAGAGCATAGGGGTAAGGGAAAGATGAGGCACTGCAGCCTTCTCCAGGTGTCTGTGGGATGTGCCACGTTTTGTTCATTCGCCTGCGGGCACCTGGCTACTGGGGTTTCAATCCCAGGAAGATTGGCTCAATAGGTGTCACGAAAGGGGCCGTGGCATTCTGTCATAGTGTTGAATATGACACCTGATTGGTGTTTTGCTTCGCGAAAGTGATGCGTTACCACATGTTACGCGCAGTCCACGGTACTTTTCGGTGTGACGTCAGAGACTGTATGACTAGGTTAATCAGTCTTGCGAGATGTGCAGTTATACCGGTATATCCAGGGCCATGTACAACGATCCTGTGTGTCTGTAGCCCTAGAATCGCGACATATACTGCCGTGACAAATAGTTATTATGACGATTAAGAGCTAGAGTCGTATATGATAATGCATGAGCCCGACGAGTCATACTGGACATGCGTTATACATCATTGAATTACGGATGTGATAGGATAATTCTATATGAGATTACTTAGAAGTAACAATAAGGTTGGCCTCGATGGGCAACGTTGCAACTATCCTTCTTTGTGAGCTAACACTAACCACTACGTCAATGTATAACCACCGTCGATAATGATGTCCGCTCCAGTCATGTAACAGCACGCATCGCTCGCAAGGAATACGTAGGCCTACGTGAAACGAAGAAGTAATGTGAGCTCAGAGTCATTCGCGTCGCGCAGTTCACCGGGGTCAAGAGTACATACACCTTTGAGCTCAGCAGCGTCGGCAATGCGCCCGCCGGGAACCATAGATAACCACTTTTCCATCCTCTCGGGAGGTTGTGTCGTGATCACTGATTCCACTTAAGTCACAATTCACTTTAGACCCCAAGGAGAGATAACTTACTTTCAGTCACGATAAAACCGGGGGATATAGAGTTCACTCTAGCGAAATCTGCCCATTCCACTGCTAGACTCTTACCCAGATGGACTGCGGCAGCCTTGGAGGCGTTGTAGGCAGCCTGGGTCTGTGGTATGTTGACGAGTGTGGCGCTGACGGACGATGTGATGATGAGATTGCCCTTCCCCTGTTGTTTGAATATCTTGCCCGCAGCCTGTGCCGTCCACATTACGCCGTCTAGATTCACGGAGTTGTTACGACGCCATGTCTCTTCGGTGTACTCGAGACCTATCGCGATTAGAGTTAGCGGTCAGCTGCATGTTACAGGTCCCAAATCAAGTTCTGATCAAGGTTATTCCTTGATAATCAACCTGAACTTACATGGAATATGGTCGCAAATTCCAGCATTAGCCACCACGACATCTAGCCGACCGTTTCCAAATTCTTTCGCAATCTGATTGATGACAGTCTCAGTGTTTTCACGGTCCGCTACGTTGCATTGATATGCCTCGACACGGACTCCAGTCTCTTCAGCGATTTTAGCCGCTGTCTCGCTAGCATTTTTGCTCGACGTGTACATGAGAGCGACATCTGCGCCGGCTTCGGCCAGGCCTCGGACTATCTCGAGACCGATACCTCGAGCACCACCTGTCACGGCAGCTATCTTGCCTTTCAGCGAGAACTGTGTTAAGACTGGCGCATTTGCATTGGGGGATTTGTAGAGAGGCATTGTTGGGTATCCTTTCCGAGGGTAGGTATCAGCTTAACCTTAGAAATGACTAACAGGTCAGAAGTGAGAATGAGTGTAAAGCACAGTCGGTTCCAGAAGGACTTCTAATAATGACCAAAAAAACGAAAATTGTCTACGATTAGAAGAACTAGGTCAGAAGGCACACCAAGAGATGAATACTGCGAAAAGTCAAGATGAAAGGTGTTTCAAAGCACACGTGTTATAATAGGTAGCACCAAGCCATTCGGACAGGCTCGGCCAAATATCGAGCTCCATTTCAGCCCACACTCACCCACATACACGTCGTATTCTCTTTATTTCCTCGAGACGTCGGACATGGACAATGAGGGGCAAGGCCAGATGACAGAATGGCATTGGAGTCGATTAATTTCCCAACCCCGCCCCCGCCATCCGTCGCGTTCTTGTGAACCCCGCACTAATCTGGATTGAGAGACACTTACCCCGCGTCCCTGGATATCGTCTTCGGGAGGCGTCTACGTCATACCTCATTTAACAACTCTATTTCCGACTCTGTCACGATCCTAGGGATACAGGTAAAGAGACTCTCTTTACCTATAAACCTATAGCCTAGGAACGAAGCTTTCGAAGGCCATACAGGACCCCATGGTACGCAGTACTCACAGACTACCTAGCCAGGAAGCCCGTGAGGAAGAGGCTATTTAGAGAGAAAATAGCCGCACCTGTGCTTGGCCATAAGGGAGCCTCAGACATCGCTGGTTCGTCTATTATCTATTTCGGATACTCCATCGCTCGTACCGACTCGATGTCGAAGCCCCTAGTTTCTCTTAAGCGCGCCAATGAGCAGTTTGGTCTAAAGGTAGGCTCCCAATAGCAAGACGCTAGACCACCTAGTAGCGTACCGAGGTCTTGGCCAATTCAAATATAACTACATTATGTATGAGTCTCATATAAATCACACCAGCACTCGAAATAATAGTGTGTCTATACGAAGCTTCTTCAACATGTGGGAGTCGTGGGTTCTAGTGAAGTCTGGGATCGTGGGTTGTACAGGCTATAGAGTCACGTGCGACAACTCGGAAACTCGTGGCCGCGAGTAAATCATCGTGATGTGCTTGTGATAAAGTGTTCATTAGCCGCCGATGTTATTTACACTTCCACTTAACCGAGTAATATAGCATTTCAGGCCCTGGACAGGCAACTTAGGTATGAAATAGCAGTTTCCTGTGTAGAGATATATGAAAGTGCAAGGGCTTTGGACCTCTACTTTCTATGTGAATACAAGTGTCGTAAGACTTGGCCGTAGTTTCCGCTCCGATTGCATAGTATGATGTAATCCTCCAGAGAAAAAATGATACATCTACTCGTCTGCCCAATGAATGACGCAGGTACAGTCACGGCTAGCCTAACACATGAGGTATGAGAAATTCCAATGGTATCCAGCATGTTTCTACAGTCATGTCTCCAGGTAGGGCCGATATGGAACTTGTCGCACAGTCATATTCCATTTTGACTATGTGTCTCCAGCTGTTCCCTTCCGCTGTCCCAATGTTCGCTAATATCAGCAATGCTGTGACCCTGCTCCTCCAAGTAAATAATTCATCCTCAAAATCAGCCAATGCCACTCTCTCAGGCGCACTATGCATCCATTTATACATGAAAATGATGATACATGACCCAAATTTCCCTTCAGAAGAATTCCGAAATCGTTCGAAATCCGCGTATAGAACAGTCCAAGATACACAGCTCTCTTTAGAAGTTCCGAAGATGTCATTGTCACAGCCCACCCACATACCGCCAATTCCTCACCCATTCACTCATTGCGGTGATTAACCCACGACTGAGCTACCTCATAAAGGGTACGGTAGAATTTTAATTCTTCCGACCCTCGGTGCTCCCAGAATTCCCAATGGTCCAATACTTTCTCCAGCATCTTGATGTGATGGGGTTCGATGTCCAGAGCTTCCGAATGCGAAAGCACAACGAGATGGTGCCAAGCCATGATACGCTGGAGGGTATCTTGCACATCCGCATGAAGAGCGTCTCGAAGCTTCCTAACTTCTATGGCGCCATCTTCATCCCCCAGCTCAACACATAATTTCTGGGCTCGTTCGAGGCGATCATCGATTATACAGCTTCTTCGAAGCTCCCAGCCGTTAGGGTGACTGATGGTATTTCGCATCTCAACCACTGCCATCATCGCATTGTACGCCCTCCACCCAGAAGCTGAAGAGCGGCTTACCCACTCCAGTAGTTCATTCCGCCCAAGCCCGATGAGATGTGGGCCGTCCGCGAAATCTGCCCCGATGTAACCCATTCCGTTCTTCCATGCGTGCCATATCGAAGTTTGGACAATCTTGGCAGCCTTGCGAAGATAGCGTAGATTCGTCTCGCTATTCGTCATGATAATGTGAAGAATCCCATCAAGCGAATCGTCTAGTCGTGTTCGTTCAGCCAGCCCCGGCGTGTCGTCTGATTCTTTCTCAGAAGACTCAGAGAATTGTTGCGACGAGGGCTCTTCAATTTGCCAGCCTTGCTCAATGATAGACACCGGTTCTGTAGAGGGTGAATCGTACCCAGAATCAGACCCATATTGCCATTCTGAGGTTTGAGGCTTTCTACAGCTTCGAGGTGTTGTTGTTGTTCTTAGCAGTCGCGCCTGTCTATCGTCTATATTCGCCCATAATCGATACCTTGAAGCTTCTGTCGAATCCATAAAGCGGGATCGAGCGTGAATGGGGTTGCCGCAGAAGATTGGCACCCCATCAACGTATATATAAGGCTTTCCATTAACATGGACAGCCTTGCGTGGCTTGTCGTTGGGAAGCGCCACGTTCTTCTCCTTTTGTCGTGACGACGCTGTTGATGCTGTAAAGTTTGGGCGCTCAGTGTGTACAGGATTAGGCACAGGGGCAGGTCTCGTCATTGCACGAGCTCTTAGAACGACATTTTCTCCCCTGAGCCGTTTATTTTCCGCTTCAAGCTCGGCGATCTTATCGCGAGCCTCTTGGAGGCGATCGGAATGTTGACTGATATATTTCATGGTGTATATCGAAGGCCAGGTGTTTCGGGAATTTGACGTCGGTATGCAGTATAGGACTGGGTGAAAGGGGGAAATGGTGTTGATCAATGAGTAAGTACTCTGAGGTACGACTTCGGAATGCTGTCGAAGATAGTATACAGTGAAGGACTTTGAGGGAAATTCTGTAGATGATGATGTTTACAGTCTTTCTAGTAAGGACAACAAATGATCAACAGATAGTAGAATCTAGGTCACTATGAAAAAAAACCCTATATCAAGAAACTTTGCTGTGTATCTTATATAAGAATGTTGAAATTCCAGGTTTTAGGTTGCCCCATGCGTCTATCGCTGAGCCCATGGAAGCGAATGGCATATATTGTTGTTATAATTAGTATTTCCATTGAGCTTGCATTCTGCAGCTCGACATTCTTGTTTCTGGGGCGCCATTCAGCTAATTCCCATTCACAACGTATGAAATACAGGAACCGGCACCATATGAATAGTAACATTCTGCCATGTATAGAAGGCCATTCGCCACCTATTCATAACTGCACTAGTGACTTTCACCACGTATCTCATGAATGGATGAACCGCGATAGTTAGCCCCATGGGACAAAATTGGTCATTTCGCCATATCGTACAGATCTGAATGGTGTTGTGCATGTGATCCGCGTAAATGCATTCTCATTGAAAGCCGGTCATTGTCAGCGAATGGGATATATAGCGCATAGAAGTTGTGGTCTCAATATGTTGGCACCTATCAGGCGTAAGAATATGAGTATAGAGATGAATGGGCAAAGCCATTTCATCGAATCCAGCTGATAAGGATGGCAACCGCTTATATAAATGTACCTATAATCCTAATTGGCATCTTTGAGGTTCTAGGATGAACACACTAGCAGCGATCTTAATGAAGAGACAGAGAGGCATTAAGGTACACATAGTCTAGGAAAGTCCGGATGCCCTCACTTCCTTAAAATATTTTTGAATTGCCCAGCAATGAAAGTTGTACCACATACTTGTTTCATGAGGTTATCTATAACAGGCAGAGAGGACTTTAAGTACCTACAATCATAGTTTGAAAGTTCTAGTATCACCATGAATTTTCAGACCAACAAGTATTGTGCACCAAAGCTTGACAACGATTGTTTTCAACATATGACCTCGTCTACTTTTAATTATGCACTACTATGCAATTATTTCTCCGCCGCTGTGTAGGTGTAGGCTGTATGGGCTGCGCTGTCGCGCAAACTTTAAATCATACAGTTAGTTGTATTCAGGCGGATGGCATGAGCGGTTCTCTGATATCCAGAAATTGCCCGCTACAATCATTGTGAGAGAAAACAATCGTTGCTACGCCACCTGATTCCCCGTTGCCAGGTGGGTGTGCTACTCGGAAAGTAAATTTTAAGCGCGGCAAGATAGAGTTCGTGGCTACAGTCCACACACCTGCATATTCCTGACTTGATGATATTTACGCCAGGTTACCTGGGTGATAAACTATCTGAAAGAAGAGAGGTCATATTGCATACATGTTGGACTCCTATAGTCTTGGCCTTGGAACTAATTGAGGGTTTCCCGGAATTGTATAGTTTGCGCAGGAAAATATGAGTATAAGAGCAAACAGGAAATCAACGTAGGTATAGGAAAGTACAAACTGCATTGGCATGTTGGTACCTAATGATCCTTTTGGTACTCCGGTCGTCTATTAGGGATCAGAACCCGATTTCCGACCTTTTTGCATGGACGACCGTGCGTTACATACTTATTCATCTAAGTCCTTAGTAATCCTAGCGAAAACTTCTGTCACAAATGAATCACGCTCAAGCCGTCTCATGATGTCTGATGGCCTGTGGGGAGAGCGTTCTGGTTAAACCAATCTCAAAATTTATCATCGGTACCTCGACATATAGTACCCACGCGGGTTGTCATAGCGTATTAACGCAATACCCACCCTGCGTAGGAAGTGACGCGTTCTACTTATGTACGTGTGCCGCGGCACTATCATAACCCCGCGTCAGGAGATATAGCGTGGAACTATGTTACCAGATTCCTATCCCATCTCGTCTACCTGGCCGGCCTGCTCAAAAGGTGCTGTATGTCATCACCCCTCCAGCAGCATTCCGGTTTATGGACATTATTATATTCACCATCCATTCGTTGAGCACATGCTCGGCATGGCTAGAGGATATAGGATTCCTGAGGGGACTCAATTGTGGGGTTGGTTACCGCCGGGAATCTGTGACGCAAGGGTCCCATACTGCGGATCTTCCAATGATTACCAAGCCTTAGGAACCGTTGCGACCTTGGTACCAGAAATGCAGGGCACTACCTATGATCTGTAGCTTAGCGAGGTGTCAAGACCCTTGGCATGCGGGATTCAACAGGATTTTCGGTTACGCACGGGCTTTGTGTAGATCACTTCTTGCTGAATAATACATCGTCTCATCCCTTTATGTGATCGAGATCGAAAGAACTCGGTGAATGCGGGCCGAGACCTGGCCAGTAATTTGCTGCCTCAATGAAGCTATCGCCACTTCACCTGTTGAACGTTACCATGAAAATTCCAGTGATTTGGTTGGAACTCTAGTTTCGGAATGTTCGCTCTTCATAATGCCGGTGTTATTATTGTTCAACGAGCCCAATGTTTGCTTTTTAGTTGAACATGAGGTTTCTCTATTAGTACCGACGTGGCGACTAGGGACAGCTGTTTAGGACAACTAGTGACAATGATCAACTATAGTACTAATCCCGGTTGAATACTAGAGATCGTACGACGTGGGGTTTTTGAGCTTGGGTGGGAAGATTCTACGACCGTGTACCACACTCTGCTCTCAAGTTGTATCTAGGTATGGTAACTATCATTTGGGTATATGGATTTCTTCTGTTTGATGTGATGAATCTCAGTATTTTGCATTGGGCCATCGTCAGAGTCGAGCTTAAGCCCAGAATAAACAGACACAGCGATATTTGGTTTGTAGCTAACTCTACATGTAAGTATTTATTAGGTTATGGTGACTGGTGTGTGCATTGTAGTTCTACATTATCTCATTTTTTCAATTGTAATGTCGCAATCGTGATCCTGGGACTTATCGTATTCTCATGAAACACTTGCCTCGCGTTTCGCCCTTACTTGCAGCCGTAACCCGTGATAAGGAAATCATTTTGGTTAGGCTTATCAACACCAAGAATATATGTACCAATCCAGCCATTTCTCAAAACATCCTCGATCTTGGCATTGGTCTCGTAGCCAGGGATAGTGTTGGCCTTGTATCTGAAGGAGTATGGAGCTGTCAATGAGCCAGAGTAATCAACCCAAGCCTATAGGCAATTGTTAGCTGCATCGGACACTCAGACGTTCAGATATGTAAGGTATCTTACAGATGTAGCAGAGCCTCCTCCCGTAGCTTTAGACCATCGACCTATGGAACCTAGAGTAAGTTGTCAGTTGATAGTGACAACTTACAAGAGAAGCAACAGGAACGGTGACAAACCATAAGCAATGATTTCTCCAGGCGCAGATGGTTGGTCCCGTATGGGCTTAAGATATATATCACATCCGCTGTCACGGGCTTGGATGACGGCGCCTTGAGCGGCAGCGGCCAGACCGAGTGTGATGATAGATGCACGCATTGTGAAATCTTTGAGAGATTAAGTTTAAGTCGAAGTTGTGATGTTACTGTAAATGAAAGCTTGGAAAATTGCAGCCTACATCGAAGGTCTCGTTAGCGTTATATACTCGATTCACATCTCATCGAAGTCGCTAATCATAGGCGATGGGCATCTTTCTAATCCTTAGTAATAGGAATGAAAAGACTCAATTGAGTAAGGATTATCCTAGACGTATCTTTACATTTTTTATTAAGACATTAGCGTTCTGACAAAGGGCAGGGGACTTCGTCTTTTTACTTGTTAGGGAAATTGACGATATATTATGCCGCGCGCTAATCATCTTGTGCCTCGAATATACATAAATATATATACTCCATACGGTGAACGGTTTCCTGGAACTGCTTGTTCGGGCTTGTCATACGAGAAGCTAGGAGGACATTAGGTTAGATCGAATAACATGGCATACTTACTCTAGTACCGTTGGCCCAGGGTTTGCCCCAGATCTGTTCGGACTAAGCCTCATTGAAGTATAGTAAACATCATATCGCGGCAAAAAAATGGATTAGGAAGTTCAGCGTCAGGTTGAATGTTTCGTCCGTTATGTTTTCAGCGACGCTTACTTAGTACATCAGTACTCCGTACGCAGGTCGAGGTCAATATATGCCCATAACCCTTAGTGTTGGTCTACCGTGTCAAGCCTGATGTATATTTGCGACCGAAACCTACGTATAGTCAAGGATTATTCTTAGCGTCCAATTCCAAACTTCGCTTGGTAACGATGCTGGATGCTTGGCACTTTCATTATCATCATTATCGAAACCAGTAACAAGTCTGTCGCCATAAGTAATATACAACGAAAAATCGTCGGTTAAATTAAGCGCCTTCTATTACATCCGACAGATCGACACCCTACTTGAGAGCGGAGGGTTTGTACATCGTACTAGTACACAATAGCTACCGGATATGCCAAAGACGTTTCAAGCTATAGGCATGAAGTGCTAGGCTGCTAGTACGCTAGTTCGGATTATTGCAGAGCCGAGTTTGCTAGTATTGACCGGTGATGACCTCACAGGAGGCATCAGGGACACACATGCGTTACCCATGTCTTTACCCTTTGCGTGAAATTTAGTGTGTTTATTTCACGATTGCCTCATTCCTCAATCCTTCAAGTTCTATAATCTCTATTGAAAGGAGAGATTGTGTATCATGTGTGACCTATACACTACGATTTGTACTCATCTATCTTAGTTTATCAAGCCTTATACTTCAGTATATTTAATTAGGGTCACCCATTACCTTGTACTCTCGATGAACTGCAAGTTCTTGAATGGTACCCTCCCACCCCACGGCGGGGCTTTTTACAGATAGCAGCACGCTTCACATGGTATTATAAGCCTTGTGCCTGAAGCCAAAATCGATCTAAAATGTGCTCATAAATCTTATTGTAGGAACACCAAATCTGAAAATTCCTGCCATAAACATAGGGAGATGAAAGAGGATCCACACGAAACTCCCCTTGTGACCTAACTCATTTTCTAGCCCAGCTAGTCACCTTGCAACAGAAAAGGAGTGTCAGGCGAATTTGCCGTTGTCGAACCAATGAACTCTGTTTCCAATTGCGGATCTTGTTCCCATGGTATCAGTGCCATCTCTTCGCTAGAGTCCCTAGGGTCCATCGATCGCCGAGGTACAGTGGCCCTTTCCCCGTCTGCATTGTTATTAGGATAGGCCATCGTTGTCTCAATGTAATCCAAGAAGCCACCAATAATTTGGCTTATATGGGTTGGGGTAAGGGCCTCCCAGTCGTGATCGTGGAGAAACCCTGCAATAAACTCTCCAGCGTTGTCATCCCAACAATCTCGTATGCGAGACAACATTGCCGCTTGATCATTCTCAGCATAAGGGGATCTGGGGTGTTTAACCCCAGGGAATATCACCTCCCACAACTTCATCCATTGTTGCTGTTTGCTCATCCCACGGCTTCCGCAATCTTTCAGCTTCCTCTTTTGGCCCTCTGATATGGTACCATCAGAATTCGGCACTGCCTTCTTCGTACATTTCCCTTCGCGGGTATGGCAGTCTCGTTCGTCGGAAGACTTGAAGTTCTCGAAGCAGAGAGAACAGTATATTTCAGGTCTGCAGTGAAGCCTATATATATGCTGCTTTACGTCTTTGATTCGGCGCAAAGTGTATTTGCCACAAGCACGATAACGCTGCTGATCCTTTTTATGGAAAGGGCACGCAAGCGATCTTTCTGCAATAACTCTCCGAATTGACTGTCCACATTTCAATGAATAGTAGGGGTCAACTTTTCTGTCTCTCCCTTCCGTTTCAAGTGGTCTCTTCCGATTACCCTTCTGGAAAGGCTTTGATGATAGCGACGACAGAGCTATGGGCTGTTTTGTAACCCATTCAGGATTGACCTCGAAGTCTGAAGTGGGCGGACTGAGGTCGTGTGGTCGGTCGTAGAGACAGCTAGGTATCATGTCTGGTCCAAGCCCCGGACCAACCCCTGTCGATTTTAGCCGTACTTCTCCCCTGTGGGAATTATTCATAGTAGTGGAATCCGTAGGCACAACTGGAGGATATGGGAGATTCCAATGGTCGACAGGTAAGTTTTCCATGGTTGTTTCCAAGTCAAAGTCCAGCTCCGGGCTAAAATCAAAGCTCGATCTTGCGCTACTATCCATAGAGTTGACAAAGAGGAAATCTAGGTGTGGAAAGGGAGCAGAAGGGGTAAGGTTTAAATCAAAATCTATCGCCGTGTTGTCGTCCATTCCTTCCTCGTCTGAACCAGGCGTCTTTGGGCATTCACGCTGCACTATGCTGCACACTGAATCGCTATCATACCCTGGAGGTGGTGCTGTGTTCGAGTGAGTGAGAGGACGAAAGAGTTAAAGGGGTCGATGTACATGATTCTACTTGTGGTTGTTCCATGTGGTCTGGCGTTCTGGGATTCTGGATTCTGCTCCAGTCCTCTATTAAGGCCGTGGAATGCCCATTGAGCGAATAAATAACTCCTAATAGATCTGTTTCTTCGGAATGAAAATTTGAATGGGAGATATCTTTCAAAGTTGGATCGGTCTCGGGCATACTATCTGCGGATCTGATCTGGAGAGCTATAGCAGTTGGCATGGATTCACCATCCAATAGACCCGATGTTTCATACGCGGCTTGGTTGCTTGAGGATTGGTTTGAAGATCCGCAAATCTCCGTCACAAGAGGTATGGAAGTTGTCTCGGTTGTGCTACCCTTGAATTGGCTGCTTGAATGGTGCTGTGATGCTTTAGTTCGGTCGCACTTTTGCCGCTTGGAACTACTCGACATAAAAGGCATTATCGGTCATCCATGAACGTGTGCGAAAGACTCAGCAAAACTGCGAAGAATCAGGAAATACTGTTTTTGCAGTCACTCCAACTATGATGTCTTACGATTTAGATGACATGCGTCGCTAGTGTCACCGCCAGAGCGGTGATAATCCATATCGCTAATTTCGTCCGCTTGAAGTCCTAAGCCTCCTTTGTCGCGGGTGACTCCAATTTGTCGGCCGAATCACGCTCTGTTCCTGATTGGCTGTCATTCTACGCAGATGCGTAGAGCTTTTGCATATTCTAAGCATTTATACCAATCACAATCTGGGTTCGGCTCTTCGGAGAACACATGCATTGACACCTGACTTGTACCGTGTAGAGTCGATACCCGGCAAAAAAGGCATCGAATCTCAGATGTTGGAGCTTAGGATGACGTAGAGGTATTTATCTCATTACTCGTATCAGCGGTCTATCGTTACTTGTGTTTACCGCGAAGGCATGACTAATATTACAAAATAGATTGCAAGTTTCAAGTGCCACAGTTTCCAGCGTCTTGCCTACTTCGCATTCAACGAATACTTAAGACCTCAGCGCCCACCACTGTTTTGAGGACTAAAGACACGATCATAAAATGCAAATGCCCTCTCAATTTCAATCCCACTTCCAGAAAGGGTGCTCGGAGATAAGCATTGCCCATTTGATTGAGCGCGGACCAGCCGGTTGATGAAGGGTTGAGATGAATCTTGACGCCATGCCTCTAAGCGCTGACTGTCTGAGGCTTGCGTGCCAGCAATCTCGCTTTAAGCTATGATTAGTAGCCCATTAGGCATTTTGCAAATCGAGGTCTTTACTTACTTAGTGTGAATAGACGTGCGTGTTTCATAGCGCCTTTTTGCTTGAACCTTCTTGGTTGTCATTTTATTTCACTTTTACGTTAGGTAAGGTGGTTGCGTTGGAGAAAGCGGTCATGATAATGAGCAGGAGTTGTTTAGAAGGCATCTTTCCATGTATCGTCAAATTTATCCTTTTCATTTTACACACGCGCGCATACACATTTGCGCAGACTCCATTGAAGTCATAATGTTTGCCTTTAATATTTGATCGATACTTCGGCACGCAATTGTGTAGATGTGTGTTTAACATAGCTACAAAGCTGATTTGTATCCTGGAATAACATGGTTATCTATCGCATCCTAATTGAAAGTATACCTCATCGCAATCGATTTCAAGCATGTGCACAATGAAAGCACTCCTGATCTCAATTTTGTTTCGATATTCTACAGGTCAACGATATGGGCTAGGTTAGTTGTGTCGTATACCGTACTACTTCTACAGTTGGGGATCGCGCCACGAAGCAAAGAAATAATAAAGGCGCATTAGAATGTACGGGTTATACCAGTGCCAAATTTTATTGGCTATGCCATGGCGTAGAGTTATTGTACTTCTACGCAGTTGTGTATTAATCTCTACACACATGCGTAAAATGCCATCTCGGGCCTAGTTCGTAGCCAATAACTCCCGTCGGGCCCTGTGTTATGCATTTTCTCCCAGAGGGAACGCTGCAGTGTCACACTCGCCTTTGATTGCCTACGCAGCAGGGCGTAGATTCTGAGTATGCTGAGAACGCATTGGTGAGACTGGTCGCGCACCAACGAAAACAGCCTGTCGCGGACAGAGAGGGTTACAGCGTCCTTCGAGAAACCCGAGGCCACATTGTAATATCTGCATATGTAGGAATCATAGACATAAAATATATCACCACAGCGTATACAAGCATTGCCTTGTCTTGAAAGGCTCGTTTCACTTCAGAGTCTCAGTTATTCTGGTGGTATTGATGATGTCGTGTCGCGAGGATGGGCATGCTTTGCCCGAAACCTTCAGGGCGAGCATTCCTATCGGCCAAACTCCTAGCCGGTTTGAGGCGTATTGCATTGAAGGGTTCAACCAAGGTCAGTATGCTCAAGCCATAACTGCCTACTTCGAGGTACGATATCCCCATCAGCGCCGTGCGACATTGATGCTTTGTCTTGATATCGGACGAAAGAACCATGCTGAATCGTACAGACTCAACGGCGCGCAGTTGAGAGATCGGAGCAGGAAACTCTTCTTACAGCGCTGAATGCTGGAAGCCGTAGCCTCCCGGAACAAATGCAAGTCCCCGATCTGATATATTATCTACAGCAAGTTCAGACCGGGACCTGGGGCCATAGACACAAGGACCCGAAGACCGCTGCATCCAAAATTGGTCCCACGTGTCCTGAGGTGAAACCATTACTAGCGGACGGCCGAAGAGTTTGGGTTGAGTTCCTTTTTGTCGTAGGTGCTGCTGGGTGGGGTGATGGCCCTGCTGCTCAGAGCTGTACTACAGCTGGTGGTGATCCCAGCCGCACTCTTCCAAAGAATACCTTCACAGGCTTCAGTGAAGCTTCAGCTTGGCCCCAGAAGAATCGGCATAGTCGACGTCAACAGCGTGATGAAGACGACGATGATCGACCACACCATCCTCGAGGCAAGGCGCAAAAGGGTGCTTTGGACACCATCTGCTCGCTCGCTTGTCCATTTTACCTTCGTGATAAGGAAAGACATCGGAATTGTCTAAACTACAAGCTCAATCGTATTGTGGATGTCCGCCTGCATATTGTTAGGGCCCACGTGCAGCCAAGCTATTGCCCACAATGCGGAACCGAATTTCAGAATGACTCGGACTATGCGCAACGGGATACACACATCGCGCATTGTCAGATCGTCAGAGAGATAATCCGGCCTTCAGGAGCGACGTCGGAGCAGCTTGAGAGAATGAGGGTCGCAGCAATGCACAGAGGACACGGGTCGACTGAAGAGAGTCGCTGGTATGCGATCTGGGACATTATGTTTCCCGGTGTTGCGCGGCCCCCTACACCCATCATCGACGTGAGCTGGGAATTGAATCATGTATATCTTCGCGCCGCTATTGAGCGGTATCGACAAAACGGCGGGGTACAAGACTTCGCGCGATATGTTGGAGTAGATGCGTCGGCGGCTAATTCGTCGGGAGTCTTGAGTTTGTTTCTCGATCACTTGCGCGACTACAACGGCTCTTTCATGGGTATTGGCCACTCATATGATACACAGGATCTACGCATTGATATGACCACTGACATTGAAGGGTCTGTACAAATCCTCTCTCTGGCGCCAGTGAGTGGAACGGGCAGTAATCTAGACGCTCAACCAGCCGTGCCGACAATAGCCAGCCTACGACTTTTGGCACCCCGACCGATACAGGCTGACCCGACCCACGTGGAACGGATCTTGTCGAACCAAGATCCAAATCTTGATACTACTGATGATGAAATTGGCTATGACTATTCGTGAGGGTTGTGATTGCAAGTGTAGGCGAGGCTCATCAGTCGACTTGGACTATTATTGTATTGATATATGACAGCATAATATTAGTTTCAAGATCAATGCTCAATAGAAACAATTGCAGCCTGGCACAATCATGCAAATTTCGCACCTTAACAGTAATAATTAACTGTTCTCTTTTGATGCTGGAAGAACCACGTAAGAGCTGCGGTCGCTAAATAGCAGTTGGACCAACCATCCTTCATTGTTACTATAATTGGTAGTAGCAACAGAGGCTGTCACCTCGGGATAATAACAAGTACTATACATAATGTATAAGTACTGTGCAGGCCAGCATGACCTTGTCTCAAGTGGTATCAGACCTGTAGTGGAATTCTAACGAGCTTCTAGGAGTGTCGAGCGCCCTGGATGCTCGCTGGGATAGGCCACTGGCACAAATCTTGCTGCGGCGCAATTGTGCCGATGGCAGATAAGGGCGCAGATGGCGCGCGGCCCCGCGCGGACTCATGTTGCGTAAAATATGGAATTTATTACATACACTGTGGTAATTCTAGGTAGACATACAAGTTGAATCACAGATATCCAACATTCCCTATACACGTGTTCGTTTGCTCACATGTATCTTGACACGAAAGGCGCAATTAAATCGTACCAGAAATGCAAGGGAGCAGGCGGCTATCCCTCACTTAATTTCAGTGGTTATCCTTCACTTAGTTTCAGTGTTTGCTTATCTGCAGTTGCTACCTCACACATCCAGGCAAACATATATAACGATGCATAACATTGAGTGCCTGAGCTTCTTTATCATGTCATATTTCTAGCCACTCATTTGATCGGACATTATCATCAAAAATATACATGCTCCTCCAGGACAGCTCAGGAGCTCCCGATCTCGTGGTTACCAGCCGAGCCTCAGCCCTTGGATCAACGAACTTGAGGAGACGTTAAACCCCCTGATTGCACCCGGACCTGGCCCTGGCTACCCTCGTAGCCAAACCCACGATATGGTGTCCCTGACTGACCCTCCCACTCTGGAACCCGATGCTAGCACCACTGGAGAACTAGGAAAACAGGCACAGAAACTCGCTCGTACTGTGTTGGATTGTTTCCTCTCCATCAGGTCTGTCCCTAACGACAAGTCCCGAACTGGTGCCTGCGGATACTCCGCCACGGAATCTGAACTCCCGTTAGGGAATTCATATCTGGAAAGAGATGCAGATGTCGAGGCCAAATTGGAAAGGTATAACAGAGACGCTGTGATACCAGGAATACCTACTCTGGCGGAAAACAATCTGCTATGCCCGTTCTATCTATACAAGAAGGAGAAATATCTTGACTGCTTGAGACTTGTTGACGTGCAAGAGATACCTGACCTCAAGGAACATCTCTGGGCCTACCATCGTCAACCGTCGTACTGTCCAACCTGCCATGACACCTTCATGCTATCCGAGGACTGGGAGAATCACATTCGACTCAGGTCTTGTGTATTTTCTGGAAAACCGCGTCCCGAAGGTATTACTGCCTTGCAAATGCAGCTCCTCGCTCAGTCCCCTAACCTTGACTCCCCACGAGATGATCAGTGGCTGTCAATCTGGAAAATTGTCTTCCCAGGTGTGAAAGCACCAATACCATTTATACCTGGAAAGATTGAGACCGCAGTCTGGGCATTGAGAGACTTCTGGGCAGCCGAAGGAGGCCAAATTATGTCCAAGTTTCTTACAGAGGGACTGCAGCAGAGTCCCCATCACCAAAATCACAGATTGAATGTCACCACACTGGGATCTTTAGTGATCCAACTCGCGACTGAACATCTAGTCGCGAGAATCAGACAAGACTAGGTTTATGGGCTGTGAAACCAGCGGGCACCAGATCTACTATCGAACGAATGTTGAGCTGTTAAGCAAATTCATCACGTAAAACCAATGGCCCTGTATACATCAGTCTGAACGAGATGGCGAGTTAAGCAGATACGAGACCCCACGCTCATCATATATATAGTGGGCGAGAATATTGCTATCAAGCCTGAGAATATCTTTTAATTCGAGAATACAATTACTCTGGCAACATTGGTTGCTCTCTTACCAGGACAACTTTCGCATTGATTGGAACCTTTTCACAGCACGGATAGAAAACATCACTTGCAATGGGGAGTTTTATCTAGTAGACATTGATCATTCTTGCATTTTCGAGCATAACCAAGCGGTATTGTCGGAACATCAAACGATTCACTAAGAAGGTAACAACTCGATGGAATGCTACGGTCCTTATCGGCGATTACCCCTTTTTGAACTCACCAACAGATCAATAGGAATCTAGGTGCGCTTTTCTCTGATCTTTGAAGATATACTGACCCATCCGGCAGCACCACTGTCCTGAGTATACCGGTACACATTATAGTAGTATTAATAATACTAATCAATGGTGTCCAGCTGTTAACATCAAGCTGAGTAAAGCAGGTTGCGCCACCCACAGCTTGATCGGGGGCCCTCCGACCAGATACCCCGTCCGTCGCCCAACATGAGCTGGTCACGATTCATGAGTCAAGTATATATAAACCCTAATAAATGTCCCTTCTGTCACGTACGACCATAGCCACTGGAGAACTCGGGGTCCCGTCTGCTCCCCCTTAGATAAGCCGGTGAGCGCCGAATTAGTAGTTGGGTCGGTGACGACCAGCGAATCCTCGGTGTTGTACGTTTGTCTTTTTTTTTATTTCTTTTTAGCCCCTGTCATTCTTGCATAATGCCGAGTCATATAATTTTAAGGAGTTAAAGACTCGATGCCAAATCACCATACACTAAGTACATGATACTGGTATTCGAGTGCAAACATCAAGACAGTATCAGGAAGTCTATGAGAGATGCTATTTACTGGATCTATGATATCAACCATCCACGTAAGCTGGTAAACAATATGACCTACTTATCTAGTGCTTCGAAACTTTCAGCTGCGTACCGTTAATTGCCTACCTACTCCTCCCATTCTTCGTGGTATCTAGCGAGATCAATATCCCCCACCAACTTCAAGTAATTCGTCAACTTCTCATCACCGCCCACTGTGTCTCTCACAGTCGTGCCATTTCCAAAATACTCGAAGCGATTGTGTCTAGCGCGCTGGGCCCGCTTGAAGTCAAAGTCTTCCCATCTTGGGTCGCGCAGAATGTCAGCGCAGTGGTGGAGCGTCCCGGGCCACCAGATCAGCATCCGGCTCGCGCCGGCCCCCTGCTTGAACCAGCTGGTGCACTTGTCGTGCGTCACGCTGTTGTCGAAAAAACCATTGACGATGTCGTTGAAGTCGTCGACTGCGTCTTGGCGGGGGTCGAGGGACACGTAGCTTTGTGACTGTATTTTGCGGATGCACTTGGCGATGAATGTTACCGTGATTTCTATCTGTCGCGGCGCCGTCGTCCCTCGAGCATTCCCTTGTGCCTGATTACGAGATTATTAGATATCATGTGTCATATCACTAACATAATGGGCACCTAGAGCTTACCTGGAGAATTGAGAAGTAATTCGGATATCCGGGTGCCATGACGCCCAGATATGTTTCCGGATACCCGATTTCCCCTTCAGGATCCCACTTCTCTCTCAGACCAACACCGTCCTTTCCAATGATTGGGAAGAGAGGCGTGAAACCATTGTTGAACCCAGTCGCCATGATGATTGCGTCAACCTCATGCACTTTTCCGTCCTTTGTGACAACACCCGTTTCGCTCACATGTGATATGCCTTCCGTGATGTAGTCCAACTTTGGGTTCTTTAAAGACTCTAAGTAACCCGGCCCTGGCGTTAGTCTTTTACAACCAGGCGCGTAATCCGGAAGCACCCGAGCAAGCCATTCCTCATCACCTCCCAGTCTCTCAAGCATGACGTCGGTAATCTTTTTGCGCAGTTTTTCGTTTGCCTCACTTCCGATGACATCTACGCCCTTGTGGCTCTGGTGGAAGGAGAGCTCAAGTTTCCTCCTGTGCTCTAAATATGTCGCCGGATCCTCGTGAAACTTCTTTCGCTCTTCATCTGAATACTTGGGCCCTCCAGGCTGGCCGGCTTGGGCACTGAAAAGATCACCGGTGTAAACTGGTGCCACCCATGTCTTACTTCGCACGAAGTGATCTATGTGCTCGACGTCGTTGATGATGTTGGGGATTAGCTGCTGGCCACTGGCGCCATTGCCAATGACGGCTACACGCTTGCCGGTGTGATCGAAGTCTTTCGGCCACCGAGCTGTGTGCATGACCCTGCCCTTGAAAGTATCATGTAGCCCATGAATTGAAGGATACCTGGGCTCACTGATTCGCCCTTGGGAGTTAATGAAAAAATCTGCCCGATCCATGATTGTTTCCCCGGTGATTAGATTGCGAACCTCAACTTCCCATTGTGATTCATTTGATAGCCATTGTGCCTTCAGCACCTCATGCTGGAGAGAGATGCTATCGGTTAAGCCGTGTTTGGTCACGATTCGCTCGTAGTATTGCTGAATTTCAGCGCCCTTGGGATAGTACTCGGACCAATTCAAGTTTGGCTCAAAGCTCAATTCTAAGGCGACCATCAGCCAAGCACTATTGCAGATGAGCCCCATCGGCAGCTAGTTATTCCGTCGGTTGCTGGGTTTACTTACGGTATACATGGGATGGAACCTGATATATCAAACATATTAGTATAATTCTCTATCACATTGTAGAATTGCACTGGTCACGGTGACCGCGTTCGCTAGATCAAAGGTTCACATACTGCGGCAACTGTTAGCTCTGACATACAATAGATCTCAGTGCCAATAACTAATGTCCGACAGGCACAGCAGGATTTGATACATACCGTCACACCGAACACCCGGATACAAATTTGCAGCCCAAGTTCCGCCCTTGGCAGGCACATAGCCGTTAGTATGGGAATTCAGAGGTCATAGTACACGGGAAGCAGCTTACAACTCTCGAGTGCCTATCATAAACCCGAATTGTTGCATTCTTCACTTTATGTGATATTAGAACAGCAGACGCAATCCCGCCTATTCCTGCTCCAGTGACAATAACCTACTGAAAAATCAGATCGGAGGCCGAGGGAGTTTCAATGTAATATTGGTGTTTACTTACCTTGACTGGTCTATGACGATTCCATGGCTCTTGCTTGGGAAAATAGCAGCGCCCTTGGCGCTCCGAGACATGTGTAGGGCGGGTAGGCGACGTGGTTGTGCCTGTTGCCTGAGGCGTAACTTCGGGCAGAGTCATGTTTTCTAGGGCGCTAGAGGTATCTGTATGAGCCTGCTGGCATCAGTTATATTGCCTGGAATGAATAGATAAAAGTGAGACTATATGGCTCTTCTAGACCGTCTCTGGATCTTGTGGGTTATGTTTGTTGGAGTGCAGAAACGGATGTTGTAATACCCCCGGTCAAATAGCTGACTTGTCCCAATTCCCCCACACTTTAAGACTTTTGAAGGAAACGGTCCACCTTCTTAGTTTGCCGTAGCATTCTCGGCTTACTAGTATAGATTTCGCCATTAGCGGCAGTGTTGTCGAATCGCACCAGGATGCAAAAGGTAAGGAGTTCCTTATCTAGAAAAACTAGGTGCGATGGCTGCGTGCTAGCTTGCGGGGTCGACTATCGGCCGAAGATGATGGCCACTAAGCCTCTCATTTTCAGCCTCTGATCTACTTCACTGGGCAAGTAATACGGGCGGCGCAGATGATCAGGTGTCTGGCCCAACTACCTTCTACTTTTGCTAGTAGTGCCACAGGGTAATGCTGCAGTCCAGCTGTCAAAGGAATCACGTGTCGAAATAAACACGCCGTTATTTTCACTATTCAGTCTCAATCACAATCGTTCTTAGAGTATGTGCGCCATGTCTGATGCAATAGTCGCCATTGACTTCGTGATATGAATGTTACGGTCGTGGGGACGATATCAATTGGCCTACGTATCTATTTCGGGATGAGTAGTGACAAAGTAGGTATGCAATCAGTACTGCCAAGGAGTCGAGAATGAAGATAATAAGACGACGTACAGTGTAACAGAGCAATGGCACGTCTCCATATCTCTCGCATGTGCTGGTAGGGGTCATCGGGTGCTACTCTGCTATGAGCCGACAGGAGTCCTCATATCTTCCCCTATCTCAACAGCCGCTGTGGGCCATATTCAATGACGACAGCCCGCAATGACATTGCGTAAAGGCAAAACGAATGTTCGAAAATGCAGCTTAGAGATAGTAGCCCTGCTTCATCAGAATGAATGCAGGATTTCTGTAGGGATTTCCCATTGCTAGATTATGCGATCGAGCTTCAGCATACCTCCACTGAACTCATGTGGAAGCTACCATCTTTCGGCGCTCGCCGCGCTACATCAACACCGACTATATGTCGCATTTTATAGATCAACTCTCTGTAGTGGAACGGCAAGACTCGCAAGACATCAAATCGCATATCTCGAGCGGTTTAGAGCTTGCCGCGATAAACTCCTCGACCTCAGCTCGAAGTTGATTCATCCTTGTGTGGAAGGGTTGTCCTGTGAAATTGACAAAATTCCCTTTTACCAGCACGGGTTGTTGGAAGAATATGTCAAAACAACACCCTTCAGAAGCCCGGCATTAGTGCGTGCGATTAGAAACTTGTACCGAGTGTTCACATACTGCATATCACAGTATACGTAGATATTCTCTCCATTGGCCCGGGTGGCAGATTCTCAGCGCAGAGCCAGGCGAGCAGGGTCTTGTTTAGCCTGTGCGCTAGGGACGCTCGAGTGGAACAATAGGGGTCTTTTCCGCATAGCTGCATGCTGCCAATATTTATTGTCTATGCGAGAATCACAATGAAATCAGGAATCTCAATGGACTTGTCAACTGGACTGCTTATTGAATAAAAAGAATTGTCGACTTCCCTCCTTTTCTAGATCTTAACTTCCCCTGCAATGCCCAAGTGATGCCAAACGATTGTGAGCTGACGAGGTAGGATGCCGTAACTGTGTAATACTGGTGGTGCTTCAGGGGCTTCCACATTCGCCCAATGAGCCACCCAGCCTTCGTCAAAATACGCTATCACAGCCCAAACTAGCGCTCGCTACGTTTATTTTGAGAGAGTAACCAGCACTCATACAATCTAAAGAAATGTGAAGCGCAGGCTGATGCTTTCCGTATCTTGAAAACCATGAGGAAGCCCACCGGTCGCAACTCCTATCAGATGTTCTGCGTCGAAGACGCTGCGACATGACAGCCAGCGTATGGCCCAAGACGCTAGCAACGGCACCAGCACGCTGATAGCACATCCTCCAACGACTCACCAATTTGTTCGACTAATATGTTGCTCAGGTCAAATTCGGAACGCTACGATGCAGAATGATACCCAACCGAACTGGAGACGAGCCGTTTGACGCCGATGTTTAAAGCCCGTCGCGATCGCCACATATTTAATCAGGTCTTTTGTAATCGTCGTAGTTGTTATCTTGATATCGGCCCGCAGTTCCAGCTGGAGAAGAGAGTTGATGCTGGAATCAGCCAAGCTATCATCTGTTCCAGTATCTGTAAAGTCTAGGCCGAGCAATTCGGCTACATATTAATCATCATCAATTTTGAACCGGGTTGTATACCCTGCAACTTCAAATAGATAGTTGTAAGTTGATAGGAATCCAAGAATCACTAAACTAAACTAAAATCCTATTCGGACGTGCAGAACACTAACTGAATGTGACACGGCATCTCTTGAGGATAACGTCTGCTAAGAGGCGGGCGTCAGCACCGACATGTTGGCGATGAACGTTGTTAGCACTGCTGCATAAGCTGCTGCCACTGCCATCATTTCCATATTAGATGTCTTCAACATAAGCGTTACAGTAAGAGAAAACGCTACAATGAGCAAAGTCGCAATACTGACTTGGGCGCTCATAGATTTGTGTGGGAAGACCACAATTGGGATAACAAAAAAAGCGCTCATGAGTATTACTGTCAGAAGGAAGGGTCCCAGAGTGAGTAGAAGGTCAGTCACAGTCAAGTAGGTGGGTAGAAGGGGTAGTATAGGCGTCAATACTCATTGAATCCTGAACCCTCCAAGAAGCGAAGGGGGGCCCAGCACCCCTTTATATAGCCAGTAGGTCTAATACAACCACCCCTAGGGTCTATGTGACTATATCACCTGACAATTACTGCAACGATGCGTCCGACCATCTCCGCGATTACAACCGTGTTTTGATAGGACCACTCCAAATGCTTCTGGGAGAGTCCCCCTGCCTCCGGGGAATCATTATGGTTGCTTGACAGCCGCCAATATCGAAAAGCACATAGGCACTTGCGTAGGCAGCGTTGGAAAGGATCTGTGCGTGATCGAACATCACGATCTGTTCGGAGTAATCGGGTATTGTATATTTCATACCAAGTGAGGTCGGTCCTCATGCTCGACTGTTTTGGATCGTCGAAAAGTGAGATTGTTTCCATAGCCATGATGCGATTAAACGAAAGGAGAGAATCATCTGACATTCGCCTTGTTAGTTTGAAATGGGATGAATAAAGGCTTCTAGGCACATACCATATTCTTTCAGTAAAATATGTAGTCTTGATATTGTCTCCTGCGTGATTATTTCGTCTAGTTGAGGCGAGTTGGCATCGTTTTTGCCATACCGCAAGCCAAGTCGATCCGATGATGACAGGTCATGACCTAAACTTAGACCAGCCTGATAAATGTCATGATCTATTCTTGCGATCTCGTCCTCAAGAAAACGAAGGTTAAGAAGATGACTGGTTTTAAACCGCCTAAAACCATGAAGAAATATGTTGTTGCAATCTGTCGCACGTTGCCACTGTTGGATGAAATTCTGCCTCAACGCGTTGGGAGGAGCAACCTGTAGTTGAAATAGTACTGTAGGTACAAGTTTAAAAGAAAGGTGCTTACTTTAATGCTTAAAACGAGATCATTAGTAATACCCATAAAATACGAAGGCTTCAGATTCAACTATGCCTCCGCAGCACGTTTCTAGGGTGTGCTGAGTGCACGCAACGCAACATACCAGATAGCAATTTTGTACCTAACTCCCACAATAAAGGAAACCTTTCTGTCATCTGCGACAGTAACACCACACGTCCCCGTTAACCTCATACGTCATTCGCTCAATTCAACTATATTAATCCTTCTGCCCTTTATAAGTTTTCGATTATCTCTAATCGAGGATTTGTTCCAGTCCGGCGATTCCTATTCCCTTGTGCTCTTTATTCATGTGCTCATAGCAGGCGTTGGATGCAGTAAACGTCTTCATGCATACCCAACAGATGTGCGCACCGCACCGACATGTCATGTGGTTGCATCCCTCCGTCTTTTCCATAGCAGTCCCGCACTTGGGGCAGTCCTTGATTCCAAGTTCCTTCTTCACCCTCTGATACGCCTCATAGCCCCCCGTAGACAGATCCTTGTAATCGCCGCAAGTCATCTGCCCGTGTTGAGCGTGGCAGGTGGTACAAACGCTGACGAGGCAGGTTGGGCAATGGTGAGAACGTGGTAAGGCATTAGAGTCGGCACCTGCGCGGTACACGGAGTCGCAGTCTGCCGTGGGGCAATATTTCAGCAGGGTCGGATGACATCGTACGTATGAAGCGAAGGAGTTCTTCAGGAGCTCTTCAAATGCGCTAGGTGATAGATGCTCTTGCAATTCGGGGAGATCAAGGCTGATGCCACATTGGCCTAGATTCCCTGCGCACTTCACTTCTGCCGGTCGATCTTCCTTGGTAGCCGACATGCAGAGGTTTTCGAAGCAATCTAGGCAATAGGTATGCCCGCACTTGGTACGAATAGCCTCGGTTCCTGCAGTATAACAGATTGAACAGTCACTCAGACCTGTTCCCTTCGTTGATAGCATTTGGTCGGCTTCTCCACATAGAATCTTCAACGCGGTCTCGTAGTTGTTGACGGAGCCATTGATAATGACCCGCTTGGGGCGAGATACCACATCGAGTATGACCGAGCCACCCACCAGGGCCTCCGAGATCTGGTGAAACCCGCCTCGACAAACTTTGTTGAGCATTCGCTCATCGAGAATGATATCACGTGATTCGGACGTTGAATTGTTTAGGACCTTGGCAATCGAGGTTTCGACCTCCTCGCACCTGTTTGGAAGTCCGTACAAGCGTATTTGGGATTTGTACTTGTTTCGAACCAGCAGGACTCTCCTGAGTTGAGCGATATTCTCGATTTCAGCGAGCAGTGGCCCGCTTCCGCGAAGCATGGGGTGCCACAGTGTCGAGGATCCGTCTTTGGCAACCCTACCGGCCGTGATACCTTCAATGTCCTTTTTTGCTGCTGCCACATCTTCGTTATTGGTCCCCTCGATTTTGAGCACGACGTGCGATGTGGGAGGAGTGGATTGCTCATAAGCTGTGTAGCTCAAATGCTTCGCTTTCCAACCTGCGATGCTGGCCTGAAGCTGCGCCCGGACGATCTGGTAAATAGGCCTGGATACCTTGAACTTGGCAGAGTGCACGACTTGAACAGTAAGCTTGGCATTACGGTTGAAGGGAAGGGGGCGGTTGTTTAGTTGAGACTCTGCCTCCTGTGCATGAGCTGCGTCTAAGAATTTGACTTTGGCTTTAACGCGCTTTCCAATAGGGTCCGGGGTTAATTCGTGGAAATCCAGCTCCCCAATTCGGTTGAAGAGCGACAGAATTGTTGCATAGCATGTTTCCGCATCTTCGCTGTACGTGGGTTTGCCAAGTTGAATTCCGCGTGGTTGATCAGTATGTATTCGAATTGCCTTCCTAACATCTTGCTCCGTTGCTGATGCAGGGACATCTGTTAGCGTGATTGTCCAAGCCAGCGAATTATGCCGGCCAGGCGCCCGAGGGAGCGCCTCGCTTGTCACCCTCTTGTTCTTGATAAGGTAGTTGCCATCCTTGAACTTCTTGTCGACACGGCTGGCAATCTCGCCACTTCCAAAGTTGAGCCAGACGGTCTTGCTTGGTTTGTGCCAGGAGAAGTAGATCTTCCTGTGATCAATGCGGAGAGTATTTGCATCTCCATACAAAAGGGGCTGTACTGGGGTCGCTACTGGCTGCGACGGGTTGCCTTCCCGTGACGCAATCTGCGGCCCTAGCTTCGCGCACACTTGTTTCGCGAAGTCGGGATGTTCGACCTTGACATTGGCAGTCGATTTGGAGTCCAGATGCACAACTCTGATGTGAGGCGACTTTAGTAGGCTAATGCCTTGTGAAGACAGGAATTCGAGGATTGATTCTCGAGAGCTGTTTGCGGGCAGATTGTCAATATGGACGGCCGAGTAGTCGGATGACGTGGTTACTCTCGAGACCTGGGCGCCCGATTCGAAGCGAATGAGAACGTTGCTTAATGCTCTGGTGGCGGTGCCGTTTGGAGAGCGGGAGTCGGTCTGCAAGGCTCATCAGCGACGGCATAAAAACCCACCAAGTTCCCATATTGGGTGCTTACCGGCAATTTGGGATCATGGATAGACCGAGGGTCATCCCTGGCTGCTGGTTCCTCCACTTGGTGTAGATAATGGCATATAGCTCCATTGCTGCATCGCCCCTGCAGGAAAAACCGGCATGGTATCTGGCCCCTACTATCACTCGAAGGCTTATGTGGGATTCGACTTACCCCTGTATCCTTGCCAGAGGCTTGAAGTGCCGGTCGAAAGCTTGGGGCTGTGGGCTTCATCATTGCGAGACCGATAAAAGGGGTTGGCTCCAACTAGACACTGCTGGACCTGGACTGGTGCAAGTATCCCAATAACATTTGGAAAAGGCGTTTGGGATGTTCGAGTCACAGAAGGCGGGGCAATATGTAAGTAAGTAAAGGTATCAACCAATACGACCTAATGAATGCCTGGTGCGTAAGGCGTGCACAAACATATGGCATCAAATCGAGACTAGTCTGGTATAGCGACGGCAGGCTGCATACTTCTGTTCATTCAAAGATTATTAAGTCTACCTAGGTATGTGATTGTCACTGTGTCGAATGCTTCCTCACCATCAAGCATGGGTTGATGGCGGGCAGAATGGTGGACCACCAATGATATACTACGCATCACTCGCCGGCCTCCATCAACCTGTTCAATTTCTCTTGGATAATGGGTCAGACATAAATATCCACGGTGGCTATTTTGGGGGTTCGCTCCAGGCCGCAGCATTTAATGGCCACAAGGACCTCGTCTGCATGCTACTCTACAGAGGGGCAGATATAAACACCCAACATTGGGTTCTTGGCATTGCGGTTCAAGCTGCTTCCATTAACGGACATTTCGAGCTTGTTCAAGAATTAGTTAATAGAGACGCAGATATCAATGCCCGATGTGGACAATACGTGACTGCACTCCAGGCCGCCGTAGAAAAAGGTCACGTGAAGACTGTGAAAACGCTTATAGGGCGGGCGCAAAGGTAAATACCCTTATCAAAGCGTCCATGCCGCTTCGTTGAGCGGCCACGAAGAAATATTTCGAACACTCCTTACTGCAGGCGCCGATGTGAATCTTCAGTATGGAAGATACGGTACGGCGTTCCAGGCGGCTTCATAGAGAAGGCATATGAAAATCGTCGAACTGTTGCTGAAAAACAACGCCAACGTCAACGCACAAGCTGGGAATTACAGGACTGCACCTCAAGCCGCTGCTAGCGAAGGGCATCAGGACATCATTGAGATATTAATCAGCAACGCGGCAGACGTAAATATTCAAGGGGTTATCATGGGACTGCTCTACAGGCTGCTGCTTTCCATGGTCACATTAAGATCGTCAGAATGCTGCTCGGAAATGGCGCGGATCCCAATAGCAATTGCGAGTGGCGCGGGAATGCTCTACAGGCTGCTTCGCTGGGAGGCCACACGGAGATCGTCCAACGCCTGCTTAACGAAGGTGCAGATGTCAATAGTAATTGTGGGCATCTTGGCAGCGCACTACAGGCTGCTTCATCTGCAAATCATGAAAGAGTTGTTTTGGAATTGCTCGATAGAGGTGCTGACGTAAATGCTCAAGGAGGGTATCATGGAAATGCGCTTAAAGCTGCGGTGGATTGGGTCTGGAATTCTAAACGACCAAGTGAGACTGTCATGACACTAATCCAGAAGGGCGCGCACCAGAAGGAAGTGAACCAGTCCCATTTATCTTTTGCGTTGAAAATTTATGAAAACCAGACATATTTAGATAGGCTCTACCTTTGGGAGGAGAAGGATAAATGGAAAGACGAAGATAGAGATTGGAGAAATAGGCGGTGCTGTTTGGGTATGTTTTGCATTTCATTATAGACTAACAGGTTAGCCAATCAGCTAGTTGAAGGAAAGTTGTATATGCAACATATTGTGAGAGGCTGAAGTGGCGGGGAAGTTGCAAGTTTGTGTCATATCAATTCTACTCATAAATTAACTAACAGGTTGTATACAGTAGTTACATTAAACGACTTTTCTAGAGTAATATATTGCATCTCTACGTAGGTCCCTAGCTATGAAGTAATGAAGTGATAATAGCGTCAAAAGGCACTTCGCGAACAGATGCTGAATCAACCTAGTACTTGCATCATGATGGTAGATAGGCAGTATTGATAGCTTAGCATTTCCATAATTCTGTTTAACCCCCATGATGTCTATATCAGTGCTTGTTGCGCAGACTTGAGACCACCAAGCGAACTAGAGATGCAGCACCGGATATCGAGATGCTGCGCTCCAGGGTTCAACAGGCGCGGTTGTGAGAAGTGTAAATCTGCCAACCCAATAGTAATGTTCGTAGTTCAAGTGCGTCGGGCGACGGTGGCTATCACGTAATGGCTTCTTCTTAATATATTATACACAATAAACTTAGGGTAATACGAGAATGTTGTGCGTCCGGATCAATTCGCCTGTTCCCCTGTTTTCTTGTGACCGATAACAGATATTATATGTAACGCGGTCTCTTCCATACTGCAATCCATCTCGCTACACTACATGGATAGAATCGGAATTGCAGAAGCATTCTCTTCGTACATCCGACCTTTCACAACAGAATGCTTGTCAAGCCACACTACCACCCTAAGCAACGTCAACAGCCGTCAAGCATCATTCTTCGTATGAACATTATGTAAGCCCACCCACCACCTAAAGACCCAGCCCCTCAATAACCTACTTAATCGCGACGCGTTTCCCAGCTACCTTCTTTTTTCAACTATAAAGATTTCAACAATTGTATAACCTTTGTTTCTACAACCTATACCATTTTAATCCTCTTTTTCTTAGCTATTCAGAATGGCCGGCCTTATTGTTTAATTACGTACAATATATATAATTATTATAATCGAAAATAGTATAACGCATCTCCCACTTAACCTGGCCACCCAATTGAGCTGGCCACCCCCTTAACCTATATAAAAATCCAATGTTTCAATTTATAATAACTTAACCAATATTGGTCCCACGATTTAATAATTAGTACCATTAGATCCGTTATTCAATGAGGAATCCAGCAATATTTTTTACTATTTTTTATAAAATTTATTAAGCGAGATATTAAGCAATACGCTAAAGGGGCGCTAGGCAAGGATTATTTTAGCGCTTACTTTAGCGTATTGCTTAATAACTCCACGACCATAGGTTGTATAAATTGATGGAGGGTACCGTTAAATAGCTCTTTTTATTACGAATCTAATGGTATATTTTATTATTTTATACGACCAATATCCGTAAAGTTATTAAATTATCACGTGATTAACGCACCGACGTTTTTTGTATGGGCAGGGGGGGTGGCCAGCTCAATTGGGTGGCCAGGTCAAGTGGGAGATGCGTTAAGTATATATAAAGCGTTAATTATTTATAACGTTAATAAATTATATATATAATACCGTTTAAACTATATAGCTATTAAAAAAGAAGCTTTTAAAGTTTAATAAGCCCTTTTAAAGGTTTAGGAAAAGTTATTAATTAATTAAGCTATTATATAAGGTAATTTAAGCTATTTTTTATTAATCTATTAATTTAAAAAATATATTAAAGCTATTTTAAAGGTAGCTAATTATAATATTAAGTTTAAAAAATATTAATATATATAATATTATATTTATTTTTTAACTTTTAAAGCCTTTTAAAGCTATATAATTAATTTTAAATATATAAATAGCACCTTTATTATTAATATTAATACTTTTTTTAATTACTTTAATTATTTTATAATTATTATAATTTCTTTTAAATATATTTATAATATTAATAAATTTAAGGTTTTTATAAGCTTTAAAAATAATAATATAATAATTAAAAATGCTTTTAAAAAATAATATATATAAAAGGATTATATAACTTAAAGTAAATAATAATAATTTAAATAATAAATATTATTAATAAAGCTATACTATCCTTTATTATTTTTATTAATAAATTTATTTAAAAATAATAATTTTTAATATATTTATATAAATATTATTATAATTAATACTTTATAAATTTATAAAAAGGTTAAATTAATTAAAAAATAGCTATATAATAGTTTAAAAAGGTATTTATCCTTTATATAAAACTTAAAAACCTTTTATAATAATAATTATTAATTATTAATAATTATAATAGCTATATTATTATTAAATTTATAATTATATACTTTTTTAATTATATATATTTTCTTTTTTTACCTTTTTATACTTTTTATATATTTTAATTATATAATTTAAGCTTATTTTTAATAATTAAATATATTTATTAAAGGATTTTAATAAATATTTATATAAAATGTTATTAAATATATTTTAATAAGTTAAAATTCTTTAAAACCTTTATAATTATTTATAAAGAATTATTAATAGAAAAAAATATTAAAGCTAAGTTTTAAGTAATTAAAATATAGCTTTATAATTATTAAAAGTTTTTAAATTTAAAGCTAATAAGGAATATTAAATATAAAAATTATAAAATAATAAAAGAAATAATAATTTAATAAAAAAAAATATTAAATTTTTATAATATTTTTAGTTTAATATTTATTTTTACGCTTTATAGTTTAAAAGATTTAATTAAAATAATTAATATTATATAGTTTAATATTTTAAGCTTTAATAAATTTACCTTTTATATATTATTTAAAAAGGTTAATAAGGGCTTTAACCTTTAATTTATAATAATTATAAATTTAATTTAAAAAAACAACAAATTAAAGGCTTAATTATAATTTATATAATTTTATAAATGTAAATAAATAATTCCGAACTTAAATAAGGACTTTGTTAATTTTCAAATAGTCCTTTAAAGTAGGGGTATTGAAATAGTAATTAAAGAATAAAGCTTTATCGAAACTATATTAGAATTTAATTAAGAAATGACCAATTTAAGCTTTAAAAGTAATAATAAGGTATAGGATTGTATTATAGTTATTATTCCGCAATAGCTTTAAATTAGCTTTATTGGTGGTTGAGAAATTAACTGTTGAAGGTGAAGGTGGTGTTTTTGGGAGGCTCGATTTTAGGTGGGTTGTTGAGGGGCTGGGTCTTTAGGTGGTGGGTGGGCTTAATATCGTAGTAGCAAGAACTTGAGTAGAGATCCACTGAAATCGGACAACTCAATTATGATGACAACATTGTTTCACCAACATGCGATGGAGCGCAGAGATGGCTCATGTGCGTTCAGCGTCTGTTCTATCACAAATGACATATATTGAATTCGTATATGCTAGGTACCGAGGGTCTAGTGCAGCTCTTGGGATTAAGGTAAACTCGCCAAGGTAACGATCGGAAGGAATGTAGGTTCATCCTGTTGGTTTCTGACTCTCACATACTGGATGGGCTGATGTTTCGGGATCGCTTGTGACGTGGCAGCTACATAAATGAGCCTCACTCTAAAATTCCCATTAAGACTTTGAGCACTTAAAGTCGCTTGCCTGCATATTCTTGCCCTCAGCTGCGTGGATCCGCTTGTTAAGGTTGTTTAGTACTTGCATAGGTAGTGTAACAGGGAATTTCTCACGCTTAATTACCTCTGGGGTTCAAACAGCGAGGAGAGTCACAAGTAAAATGCACGATGTCCCAAATACTGGAGTCATCTTCTCTAGAAAAAATATTGTTAATATCTAGATAAGGGATTGAACATGCTTGGCTGACATCTATCACTTACTTTCGTTAACCAAAAATGCCCCTTTTTCGAGCTCAAGAGGAAGTTAGAGTGAGAACGAGGGCAATAAAAAGGCGGGTATTATGGAATGCTCTGAAAGCCTGCTGCAAGCCTATGATAATTTAATTGTCAAACGACGTGCAGGGCGACGGGGATGTAATATGACATATTCGCGTAGCTACTGGGCGAGAAAATCAACTTGTCGCTTTGATCGAATCAAGGTATACAGGTTCCTTGTAAATTTTCTGCCAGACGGTACCGAGGAGTCGAGCCAAGAGAATTTGTGGCGGTTGCTTCATGTAGTTCAATGGGTTTCTATATGAAGACGAAGGACTCGAAGATGCCGTAAATCTCAATTGCGATGGATCAGCTTCTATACTCCTGACATACAGACCATATAGCCAGACCTAGGACGAGCCAAAATCCGCTCAAAGAAGCAATGGGTAAATGCTGTACACCATGCCTGCCTGTCCTCCTGGACTGTCTCACCGGACTATTCCTCCCGAGTTCGACAAATGACACCCAGTTCAAGTCCCTGCTCGACGTAGTCAACCACTGCGATGAGTTCGCCTCACACTCATCTTAAAAACAGACAGCCTCTCTAACTCACCTTAGTTTTCCCCTCCCCGAGAAAGACCTCAAAACTTACATCGCGCGAGTGAACAACCTATACCACTTCCACGTCGGCCGAGACACGACAACACTAGGTTTCGTGCTGCCCGAAGTAGCCGGCAAGTTCGGTAAGTGTGCAGGCTGGAGCGTGAATGACAAGACGAGTCCCAGAACACTTACTTTAACCGGTGGACACGACCACGACTCGCGCTCTGAGATCATCAAGACGACGATGGCGCATTTCAAGAATACGAGGGCATTCAGCATTCTCGAGAACTGGCGAGGCGAACTCAAACCATGTTATGGGCCCAAGGGCACCATGTTATTCTCCATCGAGCGGGCGGCTTTTCCTCTCCTGGGTATCGTGGCCTACGGCGTCATGCTAGTAGCTTACACGTGCAATGAAGAGGGCAGGATAAAGGGGCTATGGGTACAGAGACGATCGCACGAGGCCCGGACACACGCCGGTCTTCTCGACGGGACTGCCGCAGGTGGTGTTCCTATCCACGTAAAGCCGTTCACGACCTTGATCAACGAGGCGCAAGAGGAAGCGTCGTTCTCGGCGGAGCTAGTGGCGCAGCGAGCCAGACCGTGCGGGACTCTGTCCTACTTTCACACACGAAGGAGGGATATGGGGGGAGAAGTCGGCCTGCTGCAGCCCGGGGTACACTTCTTGTATGACATGGAAGTCCCTGACGACGTCCGGCCGACATCCAGCGATGTCAATGTGGAAGGATTCGAACTCATGACGCCGGATAGAATCAGATGGGAAATACTTGCCGGGAACGTCAAGCCGTGGTCTGCGCTCGCTGTCATTGATTTCTTTGTTCGCCACGGCATTATTCATGAAGAGAATGAGAAAGACTTCATCGAGATTTCTATGCGGCTCCACCGTAATCTAGGATTCCCTGTCTCGGGGGTCTCATTTCTTATGAATCATTCGAGTTAGTGCGAACTGATAATTAAAGGATGGTTGGGCTTCAGGAGCAGAAATATTGCTTGAAACGTCTAAGAAATTCTTATTGTGCCGTTGGCTACTAGGCTGGACACTGCTGGTATATACAGGCGACTTGCGCAAGGTTGTTTGCCTACTTCCTCTCAACAGTCGTCGGCTCCCACATTGTGACCTTTGACTTTACTCTGGTGTAATGTTAGCCGATCTAATCTCTTCCAAATCCTCTTACATGAGGATTTCACGAGCAAACACTCACGTGTTGTATGGTTTGTATGCGCCGCGGGATAATGTGTAGTTGGGAATGCTCTTGGGGTCGCTGTCCTCCCAGGCACGTTTCTTGTATTGTAGCAGGGAGTCTTGCGTCGGGGGTTTGTCGACAAGGTATGACATCCACGCGTGCCAGCCAGGTTCGATTTGGGCGCTGCGATGGTGTCGTTAGCATGATATGTGACGTAGGTAAACGAATGCTCGAAACATACGCATCGAAGTCGTGGACCTTGTAGTCTACCCATCTTGTTCGAACTAAGATCGGTCAGTACATCGGCCGTTGCCTTTCGCTCGGTCGTATAGGGATGGCGACATACGGGGTAGCTCTTCGGGGTTCTCGTAGTATTTGTTGCCCCAACGATCAGTGCCGATGAGGGTACCGGCCTTGGTGTCGCCTGGACATCATCAGCATTATAGTCCTGCACGCCCACTCCCATCACGTTGATCGCATACCGATATACTGTCCAATGCGCATCGGTGGTTAGTTGCTGTCGAGCGATCATCGGTCATGAATTCGAGGTCGACATACGTTTAATTGGCGCCAGGCATCCTAGTGAGGTGATTGTTAGCAGCAGTCGCTACGCTGGGATCACCGGTAGGATGTTCGCTAACCCTGACTCCAACCTTCCAGAGGTTCTTCACGGTTCTCGTGATGGTAGACATGACAGACGAGTCTCGATTGGGGGTGCCAACTCAACTCGATCTACCGTCGATAGTGAAGATGATGTCGGGGTTGGCGATTGACTGCGTCCATTGAAGCTAGACAAGCTTCGGCTAGACCCACTCTCGAATTGGCCAATGCCAGTCAGGCCAATATTCAGCTATCCGGCTATCGTTGGTATCGGGGTATTGTGTTATCGAAGTATCAAAAAGCAGCTTCAATAATGACGATTGCAGGAGCTTTGGATGGTGTGATGCTGTATATCGTTTTAGAGTTAGAGGAAGAATGGTCACAACAGCTTCGTTGAATTAACTACTCTCATTTCCCTTCTCTTCTCTCTCTTGTTTCTTTTTACTGGCTTCCTGCTACTCGACTGAGATGATCCTCCGAGGTACGGCAAGATGTTGTCGAAGCATACGACCTATCGTTCAGCGTCAAGCGCCACAATATGCTCGTCAATGCCGAAGACGATACTCGATTCCCGCCAGCTCAGCGCCTATAGGTAGCTCTACAAGTTCTGCAGGCATGCTGGCTCCTTTCACAAATGAACTTGACCGCCTCGCGCCCTCATTTAGGATCAATGGGTCTCAAATTCGCATCATCAAATCTCCAACCGATTTCTACGAGACACTGAAGGTACCGCGAAATGATGTCGAGACAGTATGCAGAGGCTAACCTGGCAACGATAGACCAAGATACTAAGCGCAAAGAACCGAATATTCTTGTCGACTTTATACATCGGCAAATCCGAGAAAGAGCTGGCAAGATTCCCTTCGACTTGGACCAATTGAGATGAGGTTAACGGAAGACTCAAGATCGCGACTCTACAAGAAGCGCTTCGTAAAAACCCCGAGCTCAAGTTGAGCATATTAACCGACGCCCTTCGAGGAACTCGCGAAGCTCCCCATCCCTCCTGCGCATCGCTGCTCGCGCCCCTCGTCACCGAGTTTGGCCCTGATCGAGTCGAGATTCGTATGTATCATACCCCAAACCTGACCGGGCTGCGAAAGAAGCATATACCAAAACGCATTAACGAGGGTTGGGGATTGCAACATATGAAATTGTATGGGGTTGATGATGAGATGATCCTATCAGGGTAATGATAAAAACGAGTGTGTTACGGTGTGCCCAGCAATGGCTAACATTGGATCCAGCGCCAATTTGTCCAACGACTATTTCACAAACCGCCAGGATCGGTACCATCTTTTCGCATCAAAAGATGTCACTGATTACTTTTGGAGGCTTTATCAAGGTGTTACTTCATTGAGCTTCCTTGTCGAGCCAACTCAAGAAGCTGCAGGATTCCGGCTCCAGTGGCCATCAACTAATGCTGCCCCATCTCCCCTTGAGCAACCTGCGAAATATGTGTCACAAGCGACCGATATTGTTAGGAAGTTGATTTCGTTGGGCGACGATAACGCAGGGCTCCCCTCGCCAGATGAATCGCCATCATCTAAAGACACGACTGTGTATATGCTGGGACAACTCTCCCAGTTACTACGACCTGATACTTCCACGGAGCTACCCGTTGTCACACACGTTTTGAAGACACTAGCAAAACCAGAGTACTCTAGCTCATCGTGGACTTTTACCGCAGGGTACTTCAACCCTGATCCTACGCTTAGGAATCTTCTACTCTCAACTGCCTCCCAAAACAACACGGTCATCACAGCGTCCCCGCAAGCCAACGGATTTTACGGATCAAAGGGCGTTTCCGGTCTTCTGCCTGGGGCGTATACATACCTAGCGAGACGCTTTCTTCGGGAAGTACATCAGCGCAAACGTGACTCCGCGATATTTCTAAAAGAGTGGCGAAAGGGAACTGTGGGTGAACCCGAAGGCTGGACATATCATGCTAAAGGGTTGTGGGTTACACTACCTAATGAGAAGGACCCTTCTATTAGTATCATCGGCAGTTCAAACTATACTAAGCGAAGTTATTCTCACGACCTAGAGGCTGGCGCTCTGATCGTAACCAGAGATGAAGATCTGAAAAAGAGACTAGGAGCCGAACAGAAATGGCTTCAAGATTTCGCAAAGCCCGTCACCCTGGACGACTTCGCTACTACTGAGAGGAGGGTAGGATTGAATGTCCGCATCGCTATGTGGATAGTCAGTCTTGTTGGAGGTGCCCTTTAATCCGGAGAACCCATTTGTTCCGCTAAGGAATTTGACATGTGTCAGACCGAATATCTGGGCCTTGTCGAGCGGGAGCATCTGAAATCGTGCATGCGATGTGGTAATTGATCTATCCATTAATCCACTCGACATGGCTTCCGGACAGCGGCCGTAAAACTTGGCCCCGTGGCTGTCTCCATCATTTACTGTATTTGTGAGCGGACAACTTCGCTCCGTGTACCATCTTAGACGCATCAAAGATACCCACGAATAGAATTGTACAATGATGTAACAATCATTTTTTCAACAAACTGTGCGTGTGTATGTGTGGTCAATTAGAAGACCAAGTGATTGCAACACTTGACCTTTAACATCCGCTTCGTCTCACCCCCGCATTGTCGAGATGGATTGCGGAACGGCGAATCCCCTTCTCAAGGAAGATGTTATAGCAAAACGACGAACCTTATAAAAGGGGACGTATTTCGGGACTGCCTAGTAGCTTGCGGATTTGCTCACTACACTTTCTGCCCTGATCAAAGCAAAGATCAATCACCAAGATGAAGTCACCCTCATTGCTCCTAGCGGCCCTAATCGCAGGTGCCTCGGCGACAATCTACTATGCTGGCGTTGCTGAATCTGGCGGTGAGTTCGGGGCCTACGGAACTCCAGGCACCGGTATCCCAGGCACATTTGGGAGAGAATACCAGTTCATTAGCGAAGCCGGCGTAGACACACACGTGGACCAGAACCACCTTAACCTCTTCCGCATCGCGTTCCTGCTCGAGCGCATGTGTCCTCCCTCGACAGGGCTCGGCGCGACTTTCGACGAGACACATTTCCAGCACTTCAAGGACGCCGTGGACTACGTCACCATCACGAAGGGCGCGTACGCCATCCTCGACCCGCACAACTACATGCGGTACAACGACCCGAGCGCACAGCCCTTCAGCGGCAGCGTGATCGGGAATACCTCTGACAGCACCGCGGCAACGACGGCGCAATTCGGCGAGTTCTGGGGCGAGCTCGCTGCGCGCTTCAAGGATAACGAGAAGGTCATCTTCGGCCTTATGAACGAGCCGCACGATATGGCGACGCAGCTCGTGCTAGAGAATAACCAGGCCGCGATCGACGCGATTCGCGCTGCGGGAGCGGATAATCTGATCATTATGCCTGGGAACAGCTGGACGGGAGGACATGCGTGGACCGAGGGCAGCGATCCGAGCAGTGCGCTCATGAACAAATTCGTCGACCCGGCGAATAACACTGCGATCGATATCCATGAGTATCTTGATGTGGATTTCAGCGGGGGTCATGCCCAGTGCGTCAGCGATGCGGCTACGCATCTTGCGGAAATGACCGAGTGGTTGAAGGTGAGGATTGAGTTTATGGCTCTATATACCTCAGTTGAATATTTCGCTAATATCAAATGCAGGCCAACAACCTGAAAGCTTTCATCACTGAATTCGGCGGCGCTAATAACACCGGCTGCGCCACGATGCTAGAAGACATGCTGAATTACATGTCGGAGAACGAGGAGTACATCGGCTGGACAGCATGGGCGGCCGGACCGTTCTGGGGCAGCAATAGTCCATGCTGCACGGACTCGGTGCAACTCGGAAGTTTCGAACCCGGTAGCAAGGCGTTCGACGGTTCCCCGGGCTTGTACGATACCGTTTGGCTGCCCGTTTTCCAACCGCTTGTGCCGGAGAAGCTGCAGTGGAGCGGCCCGGCGTCTGTTAATGGAGGCGAATTGAGCATGTTTGAAGAGCGTGCGGAATAATGAAGGCGGCTTTGAGCTAGCGATATACGGTCAGAGGAAGAGGCATCAAAAAGTATGCAGTGTTATCCATGTCACGACACCGCAGATTATGCACAAAACCACCATTCCTTCGCAAGATTTGCAGTACATAAGTCAACACCAAGTATATATATACAAGAAAATTTCAGCGCGAAAAGCCCACACTTTCAACTTCTAAAAGATTAAAATTACACATTAGCCCCAACGGGTACTTATTCGTGCGACTTGCTGCAACTCGGCTTCCCAGGGTCACCGCCAGCCTTAGCATCCGGACGGCCCAGACCAAGACAGCTAGCAATCTTGTAGAAAATGTCAATATTTCCATAGACGCCGCCAAAGCTAGCCTGGCAAGGACCCATGGCGAACACAGGGACATCAGTAAGCGAGTGGACGCCCGATGCCTCGTCCGTAGCCAAAGTACCGTTGACCACGAAACCGTCCGGATTATCCTCGGGGTTCGCGAAGTTATCGTCTTCATCGAAGCCCTCGATTTCCGCGGCAGGGGTCCGCGGCCCGTTCTTGTGCACGCGGAAGTTCTCGCGGTGGTCGGGCATGGCGCCGAAGCCTTGCGCGAGCGTGTACCGCGGGTCCCAGTTCACGGGGAAGTGGGCGCCCGTGTTATACGAGACGCCTGGCGCGGCGTCGGTGTATTGGGATAGGCCCGAGTTCTGGTAGGTTCCCACGGCGCGGCGCTTGGCGCGGTTCGTGGACTGCTCGGATAGGTACTTGGTGTCGACGCCGCCGAAGACGTCGAAGCCGTGGCCGTGGTCGGCCGTCACGATGACGAGCGTGTTCTCGAGCTCGCCGATGGCTTTGAGGTGGGCGATGGTGGCGCGGACCGTGTCGTCGAGCTCGAGGAGGTCCTGTGGTGGACGATGTTAGTTATGAAAAGCGAGATTAGGAAAAGAGTAAGTGGGAACGTACACCAAGAGCACGGTCGTAGTCAAGAGCGTGCATCTGCTTGTCGATGGAGGCACCCTCGGCCATGAGGAAGAAACCCTTGTCACCACCTCGCTTGTGCAGAATATCGATGGCCTTCAGAGTCATGTCCTTGAGGCCGGGGAGATCGAGAGCAGGGCCCTCAGCACCAGTGGGGTCGTTGGTGAAGTCGGCCAAGTTGTCTGTGTACACGTTGCGGTCGAGCCAGACAGGGAGGTTCGAGCGGCAGAAGATTCCGAGCGCCTTGCTGCTGTTACCGAGCTCGAGCAACGAGGTCTTGTTCATGCTGATATCGTAGCCGGCGTCGGCGAACTTGGCGTAGTAGTCTTCTCCCTTGTAACTATCCTTGCCGGGATAAAATTGTTCAGCACCACCGCCAAACCAGACATCAGGGCCCTTCTGGTTGGTCCAGGTGTAGTTCGTCACGGAGTTGAGGGCCTGGTCGACTAGAGCTCCGAACTGGTAACGAGAGCGGGAGTGGCCGGTTAGGGCAATTGGAGTGGCATCAGCAATCTGCGCTGTTGAAACAGCACCCCAGGCAGAGTCCTGGTTTTACAGGTTAGGTTTTTTTCATGTGTCAGTCAACCTGGCTGTAAAATATTGACTTACCCAGACACGTCGCAGGATTTCAACAATAGTCTCGACCTTAGGGTCGTCGAAGGGATCAGGGGAAGAGTCAGCGTAGACGCTGTCAACAAGTTAGTCTGCTATTTCTAATGGCTGACTTGTGAGGAATCTCACCCCATGGCATTAACGGTGCTCTTATGGCCAGAGTACAGAGCAGAGGCCGAGTTAGCACTATCGGTGATGTAGGTATCAAGCGAGTGTGTCATCTGGTGACCAAGCACAGGGAACTTGTCTAGCTGGAGAAGGGACTGGTATTTTCCGTTGATGCTCTTGTGGCCAATGAGGCGGGCAGCCGTGATCATGTTGGTGGTCATTCCGTCACCTATTCAAAATTAGCGCCTAGCTATGAACATCTCTTGTATCCTACTACATACCAATGAAAAGAATGACGTTCTTAGCCTTCTTCTTGGTAGCCAGAGGTCGCACAACCCACTCAGCACGAGTGGTCTTGTCACCATAGTAGCTCAACTCAACGTGATACGTGCCAGGCTCGTAGAGGGCCAATCGGCGGTAGGCCTTGGCAGCAACATTAACGACAGAGGGTGCATCGGCGTCCTCAGCATATAGGTCCTCATACCATGAGAAATCCCACTTCTCAAGCTCGGGCTCCTCAATGTCGAAGAACTTAGCAATGTCCTGTGCCTTGCCACCCTCCTTGGTGATAGTGACAGAGAATTTCTCATCCGGCTTGCCGTCATTGTAGGCCTCAGACCCATTGACCGGAGCATGGACCTCGACACGCAGGTCGAAGTACTGACCAGGGAGGAAGTCGGATTGATCCGGGGGAAGCACACAGCCGAGCGACGGGCAGGCACCGAGACGCTGGTAGGTCTGGCCAGCAACCACGGTGAAGGATGCCGCCAGGGCGGCGAGAGAAGCGACTTTACCCATTGGTCCCGGGTATTCCGATTGGCGCGCAGAGCAAATGTCTTGGTCGCGAACTCCAAGTTCCAGGGTCAGTAGAAGACTGGGTCAGATCGATCCATGGCACTCGAGGGTATCATGGCCCCGTTATATATCGCCGGTATCAATCGTAGAAATCTCGCGTTCGAGTGCGCCAAGGTCAGCCTCTGGGACCCATGTCGCGATGGCTTGAGCCATGAAAGCTTCTATGCAGTGAGTATGCATGGGAACATCACCAAGCTCGTGGATGTTCATGGGTTAACAGGGCTGGTCATCTTGGCGATTCCACTTTTGGGCACGTTCTCAGCATTTGCATGGCTGTACGTCGTCATGATCTAAATTAGACGGCTCTAGTAATGAGTACAATTACCGACAATCACGGTGATTGTGCATACCACGTGTTTCCCAGTTCCAAGAAAAGCTCATGGGTTGCAGCCTTTTTCACCAATAGCGATATGGTAAGACACGTGCTTAGCTACCCGATGCTATCTATGAATTCTTGGGTGCGGGGAAGAGCACAACGCGAGGGTGAGATAGTGTCTCCAGATGGTGATAATTTGTCGAAGTTAAAATGTGATTCAGGAGTCTAGACGGGCCGCCGTCTTGCTCCGCAAAGTCGTGTGCTCAGTTGCATTGTCCTACACTGCACGAAGATGATTCGTCTACCATGTCCATGTGAGGCAGCTCAGACATGGTGTGAGTTACATCCAACCCATCCTCTGCGTTACCGGCACGGTACCTGTCAAGTCAGCTCCAGCCCGGGTCTTCAGCTCATCTGTGGGTGTTCTCCAAAGACAGACCAACTGTGGATGGGATATGGAAACAGCCCATCGGATTCCAACACCGTACCAGCACAACATGAGTTGGCTTGGCTTGGCGAAGGAGAATAACCAATTTAACGTGAGGTCGACAACGTGGACGATATTCGCCTCATGATTGGGCGCTGAGGGCGAGGACGTTGACGTCCATGTCTTTGCCAAGACGACAAAGTCTTAAGCTGAGGACTTGGCGATGTTGGTCTCCACAACAGCTTCGATCGAAGTTGAGCTACATGCATACCTTTTCAACCGCCCAATTCACTGCCATTATGGCTGGCCAATTTTCACAAAAATGCAGGAAAATCTACCCGTTTCCAGCGTTTTCAAAGCAGCACGAACATTTCAAGACGTTGTCAAACGGATGCTGTGCTCCCGACAACGGGCTTGGCACTGGCTCTGCGGCGACCCCTCATCAATATGGCTACACTTGTGAGAGGTGAAGTTGAAATGGGCAAAAGGAACAATGAATTAGGATGGGGTATCGTGATGCGTACCATGTCCTCTATATCTACAGAGTTGGACAAGGTTAATTGAAGAGCAGATTGAAGCCAATTGACTGATTATGAGTGGCAAATTTTCATAATATCATAGTACAAAACTCTTTGCTAAGATGATGCCCGAAAAGTCAAAGCGGGGTTGCAACATATCCAAACCGCCTTGCACCCATTTGAGCGACAAGACATGATACGGATAGATATACGGATTCTCTGTACGGAGTAGCCAGCTATAAAAGAGGAAAAGATCACGCTCTCCACCGATTCCTGGTGTTGCGGCGCACCCGACCAGGGGCCCGAGATCCCGGACGCGATGACGATGACAAATGGATGACGTAGTTGACGGTCAATCAATTGGCACGCAACGCAAAACACCAACATGAAACTGGTTGCCTATGTCGGCTTATATAACCATTTCAATCAAACATATGCTCCTCATGCATAGTCAAGAGAATAATAAATTCAGTTCACATAGTTACCACTGAATATCCCATTGCTACAATCTGGAAAGACGGACTAAAAGCGATTCTCCAAACAACTAACATCGATAATCATGTATATCCCCACAGCACAGAGCGTCCTAACCGCAGGCCTAGCCCTGACAGGTTTACACAACAAACGTACGGTTATCATATCCTCCCTCATTGCAGTATTCTATCATCTTCGTTACCGCACCTACTAACCAAACCTCAGCATCGGAGGTAGCCTCAGGCAAAGTCATGGACTACGCAGTAGAAAAGTGCTACGACGGCGACAACACGCGCTGCACGACGCCGTTCCTAGTGACCAAGTCGACGTGCTACGAGATCAAGTGGTCGACGGCGGGCGCGCTAACGCACACGACGGCCGAGGTCCGCGACGCCGGCTCCGGCGAGCTCGTCTACTACCGCGACACGGACGGCCAGTGGACCCCCGAGAAGGGCGAGCTCGTGTACATGGACTTCAAGCCCAAGGTGCCCGGGACAGGAAACTCGACGGTCGAGTACCGGGTTACTACATGCGAGTAAATCCGCGTGGGTGAGTGAGTTACGGATCTACTTGGGTACGAGAGATGAGGGTTGGAAGAATACCGGGTTCGATGCAGAAGAATAATGCGGCCGGTTAAAGAGGCGCGGGGAAGACGATGCATGTGTACGATAAGATCCGGCTGGGATGGTAATAGCAGGCTTCCTGCGAACTCGCGATGTACATGAACAACAAGAACAGGAATTTGAATAGTTAGCCCTGATATCAGTGCCCGACATCATCGCAAAGTGAACATGAACTTAGTTCGCTATGGCGTAAACTAAAACAAAGCATCTCACGCTCATCATTCTGATCCAGGCAACGAGCACATCGGATTCATCACTCGTGTTACCATCGAGAGTAGCTCTGATTCGCTAAACATCCATCGCTGAATTGAACGATAAGTATGTTCTCTTTGGCCCTATCATACGCGCCAACAGTCCAGCACGGTCTCGGATGGCCATGCAATGCAGTCATGAACTCTCACATTCCACACCCTGTTTCCAACGATAGTTTCCGGATATGCATACTCATAGCATCGCACACGCGGCCGGCGCCTATAACCTGATCGATTATTTCCTCTAAGCTTCGCTAGCACGAAACGATGACCTGCTTATAGATATAGAAAACCCAATATCAGGGAAGTTCAACCGATCCATGCAGATGGTGCCTTGGAGACCAGGAAACCAAGCGTGTGCTTCCGTTCAGGTGTATGATAAGTCAGAACTCTGGTAATCATCCTCTTCTGCGGCAGAAAGTCTTGATTCCACACGCCTAATGTCGCATCAAAGCTGGCGCCACGAAAAGTTAACTCCCTTCATCCCAGGTAATATAAAACCCTGCTCCTAGTCTCGCAGCGCCTTTTCCCAACTATTCTCATCACATCCTTCTCGTTCCCCGCGCTTCTCATCCAAAGATATCGAATCAACACACCACAAAAAGCTATACAGCAATGGGTAAAAAACAGCCACAAGCTTCTTTCGTTCGTTTCCGCCAACTACCAGCCGAGCTTCGGCTGATGATCTGGGAAGCGAGTCTGCCGGTTCGGAATATTTGGACGACTACTGATTGGATCAGGTCGGATCTCACGCGGTGCGCCAGTGACACGGTTGTGAAATGCGAACAATGGAGCAGAAACAGGCCTGCGCACCTCTGGACATGCCACGAGGCCCGCAAGGTAGCTCTCGAACGACGTCCCTGGAAATTCGAGCAGATAAACATGCTCTATATACACAGTGGTCTTGCTTGGGGCATTTTCTACGGTAGATACTGGGAAATCTACGTAGGGCGTGTCCGCACGCTGGTCCTCGGTACTGAATGGCTATACCAGAAATCAAGATCAGTTGCAGTCAGCAGACTGTTCAGATTCAAACAGCGCGAACTACACTTGCTGGACCGGCATATGCAATCAATTCGTACAGTGTTTCGGACCTGGCACAAAAGAGACCCACTGGCAAGCACGGTGGACAAGATTGTGTTCGTCATGGCAACGGTGAGATGCCGTGGGCCAAAATGGCTTTTCGAAGACTCCGGCCTTGTGGTGCTTGGGTTCAACGATCCAAGACTAGTACGAGCACTCAATTACGTAGCGTCTTTGTGGGCGCGTAGAAAAGCTGGGAGCAGCCAAAGGGCCCAGAGGGCCGTTTACGAAGCGAGAGAGAGAGATAAAAAGCTCCTTCCAGAATGGGCTGCCATGAAGTACCCAAAGCTAGCATGCGCCGTCAGTCGTCTCTCGTCGGCTCTAAAGAGACTCGCAATTGATGATCCATTCACGAGTCAAGTTCTGAAAGATGGGAAGCTCGAATTGGCAATAGCTTTTGAGAAGAAAGGCGGAGTGCCATATTGGGAAAAACGCTAATACGAGTTTCAAAGACGCTTAGAACTTCAGACGCTTACATAAAGCACTATTAACTCGCTCGTCATCATCATCATGAACGAGACTCCGCCCTTTGACTCTGGAAGGCCCAGGTTTCATTTCAACCCAGTCCAATGCCGCATTCCACGTGCCGGCCTTAGTGAAATCTCCAGTCGAAGTGTTCAGTACATAAGCAAACCTGAAATATTCGTTCAGAGCAGAGCTGTTATCACGGGTCCATACGAACTCATCAGAACCCTTTTCGCCAAAGTAACCTCTGAACCTTTCTACATCATTTACTAGGATGCTGATGCCCATATAGTCTGGACTGGATGGAGTCTCCCATTTGAAAGTGATTGATGCGGGAGAGTCGTTGATGATTGGAGGTAGAAGAGTAGGCAACGCAGAACCAAGCTGGCCATCTCCCAGCAACGCTGCTTGCGTTTGAAGCACGGGATCAAATCCCCAGCGGGCGATTCCATTGACAAAGAACCCGACCAAGAGGCCTTGATAAACCAGGGAGTAATGTGTCTGTATGCTGGTCCCAGGGAGGAGCAGCAGTGCGAGAATATAGTGGTGGAGTCGCAACTCAAGACCTGGCAAAGGAAGTGCAACGAGGATGGCAACGAGGAGTAGAGCATACAGCTTCAGGTAGCGGATGAATCGACCCTCCTGTTGAAAATCCCATGCTTGGAAAATGATGATAACGACCAGGATAAAAAGAATGAATGACAGAGCAACTATGGCGCCTGGCTGCTGGTTGAGGTCATGGCCGGTCAATCTCGAGATAGGGATGGCGTCAAAAGTATAGTTTGTCAAGGCACCTGTCCAGCATGCACCAAGCCACAAGATTGTTTTCTCAACTTGAGCGGTCAGTCCTCTAAGGATGCGCCGAACGCCCATCTTGTCATAGAAAACCCAGGCGCAAAACATGGCCGGAAGGAATTTACCCAGCAAGTTAGAAAACAATGGTGCGAAAGCCCCATTAAGAGGTCGATCGGAGGCCAAGCCAACCTGCCAGAAAGTAATGATAAAAGTGGTGAAGAAGAAGGCGGCGGAGGATGTAGTGAAAAGAGATAGCACAGCAGTGAAGGTCACGGATATGGCGAACAAAGACCACCTAACATCTTTAGCGTCGCATTCGATGCCTGGAAGGAAGGTGAAGCTATTATACACGCTGGGGTCAGTAATGGCCAGATAGGGAAGCGGTTCAGCCCAGATTTCGGGAACATGCCAGAGCATGGGACCCGAAACCAGCTTAAGGGGGGAATAAATGACTTCAAGGAACTAACCTGAGGGGAAAATTGGAATCAAAGGCAAAGCTCTCTATACCATGACGCTTCGACGCAACGTAGTCTCGTTGCTCGCCAATGAGCGACACAACACCACAGCCACCTTGCGAGCTGGAAATGATACCGGAATGAATAGCAGCGCCACATATATATGAATCACCTCTATACACCGGATTCAAGTCGTTAGACGGGTCAGGGGGGCCGCCAACAATCAAAGGCGCATAAACAATTTCCTGGGTGCCAACAGCTCGAGGGTTAAGCGCACGATAATTCCCGCAGTTTGCAGGACACCGGAAAGCAAAGCCTGTGTTGTCAAAGGGCCGGCAGTTCACGCCGTCAAGACCACAGCCATCGTTCTTGTTCCAGTATGATGTGCCACAGCTAATAGCGGAAGGCATTCCCCACCCTTCAATCTTGGAAGCATTCTGACTTTGCCAAAACACAAGGGCAAAGGTAATAATCCAGGCACCAACGTAGGCGAAAAGGAGCCATAGACGATGTCGTTTCTCGGGCAAGACTCGATCAAAGAGGCGAAGGTGCGCATGCTGTATCTGTGGAAAGAGGGGGTTGATCTTGTGTATCTTGGGAGGGTCAGGACCTTTAGCCCACTCCGGGCGACTTTTAACCCACTTCACGCATTCGTCAAGTATTTTACGTGGGGGATATGGAACCCATTTCAAGCGTCTCCGGCCTTGCTGATCTTGCATAAAGAGCGGCGGAGGGCTATCGTCGGCACGTTCAAGTCTTTCAAAATCAAGAGGCGCGTCAGGGTCGTCGAGTAAATGCCGACGCAGTGGACGTCTTTGTTGAGCTTCAAAGTCGGGTGAGCCGGAACGGGAGTCAGTACTACTATGGCTCATGGCTATTACGACGCTCGCTGGCGTCCGGTGTCGGGTCAAAAGACAGCAGCATCAATGTCTGACGTGGTTTCGAAAGCAAAGCCACAAAGTGAGGTATCGTATGTGTGTATACAGGCGGGGACAGATCCGTCGTTGATAGGGATGTTGTAAGCGGCGGGAGGTAGGTGTTGGTGTTTGATTGTTCGGGAGGATAAATGTGTGATACAACGAAATCTATAAAGCGGTAACAAGATAGCATGGAACGACAATCATCCTCGATCGTGCAGATGATTTTGTGGGAGGACTCGGAATGAAGTAGTATTGAAGTAATGTAGAAAGGCTGAGAGCCTGCTCTGCCGTAGTCTATTCTATATAGAAACTAGTTTCAAAGAGACTGGAAGCTGAAAACTGTGTTCCAAAATGTAAGAAAACGCCCAGCCATGTCGGAGCACGTTAGTACGATGTTTTGCGGAGAAGATGACAAGCAAGACGACGGAGATCCCTTGATCCATCGTCGTTGAGTTGGGGGTGGTTTCTAAAAATATGCTTCTTTTCCAGGGAGGCAGCTACGATAGCATGTACAGTACTCGCGGGGGCTCCACTTTCCATCTCCAATCTGTGCTCTTGACAGTTGCAAGAACTAAGTAGGTACTTAGAGTTTGGTGAGAACTGCGCGTAACCCATGGTACCCCCGACGTTTTCAATCCATCTCGTCATTTACAATTCAACGACCACGACCTTCCCAATTCCCTGGTGAGAACCAGAGCCAGAAGGAAGAGCAAAGGTTAGAGATGGAAAGTGAGTGATCCGATGAATAGGTAATGTAGGTACTGTACCTAGAGAGGTACTTGGAGAAGCTTTTATCTTATCTTATCTTCGGCGCCACTGCAGCCTGCCAGCTGTTCACAACTGCTAGCATATTCTCACCTCTCTTCAGCCCAGTTCTTAGAACAATAGCATGTTTAGAATTGAGATTATGAGGCTTTCATCGCAAAGTAGAAACGTCTCCGAGCTCTGAATCCTAAGACAGTCTAGAGACGGCATACACTTGCAAGTTTTTGGACGAGTGTTTGCATTGTTCTCACATGTTGCTACTTTACGCCTACGCCAAGAAGATCCTGGTTCTAGATTCGTCTTGCTCACTCACATACAGTTCCGTACCTGATACTCGCCCACTCACTTAGTTGGTTACTTGTTAACTATCATATCAAAGCATGGTTACATCCGAGGCTGATGGGAGGGCAATGTTCAAGATCCTCAAGACTGTAGCCACCGATGGCGTCGGCGCTCGTCTGGGGACACTATCGCTCCCCAAGCGCCGCCCAATCGATACACCCAATTTCATAGGTCTCACTGCGCGAGGTGCCATACCTCATCTGACCCCGGATAATGTCAGCAAAAATTCTGAGCTTGGTGGAGTATATGTTGCTCTTGAGGATTGTAAGTCGGCTTGTAGTAGTGCCTTGATCCCAACAGACTTGGGCTGGGCTGGGCTGGTCTGAGTTGGGTCTCACATCTGAGCTAACACGGCGCTCAGTCATGGAGACGACTCGAAAAAAGACCACACCGCCGCTTCTAGATATCAACTCGGAAAGTGTAGAGCCTTTGCACTCGTTTACGGCAACCCCTTCGCATATGTTCACCGTCCTCGGCGCAAGGCGGCACCCAGCCATCAATTCACCCCTGGGCAATGCGACAGACTCAATATCCATCTATACTTCTACTGGGTTTCAGAAACTTACGAATGAGGCGTACCGGAAGTATATAGGCACTATACGGCCAGATATCGCCATCCCGCTAGCAGATATGACATATTCGCAAGCCACAAACCCCATCGACTCGAAACGACGCACCAACATCGCGAGCTCAAAACGGCAGCTTCGCATGGTGGAACGGACCGAGGACTGGCTTGCTAAGTTTTTTGAGGCATCCGAAGACAGTAGCGAGCAAATCCATCCTACAGTCTTCGCCCCGCTTCTCCCATTATCTTATCCTACGCAGTGGGAATACTTCAACCAGCTAGAGCAAGACTTCGCCGAAAAGCTATCAGGACTGGCAGTCTACGATGTTGACGTTCTTCCTGACTTGAACAATCACAGTCCCTTGATACCTTTGCCCCGTCTTTCGCTCGATTACACAGCGACGCCACAGGAGATTCTTCGCCAAATTCAACTAGGCGCGGACCTCTTCACTGTGTCTTTCCTTAACAGCATATCCGACGCTGGCATAGCGCTCTCATTCACGTTCCCACCTCCCTCAGATTCAGATTCTGGTATCAGACCACTTGGTATAAACATGTGGTCAAAGGAGCACGAAGTCGCAGTAAAGCCACTTATAGAGGGCTGCAAGTGCTACGCCTGCACAAAACACCACCGCGCTTTCCTACATCACTTACTCAATGCGAAAGAAATGCTCGGCTGGACACTCTTGCAAGCCCATAACTACCAGGTCATCAGCGATTTCTTCGCGGACATTCGCGGCTCGCTGGATGCAGACCCTCCGACATTTGAAAAGGGCTACGACAACTTTATGAGAGTTTACGACTCAGAGCTACCTGCGGGCACGGGAACTAGGCCGCGCGCGCGGGGATATCATTTCAAGAGCCAAGGAGGTGATAACAAGATCAACGCTCCCGGATGGGAGAAGTACAGCACAGATAGCGATCCGGCTCTAGCGGGCGAGATGGCAGGGCTGGCTGTGACTGGAGCGGCAGCAGAGGGCAAAGAGACACCTCTTATACCTGATACCGACTCTGCTGAGCTCGATAAACAGGGATTCGCTGAGATCTCAAAATAAAGCGTCAACCTCACTTTAATGAAGCGACCAGAGAGAAGTCACCGGCGTTCCGACCCCGAAATGCTGGGTTGCCAGTACATAACCGCAGAGTTTCTGCACATACAGTGTACAGCAGAGTTCATGAACCTCGTGCGTAAGAACCAGCTCATGTGCTCTAGCCCTGTCATAGATATACCCAAAAACCAATCTGTCAACAACACTCCACTGCTCTAAAACGTGCCGTTCGTTTACGACTTCGGCCTTATTTGATCCAATGTGCTAATTGTGGCCATTGAGCTCATATAGTACACAAATCGACACGAAATTTATGAGTAGCTTGTAATATTGGACACTTGCTACTTCTCTACGAGGAATATGTCAATAACACCCGCCATCTTAGAAGATTCCAGATGCCATCACTCATATTCATGGATGCAGCAACCTAGCCCATAACATGGTAACTGAAGATTCTGACATTCAAGCATTAACACCTATAGATGAAATACACCCCAATACAGAGGGAACCCATTATATCCGACTCCCAAACGCCGAGCGAAAACGCTGCAGCGCATGATTCCCATTCCTCCCAGTCCGTCTAGAATCTATATCTATGGTATCCATTGTGTGTATGAGGTTCCAGATCCCAAGCCAAACCCAGTATTCCGTGTTCCTGGTTTCCGAATGATAAGAGATTCTATCTCTATGATTAAACAAAACAAAATAAAAGATGTGATGATAGAGGTTAAAGTAACACTGCTGTGACTCTGTCGGCTCGTTCACCTCCATGTGTGCAAGTGACGCCGGTCAAAGTCGCAAAGACTCAGGTCCAATACGGAGGCAAGGGTCCAGCAATGCTCGGCATGAACAGCCGTTATCGGTTGACTTCCAGATTACTGACGAGAGCTAGATCACTCGCGATCGCTCAAACGTTACTGCCGCCTTTCTTCTCCGGGACGAAAACGCCCGCGGCCTTCTCATTCGCGTCGTCACCCGCATAAGCATATTTACTCCGCTGACGAATTCTCTCGCCGAATTTCCAGAACAGGAACGGAATGGCGCAACAAGCGAGACTAATCCCAAAGATAATAAAAGTAGCCCACTGGTATCCGAGATTATGATACATCTGCCTCGTGAACAGCACCACACTGGCGCCCCAGAGCGAACGGATGAAGGTCTTAGAGGCGAGCGCAGACGCCGCGCGGTCCTGGTACGTGTCGACGAGGTAGTTGTTGGCGCTGTTGTAGATGAAGATGAAACCGAAGCCGACGGGGAAGCCGGCGAGCGTGGGGCCGACCCAAATGAGGCGCGGGTAGGATGTCCATGCGAATATGATCAGACCGAGCGGGATGAACCAACATGCGAACATCATTGGGATGAGGCGCAGTTCGGCGGGGGGCATACGGCCTGCGTACGGCGCGATGATTTTAACGTAGTGCTTGTTGACGAAGGGGGCGCAGAGAGCAGAGCCTACGACGCCGAGAGCGAGGGGGATGCTGGTTATGTTTTGGTTAGATATAGTTCGGCGTGAAATGGGGGGGGGTGGGAGTGAAAGCAGGGACTTACAAGGTCAGACCGGTGATACCAGCTGAATACCCCTTTCCTTCGCTGAAGACGATGGGAAACGCGATGAAGAACATGTACAGGAGGCCGTAGAGCACTGACATGTACAGCGAAATGAGGAAGACGATGAGCTCGCCGAAGAGGAGCTTCAGGGGCATGATCAGGAAGATGCGTATGCGCTCAGCAAGCGGACGCATGTCGAGATCCTGTTCTGTGACCCAGTCTTGCTCGCCAGTTTCCTTGCGCAACTTCTTGGCCCGTCGGGCGAGGATGGTGGGGGCGTAGGTCTCGGGGATGGTGAACGTGATGAGAACCCAGATGACCCCAGAAAGGATAAGCGTGAGCCAGTACAGCCATCGCCAACCAAGTGCATCAGAGAGGAAGCCACCAACGAGGGGACCGACCGCAGGCCCGATGAAAGGAGCAGCTGAGAAGGCAGCCATGGGAATACCCCGTTCCTCAGCCTTCCACAGATCAGCAAGGGTGCCGCCGATAATAGTAATAGGAGCAGAGAAGGCGATGCCATCAATAGCTCGTCCAACCAGAAGCGTCGCGATGTTCTTCGCTAGTGCGCAAGGGATGATGAACACTACAGCGACAAACAGAGTCGAAACATAGATAACTTGGCGACCGTAAACCTCAGACAAGGGGGCGAAAGCCAGAGGCCCAATACCAAAACCGACGACGAAGAGGGTGATACTCAAAAGGGCGACTTCTTCGCTGACCTCGAACTCCTCGGCCACGCCGCCGATGTCAGGGGTGACGACGGAAGAAGCGAAGGCGACGACGAAACAGGTCGCTGCCACGACCATGGTGATATACCACTTGAACGCCTTGCTCCAGTTCTTGGGGTTTTCTGGATCTCCTGGCTGGAAGGTGACAAGGCGGTAGCGTCGTTCGCCATCGGGCTCGATTGGGCCTGGTATCTGGCCATCTCTTGTCTCAACGACATACTCATCGAGGTTGGCAGTATTCGAAAGTATCCGGTTTGGCAAGTTGATATCGTAGCTCATAGTCGGGACCAGGGGCACATCTACGGTGCTTGACCGTGAGGAAGAAGAGTCGCATTGTGTAGTGTCGGTGGTGTCAGGATGCCGACTACTAGGGTCTGTTGTTGTTGTAGCCATGACGGTTGAGTGTGTACCATCGACTGTTAGTGTCAATAAAGGGGGGCTAAATCAGGGGAAGCAAAATCTGTTCCAATACCGACGATATCATGGACCGTGCAAACACAAGATGCCTCAGGGGTGAACCCTTTGTTTATATATCAGATAGGGGGTGGCAACGAAGTAGCGTCCATGTCGATATAGAGATATTTCATTTTGTCGCTCGCCATGGCGAAGAGGCGAGCATCTCACCTGATTAGCTGCAACAACGATATTGGTCGGAGGATGTCCGATAACGCGGGACCACATGTAGCTCACGGCTTTGACTCTGACGCTATCTCGGCGAGACCAATCAAAGTACCTCTGGTACTTTATGCTCGGAGTCAGGTACATGAACCTTCTGGGCGAAGTAGCGTGAAAAGGGTACGCGAAATTTTGCTTCAAGGGTATACCTATTCTACCGCGCAAGCGCCGACGGGAACACAGTGGATCCAGCTATTAAAAAAGATGCGTGATGAGCTCTAGGCATTGGACTTTTGATACAGCTTGTCAAGGCGTCGAATCCGATAAATCCTCGCCACGCCGTTGTAGCACTTAGGCGTGCTCTGGGCGTGGCATCCCGTCTACCAGGTATCGCATTTCAGGACCCAGTATTACCCGTACAGCTTCAGAATGCCCAGACGCTTGGGTCCACCGGGAGGGCTTCGAGAGGCTGATTCTCGCGAGAAACGATAAAACGCGAGAGAGCGAATCGACAATTGGTGCCCAAGCTTCGGCGCTTGGCAGCAAAAATTTATCTTGTTTTCCTGAAACCTCAGATTCCAATTTTACCTTTCAATTTTAGATATTGGCTGATGCCTTTTCATCTTATTTTATTTTTCTTCGTGGATTCGCGATGGACTGGTGCTATGATCGGATACCTACTTCGGCACAGGCTGTCAACTTCGGACGATGAGGAAGTAGAGCAGACAGCTAGACTGGAAGATAGAGGGTCGAGCCCGCCTTTCGCTTTCATCAGGCCGATGTTAGGAATTGTGGTTAAGGAGGCTCTTCTGTATCTCGATGTGATCAGGATATGTTCATGTATGCGTGATCCTCGCTTCCATGCTGGTGGGATCCACCGATGGCCGGCTGGGCTGCATAAGCTCCCTTTAGCTTGCAGTTGGTACCTGTCAGTGTCTCAGCGTAGGGTTACTCTGTCTTCCCATCTGCGTCATATTGTGCCGTCACCCGTTCTCCATAACTCCGGATGTAACACTCATGACGAATATGTACAGGCCGTGGCTTGTAATATGTATGTTAATCAAGTTATTTGAGTGTAGCTAGTTTGAACAGTTTGATATCTTAAGCAGCTGCTGAAGATGCAAAGAGGGCATGAGGAGTGTCCGTGACTTGACGGTGGCGACTTTTCAAGAGATTACACTAAGACATGTACTTATGTAGCTGTTTATCCTTTCGTGGTTAGTTTCCGGCCGGCAGATTTGTGGACTCGGACAAATCAGAAAAGATCTTCAAGTACTGCAGAGGAACTCGGATTACTACATGCAGGAATACCTAGCTTCGCTCATGTTCTCGAAACGACCGGAACGCCTGAGCTTCTTCATACAGAGAATTTCGAGGAATGAAGCTAAAGGTATCGAATTTATTAAACGTGCCGCTTTGTATACCACTTTCTTCATCATCCACGTGGGATAATTGAATAGCTTCGAGTCCCTAAGTACATTATGACCACTGACTGGGGTGGGCTGTAGAAGACATATAAGCTCCACTAACCCCTTTTAGCAGTAGTTAGTATACATGTATATAGACTTGGCCCTGTCATTGTGCACGCGTCCAAAACAAAATCGAAAGAGCGAGAGAAGGTTTTGAGACGCGTCTTTAACCTCAAGAACTCGCCGTTATTCGCGTCAACATGGTATTAATCTACCGCTTCTGCTACTCAACTCTGTAGAGCCATGACGTTCTATCATGTTCTATGGGTTCTATAGCTTATGACCGAGAGATACAGGTACAACAAGGATGGTTTATCTTATCACTAAAGACCCACGGTTGGTTCCAGACTGTGCTTGAGGGACGCTAAGCCTTCCATGAAAATCTCTGGCCCTCCGCTAGGCCGAGACTGTTTAGCAGTTTACCGAACCATATCCGATAGACAACGACACCATCCCATATCTTTAATACCCTCATTCTTTGTTAAGGGTATATATCTCTGACAGTACTTTACAATAGCTTTGGGCAGCTGGCAAAGTGTACGAAGCAGTTAGTCCCCAGAGCATGAGACGCATGTTTCAATCTCTAAAATGGTAAAAAAAAAAAAAATTAAAAAAATAATAATAAAGAGGGTGTTAAGCGAAATTTACGTATTCTGACTATACAACAACAAAGTTGCCAAAGAAAAATCACAACCCCTGAAGACAGGCTCAATTTTAACCTAGGAAGATCTCAAGAGAACTCTTCGTTGGCTACCATATGCCGGTGGCCTTCGTGGTCTCATTCAGCTTCTTCTGGATCGCAATATGGTCATGGGCATACGGCCCGAAACGACCTGCCACTGGCCACTACTATGGATGTTATCCAAACAACAGCACTATCGCTACTGGAGTGACAGGACTACATTTGATAGTCTCTAGGTCAACGCAAGATAGCACCTGAAGTGCTAAAAGATGAGACGAATATATTATCTAAGCAATGATCATACTGGCAGTATTGGTATATATAGAGTACATTTGAGGTAAAAAGTTCTTCATAGTCTGATCGGAGCGGAAACAACAGGTGTATAGGCGCCTTCCCATTGAGGTGACTACAATATTAGTGAATAGCGAGGTCAAGTAGGGATGTATATCAACGTTAGAGAGTATTCTTTAGATAGTTATGGGCACGACTTGTTGTGTATAATACTGAAGCAGATTATTTCCAATGTAACACCTGCATTGCTGTGGTTTTTTGTCGTGCTGTCGCCCTTACCCCTGTTCCTTGATTGCCGCTTTCCGCGGGAACCGGATATCCTGGAATTTAAATGTAGGCCAAAACATGCTCCAGACCATTGCTCCACCCGTCCACGTATCTCCAAGTGTTCTTAGCGGTATCCATCTCATAGTACTTCGCAAGTATCACTGAGGATTCAGTTCTACCGGTTTCTGCACAGGCTGTTTCATCGTCTTTCTACATATTAACTATGTGGTCAAGACTGACGACAAGCAGAACAGGTATTACTCCTAAGCCTACATTTAGGCCAACCGGCAATTTTCACATATTATACTCCAGTTTTCTCCGAATTCTCAGATAGTCACTCAATATACTTGGCTGCAACAGGAACTGATCCGAGAAATCTGATCCCTCCCTGGAAACATCGCTTTGGTTCGCGTTGGCACGGGCAATAGTGATAGTGTTGCTCGGCCAGCGGGGAGCGCCAAGCCAGGCATCTGCAGGGCTAGCATCGGGATATCTCTCACTCGGAAACGAATATATGATAGCTTCAGGGTTGAAAAGAAACCCTGTGCCCGACACGGCCAACACCTCACGCCGTACCACCAATACGGCCCCCCCAAACGCCATGTTCGATAGGATACCGTTAAATAGCTCTCTTTATTACGAATCTAATGGTATATTTTAGTATTTTATACGACCAATATTCGTAGAGTTATTAAATTATCACGTGATTAGCGCACCGACGTTTTTTGTATGGGCTGGGGGGGGGGGGGGGGGGGTGGCCAGGTCAAGTGGGAGATGCGTTATACGGTTATTCGAACTGTTGTCTATACTTATGAGTTAATCACATAACTCCTAAACAACGTCACAGCTAAAGTTAATATATATATAATGAGAGTAAAGGATAAAGGGCACATATTTCTTTTGTCATAAAAATAAGCAGACTGGTAATGGTTTACTTACTCCTCACATTAAGGTGTCTTCACTTGATAGAAACTGCTACACGTACAACCTCTATACCAGCTGAATATACAGTTCGCCTTATACTTCGGCCGTACGAAGGACCATTATAAGCTGTTCATGATCTTTTAAAACATGCAGGAAATATTGGGCAATATTGGAAAGTGAGGTTATATAGACTTCGCTTCTTAAAACAAACCCTAGAGACCTAGGCGGTCTGGGCTGGTAGACCAGTTGTATATAGAGTCAAGTCAAGCTACCAACAGCCAAGAAGGAGTTGGTTAGCCAAGGACTTATGCAGCCCTACCCAGTATTACTGCCCTTATTATAGAAACATTGGTGGAAAAGTCACGTGATTGTGATACCAACTACCATATAAGTGACAGCCCTTATATTTAGTTATGCATGTATCTTACGTGGTTTAGGACATGGGCACAAGTCGAGTCTATAATGAAGTGACAAACATCTGAAAAGATTCTCCTATTCATCTCCTCAGCTTGACGGATTGGACCGTGGCGATGTCTCCGTTTCGTGGACACAGTAGGATTCCATTCGACATCATGCTATAGAGATGCACCTCATCAGCGGTAACCCAGTCTCCAGGCAGGAAATAGTACTGCTCGATGGTCGCAATACCTTCCTCAGCACTTTGAGCTGCTTCGAGATGCCCCAGATGTGGGACTGGAAGGCGCCATGAACATATCCAACGATCGATGTCGAGGAAGACAAGTCTCCGATTGGATAAGAAAGTTAGAGGTTCACGTATTCGGCTTGCAATACATGCTGGAACCAACGTATACGGAATCTCTTCTTCGCTGGGTATCTTCTCACCTGCTTCTGGGCCAAGCCCGAGTTTGGCGATATCGAATATCAGATACTGCATTTCGACTTGGCCGGATATCAAGCGAGATATCTGCAAGAGTACATGTGAAGCATCGGCATTAGAAAATAGTCGCCCCAGTTTTTCAGTATCCTTGGGAAGACTTCTCGAATTTTCTTGCAGAGAAGAAGCAGACTGCTCAGTGGAATAAACCAAACTTCTCGGAGGGGAATAGTTGTAAACCACGACTTCTTTGAGAGTGGCCCAGTGGACCACTCTCACAGATGCCACTCCGAATCCGAGTATGTAATCCGCCGTTTTCGGGTGGCGTAACCATCTGACCTCTCCTATGGATGGTAGTAATGGTGTTTCATTAACTTCACGGGATATAAGGTTGACTGAGAGTAGTCTGGTGCAGGTGGTGACGAGCAATTCGTTCTTGACGCTATGGAACATTAGTTGGTCGACATGGCCTTCGCTGTTTAGGCTGCTTGGGGGTATCGAAATGTTGAGCTCCGGCTGGCTGTCCCAATCATCGGGGTTAGTGCCAGTCTTGGTCAATCGTTTGACTGAAAGTCTCCAAGCGAGATCTACTAGTGCGACTAGTTGGCCATTGTCGCTCCAGGCTATCTGCATTATTGACATGAGACCCTTCATTCGTTCCAATTCGCAGATCCGACCGCGTCCCACCTCCCCTAGGTATGCGACACCATTTTCTGTGCCATAGCAGTACAACGGGCCAGTAGTCTGGCTAGCAAGAGTAATGATGCTATCAACCCGAGGGGAGTGGTGTTCTACATTGGCAGGGAACTTAGCGATACTATCCGTACCCCTGTGCGTGGCACCATTGTTATCAAGGTACTTATAGCTATCAGCTAGGCGAACCAACGTATTTGGTTCCCAAACATTGGCGTATGTTAAACGGACATCGTACAATCGGCGTGAATCTATACTGAAAGAAAGGCACGTGACAGAATCTTGAGAGGAAAGTCGGTAAAGCAGGGAGAAATCAGCCGTCGCGAGTATCTTTATAGTCCCCAAAGCATCCCCTGTGGCCGTAAGAGAGCCGTCTTGGCTGAGTGTGAAACGATCTGCTCCTGTGTTACATTTCAAGCTGGCTTCGTCGTTATATGGATCCCACTTAAATAAGAGACCGACCTGATCGAGGCCAATGACTTCAATAGCCAGTGGGTTCCAAGCCAGTTGAATCACTTCATTAGATGGGTATTCCTCAATTGTCCTATCGGATTTTTCATGCTTAAAATTGCATTGACCCATCAGCATAAGCGGTTCTAGCTCCCAACACGTGGCCGGGTGGCTGCGGTATCCGAATGCTATCATGTTTCCGTCTGGACTCAGAGCTGAGCACGTAGGGAAATTCAAGATAGGGTTCGCGAGCCTCTGTTCGTCAATTCGGACGTTGATAGCCCATTCGTTACTGTTTCCCGTCAACTGGAATGACCTGACACATCTGTCTTGGCTCACAACCAGGACAGTGGTATCGTCTTGTGAGAAGTGCAGGGTTTGTGGTCGTGGTCGTTCCAGTGGATTCCTGACCGTTTTGATGCAGCCACCAGTTGTCGTATCCCAGACTCGCGTCGTCATGTAACCATAGCTCACAAGAAGAGAGCCAAGCCTATTGAAATGCATCATCAAAACTCGTTCTGGGTGAATTACTCGGCGCTGCTCTTCAAATGTGGTTGCTTGGTAAATAGTCACGCAGCCGGTTTTCCGAACGTTTGCGAGAACGGCGATGTGATTTCCAGCAGCGACAACGGAGCAAGCGATTGCGCCTTTATCTAAGACGAAGCGTGTGAGGCAGTCATCCCATATATCAATTGGGTAACCCTGGGCATGGGCGGAACCTGAGACGTGGAGTTCACTACTTTTCTTACTGCCGAACTGTCGGTATATGGCTGAAGCCTGAGGGCAGAATGGAGGAATAAGCTTGTATATGGAGTTGGGATATTGCCTAAGGCTGTTGCCAAACTTGCCAACGATCTTGACTAAGTCTGTTGCCCAGGTCATTGTGAAGTCAATATCTGAGCGCCTTGTCAGCGCCTCGTCGATTCCACAAGCCCGTACTTCGAGGGCAACATCTGTAATATGACGAGATGCTACGGTAAGAACTTTCAGTTCTTTCTGCTTAGCGATAATGTATATCCATGTGAGAATGTGCGGGCTGTTAAGGAAGTTTACTATAGTCTTTAGCACTTCCGGGCTATCCGTGGGAGACTGAGCGAAGTGAATGAACCACGCTTCTGTAACATAGTCCAGTAAGGCAGATTGTTGATTTCGGCTAACTTGGCTCCGTAACAATGGATCTGTGAGGCGCGCTATACATGTCCTTAATATTTGGTAGTTGGCCAACTTTTCGTCAATAGTGAGTGAGCGCTCTCCGTCGCTTCTTCTAATCAGGTACTCACGGGCGGTTTCGTGCACTAAAGTTACTTTCCCCTCGTTATCAACAACAACAAACCCACCACAAAGGTCCCCGATTGTCCTATGTATCTCTAGGACACCGCTATTAGCCAGTGCATCGCTGAGCTCTTCTATTCTCATTGGCCTCTGGGCACAACAAGCCCAGCTTAGAATGTCATGTGCTAGTTGGCGATCGCTCTCTTTAGGCTGGGATTGTATAGAAAACATCATTCGATCGTACAAAGCTTCCATCCCTGAAGGAAGGTAATCCATAGCGCGTTCGACGTCTTGTATTGTATAGCTCTGGTTCATCTTTTGCACGGCTAGATGTAGCCACAAGAAGTTGCCATTTGCTCTTTGAAGTAACTTTGATGAGATGTCGTTCAAATAAGAGGTGTTGCTGCCAATGTCAATTTCGTGCTGGATATAGGACCTGAAGTCATCCACATTGCCTTTCGTTGGGATATTATCTACGTGGACATTTATCCCAAGTTTCGAGAAGCCAGAGGAGATTTCGTGTGTTTTGCGGCTGACAAGTAATATCCGTAGAGGTATGCTCGTCAGGGATAGGTCCACCAACAATCGGATAAGAGAATCCGGACTGTCTGCTTCATCAACGCCATCAACAATCAAGAAAATTGGGTTTCTTATTTCTAGTTGAAATAGAGCTTGTTTGAAGAGCCACTTCCAGACACTATGGCAATCTGCCTCTTTGATGTTGATAATGGCATCTACCAACTTACCGAGACTCTGCGCATAAGCTGGATCGGAATTGGCGAGCTGGAATGCTAAAGATCTCAATGCCGTACTTATCATCCGTTTCTTCCGGTCTATGAATCGTATGAAGAAGTAGTGGCATGGTAGCGTGCGTTGATTGAGATGGTCAATAATGAAGGAAGAGAGAATAGATTTGCCACTTGCTGCACTTCCGTGTATCCAAAGGACTCGTGGTTTAGGACGTAAATCATCGAGCCACGAGGTAAATAGCTCGTTGTCCAAAATCCACTCGCAAGTACCAGGCACCCACTTGCCACGGAAGAAGTGATAGTCGCTTTGAGGAGTCTCACGAGTAGACAGGTAGTCCTGAAGGTTAATTTTCGGGACTGGGCGGGGGTCATGTGTGCCGTCTTGGAACCCTATGGTATGAAATAGCTTGTTACTGTGGCTACTCAGGCATGAAGTTAAAAAGGTGAGTGCAACTCACTTAGCTGCCCCGTCTTTCCAAGTAGTGATCTTAGAGCATTTCGAACTGCAACATATCGAGGATCATCCAGGCCACTAAACTTGCAAACGTCGTGATGGTCTCCATCTAGGGGCTTGGACACTTCTCCTGGGTAACCGAGAATGGAGGAATCTTTCTCTAAAACCATCTTTAAGTAACATGGTTAGATGATATTGCTAGTGCAGCAGATTTGAATCAAGAGGAAGGCTTACCATGCTGGTCTTCGCTATTGAGGTTGGCCGAGTTTCATAGAAAGAGAAGACCTCCAATTTAGGTGCAATGTGTCGGAATTGCTCGTTGAGCTTCTCTAGTGATTGCGATCCAGCAGACAACTCCGCAATAAACTGCTTCGGGTTGCTCACGAAGGACACCCGTAGTATACGATTCAATACCTCTGCCAAACTAGTGCCACGATGCGGCGTCGAAAGGAATACAATTGATGTGACTGCTTCAAAGATTTTAGAGTAGGCAGGATCGTTCTGCCCTTGAATAAATGCCTAAGGCGCATAGTGAAACACGTGGTTAGCGAGATTTTGTGTCGAGTTCTCTTTTTGGCATGTACCTCTTTCACGATAAGACCGCCCATGGAATGTGCGACGAAGATAATTGGCCGCTAAATCAGGATTATTAAGTTAAACATCCATCCCTCATCAGGGGGATAGTGCTTACTTCTCCCAAGTGAAGGTTCTCACTATTTAGCGTAGATGTCTCATCTATGGCATACTTCATGTCATAGAGAAGATCCTTGGCGAAGTCAAGGATCGTTGCTATGCTCTTCCCACTGCCTGGTCCGAAGTTTGAATTGTAACCAAATGTCAAAATGCGCGCTTCTTTGATATTTGGCTCGATAGGAAGGAAATTCCCTGGCCAAAACAAAGTAGGGTCGCCATTCCTTGACCATGTCCTCTGACTGGACCCTCCAAGGCCATGGACGAATATGATATCCCCACGACGGCTTGTTGTCGGCCGGTGCACAACCTTCAGACCTAGAGGGTCCGGGTGCGGTGACTCGGCCCCATGTTTTTGTTCGATATCGCTGTTCGAATAGGGTTTGTTTGGGATATCATTGTCTCTCACAGCACCACTTCGCCTCTTTCTATAGGCTATTGCCTTTTTAAACTACACAAAACCATCTGGATTAGCATGATCAACTCTTCATATGCAGCTTATACTTGGGGCCGAGTGCTTGGCACGAACCATTGTGAAAGTACACACACTGAAGGAATTTAGTTGACTTTGATCTCTTTGCAAAAACAGTCCATAATCGAGCTTGCTGACGTGAGGACTCTGAATTCGGCATGGGGTAAAGGCGGCAGGTTACGGACCCGCAGCCAACGACAAGACTCAATTAACCAATAAAATTGACCATAGATGAGGTATTCAAAAACGCGGGTGAGCTGAAACTGCACAGTTCCTCTTCAATTGGTTCGCGGTGACTGATGGAAACGATAAATATGACCCGCGAAGTGATGGTTTCCACTTGCATCTGCTACGTGCGCACAATTACTCTGTAATAGGCCCCTTGTGTCCGTTTTCTTTAAGCCCAAGACTAATGCGAGCCCACTCGTTCATCTGGAGCCATGACAATGCCTAGTAGCATGCGATCGCAACCAAGCGAGTTAGATAAAGACTCGAAGTTTCCTGGGGAGATGGTACAGTTGGCATTCCTGTTAAAGTACGAGCTGGGATATAGTAGAAGGGCCCTTCAGCTCTCTCATGCCTCAAGATGGGCAGCCCGCAAAGTGATACTACAATAGTCGCTGACTGCCAGGATTTTAGTTAAGGTTATGGGCCTGGGAGTGGGAGATGGGGGTCTGTGGCTTGACATTAGGCGGCCCGAGGTGGCCTCAAGAAGGATTAAGATCCTGGAGAGATCGCCTAGTTCAGATTACTCCAAGTCTTTAACTATATTCCTTCCTACCGGTATTATTACCTACGGCCAAGCTGTTGCATAGTCGCATAGGTATCTGTCCGCTTTGCCACTTTACATCTGTGCTTCACGTGATGCATTTGGAAGCTGGGGCATATGTATCGTAGTCTACGCGGTCTGGTTATGTCTTGAACGGGGCTAAACGACCCCTCAACTACGAAATGGCAGTGTTGATCCTTACCCCTCAACCGTCAAGGATCGTCATCTTGCATCGCCACAGCCAGCTATTAGTTAGTCTAGATAGTATGTATCGCGATTCAACCAAAATAACCTAAGAGAACTTAATCAATTGTACAGCAAGAATCTGCTATAGTAATATTCCCAACATTTTCCACTTAATACTTGATTCCGCAGTGGTTCAAGCTTTCAATGACACAACCCACCTACTCCCTCGGAGACCTCGTGCGCGAAGTATCTAGCGCAATTCAAGATGTCGACGAACAAGTCCTCAGCTCAGACTACATACGACACGAAGTAATCGGTCTAAAGAGGGGGCCTGGCGGCGTGACCTCATACTCTGGCTTCAAGCCCTTCGGCTTCGAGCCGGTGAGTTTCGACTACTCCGACCCGGAAGCGCACTTCGCCAACTTCGATGCGATCCGGCTGTGGGAAAAGTACTTCGCCTTCGTGCTGCGCGAGTGGAATCTCGACGAGCACGGGGAGCGCATGGGTAATTCCGAGCTCAACTTCGTGATTGAAAGGTTGAGTGCGTCAGCGACACAGCTGGATCACTACGGCCCCCTGCTTGTGGCCGAGTACGCAGGGGTTCGGAATGCGCCCACGAGACGCGTTCAGGGTATTAATAAGCGGCAGACGCTGCTAAATGGTTTCTTGTACAGCGCTGAAGTCGCGCTTGAGGTTTATTATAAGAAGAGAAGTACGTGTGAGATTGTCTGGTTAGTCTCCGGCGAGAATTTGCGCTGACAAGCTTGCGTAGATGTCCTTCCCACGTTGCGGCAAAGACGTCCCGTGACAAAAAGTAACACGACAGAGCCAGCATCAGAATCTGAAGAGATACAATCTTCCAACTCCGAGCTTGAAGTAGAAGAGAGTAGGCGAAGTAGAAAACTGCTTAGGACACTGTTCAGCGGCTTTATTGTAAGTTACATTATATGTCAATCCTAGTACGCCCTTAGCATTGACTGTCCGATAGAGCGATAGCACCCTGATCACATGTGTAACACTCTTCACCCTCGCCTCAGCAATACTATCAGCATATGGATTCAGCGTAGCCATTCAAACACCTAAAGACGCCAGCTGGGATAGTCCCGAGTTCTACAACACGGCGCAAAACGCCTTGATGCAGCTGCTAGGTCTGTACGTGACAATTGTGCCCGCTCTTCGCCACAAGAACCTGCAGAGCTCATACCACCGCTGGAGCTGGGTGCTCGCGGGCCTGAGCTTCATAGCCCCCTTTGTAGCGATCGGCTACTTTCTCCACGGTCCCGATGCCAGTCAATTGGTGCTGTTTGTGGGATCTGCCATCCAGTCGACCATCATACTGCAGCTGATCTGGGCGGTGGACGACATGGAAAAGAAGCGGAAGTAGGAGGCACAAGCCTAAACGGCGAGATTACATTGGCATGCGAGGCGGTGAGGTGTTTTGTGTCTTTGTGATTGGAAGAGTCATTGATGAAATGTAGATGAGCTTCATATACCGGGCACATGGCACAAGCCGACGAGAGACATTTTTGTTAGTAATCGATTTAACCACTTAGGCCGCCGATCCCCGAATTCATTCTGAACTGCACAAACTCAGTCGAGGTAGCCGATAGCTGGCTGGAATACGATAGCCCTTTCCGTCCACTTCGATGATCTTACGTTTTTCGGTATATCGCCTCGACCAAATTCACAAGCACGGATTCTTTTGTATCCACTCGACAGTGGACGCAGATAGATACGCACAAGCGCTTGCGTTCCGGTTATATTTCGGAGCCGACACCTCAGTGGGCATTCAAAGTCCAGTTTGCTTCTCTTCACTTGCGACTTGCCGATGAAGGGCAACATGACAAGTCCGACGGGGACCGTAACTCCTATAATCAAGAGACATTGGTACAATCTCGACCAGTACACTTTGGAAATCGGTGCAATTATACCGCCCTGCGTCATCTCAAAGCTTTTAAGCGGCCTTTCAACGTCTGGGGGGTGCTCCGTTGTCACATGTGCAGAGTCCTTGAACCAATCCGGAGACAGGGCCAAGAGACCCCATTCATCGCTGTCCCAGGCAATGTCCTGATTCGCGTCACGTATCGACCTGATGCCGGCATCGCGCTCAGGCATCCTCCAGGCAAACAGAGACTCGTCTCTTGACGTAGAAAGCAATGTCTCTTGGAGACGCATGAAAGCGCGTATGCCCTCGCCGTATTGGGTTGCCATAGTGATGTTAAAGATACCCAGCATGCTGTACGCAATATCTTCAATGCGCGTCGTCGTCCGTCCGGCCATCCAGCTCATCTTGGTAGCAATGCAAGCTGTCGCGAAGTGTTTCTCCCCAGTCAGGTAATGCGAGTCAATACCAGTAATACGCTCGAGAGTGTGTGATTGTGTTATCTTAGTGCCAATGAAATTCCAGTCCTTGTCGTAGAATCGCATGTTTCGTGGCGCGAGAAGTTCTTGAAGCGTCCATCCGCGCGAAAACCAGATGGAAGGCCCCTGTCTCTCCAAGCTGTCGAATCGTTCGGGAGTCGGCACATCATTGTGCGGCTCCTGCTTCTGCACGTCGCTTAGGTAGGCAATACAGACTTTCGCATCGCGGTACCACTTGAACATAGAATTAATAGACTCGGTCTGCTCAACCGCGTTCGCGCGATCGACACAGCACGAATCAATCCATATCCACTTGATGCCTAGATCGCGAGCAGTTTGTGCTGCGCCGCAAATTTTATCAACCTGGGGCGTGCGAGCTGGTGCGGTGCTGAAGCGAAGCCCCAGAGTCTCGTCTTTGAGTTGGTCAAACGTGATCTCCTGGCCTACCCAGCGATGTGAGAGGATGGCGTAGCCTTCTTGTCTAAATGTTGGCTGCAGGCCGGATCGCAGCTCATATGTTTCTGTGTTTAGGAGATACATGTCACTGAAACCAGGTAATGACGACTTTGATGCGATTGGTGTTCAGGAACGTTCATCAACTAAAATCAGATGTATCGATTGCTGTTCGCACGTACGATAACATCAAGATGAACCGGAGACTCGTGAGCGCAAGAATAAACTCACTCGCGAGTAAGATTATCCATTGACGGGTTGTCTACCCCTCTCAAGCTGAGCCCCATTCGCAGCAGCTATAAATTACACGGTTACACAAATGCAGCCTCATGGCATCTCAGTACGTGGAAGTGGAAGTTCTATTTCAGTCACCGCCTCGATAACTATGTTAGAAGTCAGCGCGGGCACGGACTGATAATAGCTCTATACAATAACCATCTGTGAGAGCGTTGCGGTGCGGAGGAACACTAGTTATGTGTTTCGAAGTCTAAAAAGCAACCTGAATATACAGGATATCGCTAAACAGGCTAACCTCATCCTAGGACGCTGTCTAGAGCTAATGGGACATACAGGAGAGCGGGCAACTGTAGGAAGAAGACCAAGGAGGAGAGACAGAAGAGCGGCGCGGTATAGCTTATAAATATCCCATATATGAGTGTGAGCCAGAGTAAGACTATGTTTACACATATAGAAGACGGGAGAATCATTCCGACCGGCAAACATAGGGCTTCGAATCAAGTGTAGATTCCATATCTTTCTCGGGTTCAACAATCTCCGCTGACCAGTCTGAACTGGATAGTTCGTTTCATATTGCAAACCATTCCTTGAAGGCCTCATCCGAGACACTGCCCTTCATGTAAAATATGACTGCTATCTTCAACAGCGGCTTCTACGGCGACTCGTTGTCATATTATGTATTGTACCGTATGTTCTTCGTGTTCAGCCATGATATAAGAGTTGGGCAAGCTCACCGAGTATAGGCTGCTATTAGTAACATTATAAATAGCTACCCTCTTCTTTACATACATAGGTACCAGCATATAACCATGACATATATCAAAAGTTCCAAGTAATATAACTACTGAATACTCAAGTAATCAATATCTTATCTCTTTAGGTAATTCTTCTGCCTACGTGCTTCTCTATGTAAAAAGTAGGGAGGTACTTACTAGCCAAAGCAGCACTAGATAGCTGTGCACACGCTATCCCGAAAATCGACAAGCACCATATACCCCACACCGTAGCTTTCTAGCCAATCATATCATGCACTGATAACCCAGCATCGAAAAATAATTTCGAAGCTTCAACTGCAAATCAATTGACGATATCTCCATCCAACCAACCAAATCTCGCACACTCCCGCACGCCACGCCGACGACAATTACACATCTCCCAATCTCGTCTCAGATTTTCCGCCTACAATCAACTCTTAGCTTCTCTATCTCGCTGTCCCAAAGACCGACAACATGCATTTGATGTACACCCCCGACGAGAGCGGAAAGTCAGTAAACCACCAGCTCTTCCAACTCATTCATCTTCATGCCCCTCCCAAACCCCAACCTCAAAAGCCAATGCACGGAATATACAAATAAGTAGAAAACCAAAAGACTAACCTTCGATGTGTATCGTACGCAGGCGCATCTACACGCTCAAGAAAGTCCTCAACGGCACCGTCACCAAGTCCGCCCATCCCGCGCGCTTCTCGCCCGACGACAAGTGGTCGCGCCAGCGCGTGACGCTGAAGAAGCGCTTCGGCCTCCTGTTGACGCAGCAGAGTACGTATCACATATACATATCCAATGCCGATAATCGCTAGCTCTCTTCCTCTCGTCTCCTCACTATCACAATCTTCTCGACTATGTAGCTACGATTTCCGGTATAACCTATTATACTAACATTTCCTCTGTTCCAGAGAACAAAGTCGCCGAGAACCAATAATCGACCACGCCATTTGAATCAAAAAAAAGAAAAAGAAAAAGTAACCAATGGTAGTCGGAAACACGAATGAATGCGAAACCGAGCCGAACTTGAAAGACCGGAAGATACATGTCCTGTATGCCAGCGCGGCATGCATGCATGCATTTCTCAATATCATCGGGGACAGACTATATACCTACGTAAAGAGGAAGGCGTTTACGGCGTGCGGGGTGTATGATAAATATTTATCTACGCATTGTTTTGGGAATATCACTGTGTCTTGCTGGGAGCAGAAAGGGCCTGCGCCTTTGATTAGACCTAAAGAGAATACTAGGCGAGGAGAAGCTAGCTAGATTCACTGAATGACTGTGCCATGGTAGCCGGTCGTATCATACCTAGCATGCACAGATAAAAAATTCAAAAGAAACATCAAATCATTCTGGGCATCGATCTATCTTGAACTTTTTTTTTTCTTCTCATTGTCTATATGCTCGTGATCTAAAACCTCTTCCTCGAGTTAATATTCCGGCCCGCGCCGACCTTTATCTTGCCCGGACCAGACTGTCTATTCCCGCTCAAGATACTAGGTAAATAGTCGTCGTCCATGAGATCCCTCTGCTTGGTCCTCCGCTGTTCCGTGCTCTTCCTCTCGTACTCCTTCTGATCCTCAGCAAAAATCAGCTCTCTACCCCAGCCGTTCTTGCCACCTCCCGGCCCTCTCGCCTTCCCGTTCGCCGAGCCGTGCACGGGCTTCGGCACGCTGTATACGTTGCCCCGGTTGTTCCACTGGAAGTTCTTCTTGAGGTAGATGGTGAAGTTGCCCGCTTGGTCTGTGGAGCAGCTCACGCGCGTCAGTGTCGCTTGGCCGCAGCGAGGGCAGAACTGCTTCGATGTGTCCCGCGTGATTTGGAAGCAGCCGTGGCACCGGAGTACCCATGTCTTGACGCGCGTGATCCGCGCCAACCCTGAGGACACGAGGTTGAGGTTTATCCGTAGCAACACGTTTTGCATGGCGTAGTCGGATGTCAGGAGCGCGACTTTTAGGACCCGCTGGACGGGCTGCTCGGGCGATGCTAGTTGGTCTTTGGCTTGGTGTTTTTTGAGGTTCGACGGCGTGATCCAGCCTTCGTCATCATCCTCTTCCTCTTGTTTCCTGGCATCATCTGTTGTTGTGTTCTCTGTAGCGAAATCTATTGTAGGTGTCGCAGACTGTTCTAAGCTTAGCGAGTCGAGTGTTTGAGTAATTGTTTCTTGCGCCACGGTAGGCTCGGCTTGTTCTGTTGATGGGGCGGCAGCATCTGTAGACTCCGACGCCGGTGCCTCTTCTGTTACAGTTCCATCGGTCTTTGCGGAATCTCCTGTGCTTGGCGTCTCTTCTAATATTGTCTCCTCAGAGTCTTCTGTCCTATTCAGTCCCTCTGCCTTTTCCTTTTCCAGCTGTGCAGGAGATTTCCCATTTACGCCCTTCTGACCTGGAGTGTTCCTTAACCGCCAATCACCGCCATTTAGCTCACACTCCAGCTCATAGGCTAGGGCCATGAGGTGGATATCAGGCTTGCTAAGGACTTCAAGGTCGCCGGTGCGGCGGGCAAAGTCAGTGACGAATTTAATACTTGCGGGTCTCGGCGACCGTAGTTTCAGGAAGGGAAGGAGGGTGGTCTCGACACGCGACCGGGTCGCAGCATCACGGATCTCAGACACGACAGATGGAAGGGTGTAGAGCTCGTTTGCCTGGGCAAGCAAGGTGCTCACGGGAGGATCGTTCTTGATGAGAGGGCCGGCATCGAGAATTAAGGCGTGTATAGGTTTAGACGGCGTCGTCTCGGCGGTTGAGGGCTCTGTGCTGTCAGGAGCAGCTGGCGGGTTCTGGACGTCTTCTGTAGTGGCCATTTTGTTCAAGGGATCGCTGTCATGTGTGATTCCTCATATGATTGAACGTGATGATGCCTTAGAGGTGGCACTAGATATCGGCGGTATTGGACGATGGTGGGGTTGTTTCATTCTGAATTTCAAGATTTGGTGGGGTTGATAGAGTGGATGGAAATTTTGGCGGAGAGGCTCGGCAGAATCGATAGTCGACAAGTACTGAGTACTTACCTATCCAAGGAAGGCCTGAGGTTGATATTAGCATGCTCGCATTAGTGGACTACGGCAGTACTAGAGCGCTGCTACGGCACGCTACAGCACGCTATGGCACGCTATGGCCCAATAGTGTGTTCACGCCACCTCCTTTGGGTTAGGCGAGAAAGGTACCCGATACCTCCTGGCCTACCTGGGTTAAGAGTTTTCTGTATTGTCTTTCTCGCAACCAGCCATCAATGTCAGCCTTACATGTGAGCCAAGTTGCGTCCTGGGTATCTGTCTCTCAGCTCATCCATGGAATTGGGTCTTGGGCTTTAGGTACCGACACCGCCATCCACTGATTTCCTCGAAAAACCTGAGCAGGACAATGCATGAAAATCATGAGTCCACACCGGTTGTCACCTTGGCGCCGGAAAATCCTGATTGCAACCCGAGCTGCCTTGCTGGATGTCTTGCTTCACACCACATGTGATTGGCGGCCCGGTACCATGGTTTTACGTGAGATATCCGATCATCGTGGCTTCTCATCACCTCGTGGTTGTCAACGAGCTTTAATAACGCATCTTAATGGGCGTAAAGGCTGGCTGATGCGGATGAGAACATGCGCCACCATGTTACGTGTAAATGACCTCTGTATTAAGGTCAACATTTATCTACCATAAGAGTCGCCGATAATTGGAAGGGAATCGCCGTACCCACACGCGAAAAGACTTGTTTTCAGCTTAGAACTACCTAGCATGAACACGATATGCGCACTAACTAGAGTCACTCTTCTCATATGAACGGAAATGGCTCACGGCAAAAGCAATCATGGAGCTTGTCATATGGCCCCGAGTCTACTTTAGTGCCCAAGTCCACCGCTGGAATGCTGGTGACCCAGTTTGCATGTTTATGTATATAAATATGCGACGATCCTGGTGAGTACTCTATGTGTGATCCAGTTTCTATCTTCACCGCCCACGTTCCCTCGCCATGTTGATCGTTCGGCTTCTTACGACTGCTCTTTGCATGAGCCCGGTCGCATTGGGTCTTGACCTCGACCGCCTCCTTGGCCTTGATGGCTCATCAGACGCATGCCAAACCATCAAATCCTACCTGGGGGTTGGGAAGACAGCATTGAGTCAGTTGGATTTACGGTATATTCGCAGTCGTACCAGTTATTGGAACACGAAACTCAACGCCCACGCTCCGTCTTGCGTTGTCTTTCCTGAGAACGCCGAGGAAGTTTCTTTGGCCTTAAAGGTGATCAAGTCAGCTGACTCAAAGTTCGCAATCAAAACGCAAGGCCACAACACCAATGATGGTTTCTCATCTGTAGAGGATGGCGTTCTGATCGACTTGAGCCATATGACTGGTAAGTCTTACGACGAGGCCACAACTCTCGCGACCTATGAGCCGGGCAGTAGCTGGGGTGAGTTGTATGAATACTATCTACAATTCGGCCGAACGGTTGTCGGTGGGCGCATTCACGATGTTGGAACTGGTCTGGCGCTAGGAGGAGGCATGAGCTATCTATCACCACAGTACGGCATGGCCTGTGACGGTTTTCGAGAGCTCGAGGTTGTCTTGCCCAACGGCGACATCGTTACGGCTTCCAACACGCAGAATCCAGACCTTTTCTTTGGTCTTCGAGGAGGAGGTGGAAACGCCTTTGGCGTCGTGACCAAATACACTGTCCAAAGCCGACCTATTGGCACTTTGTACGCTGGAAATCTGATATACGTCTCAGATCACAGCGATGAAGTTCTCAAAGCAACTCGCGACTTCATCCTCTACAACACAGACCCGAAAGCCGCTGTTCTCATGAACTACAACATCTTGACGACGCCCGATCTTGCTCTCGGGCTTGATCAGGCTGTCGTCATGTTCCTTGTGTACGACGGCAAAGACCCTGGAGACGTATATGCAAACTTCACTGCAATTCCGCACCTCCTGAACACAATGGGGCCCAAGAAATATACCGAAGTGGCCAACCTGCTACTTCCTAAGCTGGCCCAAATCAGTCGAGCAGACAATGTTTTCCGCATCGGCGTACACCGCGCCGACGACGACAGCTACCGGACTACATGGGAGCGGTTCCACCAGTGGTCTCAAGACCACAAAGGCGACTACACATACATTCACCTTGATTACAACCCCGTGCCCAAGAGCTTGACGGACGCAAGCAAGGAACAAGGCGGTAATGCCATGGAGATGCCTGACGGACCGTGGTTTTGGGCCGAGTACACTCTCACCACGCCTCCGCTGATCACCACAGCCAAGTACAACAGAATCCAGGCCAGTTTCAAAGAGATGGTAGACGGGACGCCGAATGCCGAGGGCTTGCCTATGTTCTTGAACGAGGCGCATGCGGACCAGGACGCGCTGAAGTCTTTCTCGAGCTACCCGCGCCTACAAGAGATTAAGGCGAAATACGATCCTGATGGTTTCTTCACTAGGAAGACTGGGGGTTGGTCATTCAGTTAAAGGAGTTGGGTTGGGGTTTCGTTCGTAATGGAGTTGGAGAGTTGGAGATACCACTTTTCGTTTTCGTACATGTTTATGTTCTCGTACATTTTATGACTAGTTTAGCTTTTTTAGATAACTCAATCCGTATATATATATATTCTATCATTGCCATCGGGCACAGGTGTTGCTTATATTATTTTTTGGATCCTGATTTTCTCACTTCTCAGCTACTAGTCACTACACGAACTAGATGCAGTCATGAGCTATCTTGAGATCTAGCTTATTTGACTTATTAATCATTACAATCTCATTAGTTCCTCAAGGCTTCACTTCAACTCAGTGTATGGTATAGTACCAGCGGCTGCGCAGCAAACGACAATAAGCCGTCGTTGTCCATAACCAGCAGCAGTAAAATTAATTACAGGTATTGTCACTGCAAACCCTGCATGCCACATGGCTGCCCTGCATTGGTCGAGGTTGACGTAACCACAGAGACAACGTGAAACCGGGATCCCCCAGCCTTCCGCTGTCATGCACGTCTGGCGCCTGCTTTGCACGCTCTGCACTCATAACGGCCTGAGATCTGGTGGCCACCACCAGCATCTTCCTTGTGATTATACGAATGATTAACTATGTGTGCATGTGGTCCGACCTGACGACTTTGAAAGGAATCGTTCGCCCCTCATTCGCTCAATTTTAGATGAGACATTCCGCAATCCTTGCGAAGAGAAGAGCGTCTTGAAGGTACTTGATGACCACGACGCGAAAGTACTCTGGTCGATGAATGTAGAAGATGTCGAGAAAAGTAAGATAGGAATTAGAAGGCCTAGTGTTGTTTTTTAGACTATATTCTGTACTTCATCCTTCTTGCTAACATGACGATGGGTAAAACATGACCCTACAATGGCAGCGAAGTTCCGACTCGTGGAGAGCTTGCTGTATGAAACGACTTGTGGGATTTTCTATAAGTGATTTCAAGACAGAGGGAAAGTCGACTAAAATGATTACCGAAAGGACGACTAAACTACCTAGTTTATCAATAGTCACGTACTGATATAGAAAGGGGAGGGTCTTTTCAAAACCTTATAACAAGCCTTGGGCTCACAATTAGTTTCAGCTGATAGTGCCCAAGCAGTTCGATCACGTCATTGTAGGCGTGATATTCCTGACTACAGTGCTCGTCTGGCTCTGGCATATAAGTGAACCAAGCTCTTAATCACCAACGTCAACCAGTATTCCTCCTATTAATGAGGGCTAAATAACCTTACTGCTACCATTTCCAGGCTGACGCTGATGGGTTCCGACAGCCTGAAGGCCAAGCATTAAGTGTATACGGAGGTACATCCTACGCAGCTAGCTGTCGTGCATCTAACATGATGTTAAGCAGACCCCACTACTTTACCAACAGTAGATAGTAATATAATATTTGCTGTTATCTTGCCAACATTACCGTTTCCCGCATTTTCAAACATTCTACTATTCTTCAGGTGGACGCGAGTACGTAATTTAGCATTCTCATAGCTTCTAAGCCGAACTATTCTATATCTTTGCTTATCCACCTGCCTTATGCTACCTGTCGAGGTGTTGGGGTCCCTGGGGCCCGTTGCTGCCATAATTATTGCGGTCTTATTCATTGTAAGTTCAATTGACAAGCACATTTCGGAACGCTACTAATTCTCATCAGTATCAAGTTATGCAATCAATTTACAATATCTATTTTCATCCCTTGTCGAATGTACCTGGCCCGTACGCTTGGTCTGCTTCCAGACTACCGTTTGTAGTTTCGCTGCTCAGGGGCACCATCGTTCATGATATTCAAAGGTACCATCACGCATATGGCCCAGTCCTTCGCATCGCCCCAAATGAAGTCACATTCGCGTGCGCAGACGCCTGGTCGGATATTCTACAGTCACGTTCCGAGCAGTTTCTGAAGGACCCTGTATGGTGGGCTTAACAGCCAGGTCACCCAGACTCTCTAATTAGTGCAATAGACACCAAAACTCATGCTCGGATGCGGAAATCCTTAGCACCGGCATTCACTCTACGTGCGCTGAGGGCTCAAGAGCCAATACTACACCAATATGTCAACCTCCTTGTTGACCGATTGACCCAGCGCGCGAGTGAGAACCTCACTAATTACACATAGAGTCGAGATTGACATTGCCCCTTGATTTAACTACATAACCTTCGACATATTTGGCGACCTAGGGTTTGGAGAATATTTCAACTGTCTCCATAACTCCCAATATCACCCGTGGATTTCATTGCTTTTCAACAGCGTCAAAGCGGCTTCATTCGTTGCCGCTGCTCGATTCTACCCTTTCGTTGAGTTCATCCTTCTGAAGCTCATTCCACCATCATTGAGAAAGATGCAAAAGGACCACTATCAGAAAATAGTAGACAAGATAGAGCAACGCCTCAATTTTGAGTTGGAGAGACCGGATATCATGTCTTATGTTATCGCAGAGGATGGCAAGAAAGGGTTCTCCAGAGACGAAATCAATGCAACGTTCATGACGCTCACGACAGCTGGGAGTGAAACGACGGCTACTGTACTTGGTGCGACGCTGAATTATCTCGTGTCTGACCCCGAGAAGCTTAAAATGTTATCGGATGAGGTCCGGCAACGATTTGCCGCATTCGAAGATATTACGCTTGGTGCCCTTCCGTCTTTACCTTACCTCAATTCTGTGATCAACGAGGGCCTGAGGCTCTGTCCGCCAATTCCTTGGATACTTCCAAGAAAAGTTCCACATCCTGGAGCAATGGTCTGCGGGACATGGCTACCTGGTGGAGTATGTCATCGACGCTGTGATCTAATTATCCTCTTACTAACTATATCTCCTAGACCCCTGTATCAATTCAAGCCTATACTTTGAACCGAGATCCTAAATGTTTCTACGCTGCCACATCGTTTCTTCCCGAGCGCTGGTTGCCTGAGGAGACCTCAAATCCGACTTCGCTCTTCTACAAAGACCAACGAGATGCATTTCAACCCTTCAGCGTTGGGCCGCGGTCGTGCCTCGGCCAGCATCTTGCTCGGGCAGAGCTACGTCTCGTGCTGGCAAAATTGATCTACAAGTTCGACTTTACTGCAGTCAAAGACAAGGTGGTAAAGTGGGAGCAGCTGCGGACTTTCTTGCTGGTAGAGAAAAAGCCTATCATGGTCAATATGGGATTAAGGAGGAGGGTCATAGGGAGTGTCCCGGAGTGGATAGAAGGCTAGTCACGCAAGATGTCGTAATGTTGCCTAATTCCTCTCATATGCAAGAAGTCTGTCGATATACTGTATATGAACTTTGATCGCACCCCTTAAGTAAAGAATGTCACTGTTGCGGCGAGCGGGCAAGACACGAGCAAATCAAACCCTCCAGTAAAGTTTGCCATTGAGCTATCAACATCACTTGGTTCGTTCAGACCATCTAGGATTTGGACCCCAGTGGAACCCCAAACCAACAATCCTCTATCTGCAGTGGACGCTGCAGCCAACTGAGAATCAAGCCAGCTAGACCCGGGGCAATCCATGTCTTGTTAGTTATGCCTGCATGTACGATACTAACAACCGTCATTCATGCCAAAGTGCCAACATGCGCTCTTTCCGTCGCAAAATCTGTACGGTACAGGTAAAGGCATGTGCCGTGAGCTTTCATATAATACAAGTGGGCAAAAGTAAATGTAGTATGAGCATTTAGGCATTCATTCTTAGGATATCTTTGTGTCTACCTCTGATTTGGCCTTCCTACACATTCTCCTATTTTATATTTCTGTAATTTATGCTTCTGGCTGTCACTGTATCGCATCATGAGCACGTGGTCACAGTTCTTCCCCCCTAAGCCTAACTTCAGTGAGATTCCACCTCAAGATGGCAAAGTGTTTATCGTAACAGGTGGTGCTTCCGGGATCGGTTTCGAGCTCTCCAAGGCACTCTACCTCAAAGCCGGGCGTGTGTATATCGCCGGCCGCTCCGGGCCTAAAGCCCGAGCGGCAATCAAGGAGATTGAGGATTCCACGCCTGACAAGACGGCGGCCGGAAGGCTTGAATTTCTTCCCCTCGAGCTTGATGACTTAGCAAGTATCAAAGCATCTGTTGACGAGTTTAAATCCAAAGAGACGAAGTTACATGTGCTCTGGAATAACGCCGGAGTGTCGCGACCACCTGTCGGCAGTAAATCGAAGCAGGGGATAGAGCTGCAACTTGCAACCAACTGCCTTGGTCCATTCCTCTTCACTCAGCTTCTTATCCCTATGATGCAAGCCACGGCATTGACCCAAGCCTCTGAGTCAGACCGCCGTTTCGGCTCTGTACGTGTGGTCTGGACTAGTAGTCAATCCGTTGAACTCTCGGCACCGACAGGCGGCATCACCATGTCAGAACTCCATGACCCTCCCGCGGACGCTACAAGGCTATATAACACTTCGAAAGCTGGCAACATATTTCTGGCATCAGAGCTCGCTCGAAGACATGGAATTGCTAGTGTCTCGACGAACCCAGGTGCTTCATCGACGAATCTCTTTCGCCACACTCCCTATGTCTACCTCATAGGTTGGGCAATTCTTCATGACCCTAAGATGGCTGCTTTGACACAGATATTTGCTGGGCTCTCTCAAGACATCAGCGAGGCGGATTTGAAGGGCGCTTACATCATACCATGGGGTAGGGTTTCGGCAAACTTGCGAGATGATCTACGCGAGGCTATGAAGCTTCCAGAAGAAGGGGGGTCGGGTAGAGCGAGTGAGTTTTGGGGTTTCTGCGAGGAGACAACTTCAAAGTTTCTTTGATATTGCAATAGTGCTTATGTATGGAAGCATGTCGTTGAGGCAGAGTAGAAATAAAAAAAAAATTGATTAGCTATCTCTATTAGGAACTTCCAGCCCTCATCGGATAACATGTAATTTCTGTATATTTAACCAAACCCTACCTTTAATCAAGCTTGAAGTCAGTAACTGACATAAGTCTTTCTGTAATATTTAGTACATGTGAGACTCTAAGGGTAATCCTTATGTTATTCTAGTAGACTGTTTTAGTACAATTACAAAGTATATCGATGACCCTCTTAACTAGGTCATTTTAGATATTTCAAAAGCTGCGAGAAGTCTATTACTCCGTATCGGTTCAGAGCAAAAGACACCCCGGAAATCAATACTGCCCACATCCCCCAACCAACGCGGAGCATTTTGGCAAAGCCCTTGTTCATCGTTTCTCGGTCATTCACATGGGGATAGATGAGATCATTTCCCTGCCCATCTTGAGGGATCGGGACTCCCAAGAATTCACAAAGTACTGGATATCCGTCTTTGGGGTTAAAGATGAGAAGCTTTTCTTTGGGCACAACTCGCCTGACCCATGCGTTATGAGCGTGGTACAATCCCACGTCGTCTCTAGACGCCCATAGGCCGACCCCAAACACACGTTGGGTTCGAGCTTGGATAGCGCGAAAGATTGGCTGCAGGTTGAACGACACGGCGGGAAAGAGCAATGTTGGTAACAAAAACTTCCATTTAATCCCCTGGCCGATGCTCTCGTTTACAGACTCCCGCCAAAGCTGTGCCGAAGAGCGCTCGCAGTGAACGAACTGTTGCGCGGTTAGTACCATCTGAGCATAGGGGATTGCCTACCCATGAAGCTTACCTTAGCATCAGGATACATCTCGACCAAGTCCTCCACGAAGAGCGAGGAGGGATAATCAGTACACGAGTTGAATCCTTGGTCAGCAAAGATCTGATGTAATATTGTCTGTCGCTCCCGTTTGTCCTGCGCATACATTGCAGCTCGCCATCGCCTGCTCAACGTCCAGGGGAAGCTGTCGTTCGCGAAGTCGCCGCGAAAGTGAGAGCATGGTGCGAATCCGAGGGCATGGAAGGCCACTTGTAAGGACGTTGTGCCGGTTCTGGGGAGGCCGGTCTGAAGAAATCAATTGAGCGACTTGACCAAAGTATGGGAATAATCCTTTGAACAGATTTTACTCACCCCAATGACTATTGGGCCTTTGTATTTAGATCGTTGCTCCACCATTGTTGTGCGTGAGTTGTTGTTGTTACACAGTGACGGATTGCGCAATTTGTTGCTTGGATTGCAACATCGGGTGGCATACATCGAAAGCTGTTAAATAAGCCGTAAATTTCTTGAATGTAATCGCGGAGTGTATTAAAACCCCGAAGTCCGGGACACTTTCAATCTCGGCCGACGGTGTTATCATACGACAGGAGCCACTTTGAGTTTAATTCCTAGGGTTAGTAACTATAATGGTCACAATCACCGCAACGCAGGGCACCGGGGTGGAGTGGTCTTGACTCGATTTCCTACCTAGTAGCCCGCGTTCGGCCGAATGGGTCTTCAGTTATCAGCGTCCGAAGGCTAACCATTCTTATACATTAGCGCCGTATGTATACTGGTAGGAGAAAAGTCGGAACCAGCTCGCCGACCGCTCCCACCGGTGTGAGCCAGGTGTGGCTGTTGACGCTCAATTGCCGCATCACGTTGAGGGCCGCCGCCTCGGTCACTCCGTACCTGTTGAAAAGACTCCGGCCCGGCACCCACTTGCGGGTGTCCTCCTCGGTCACGGCCACTTCCCCTAGCACCAGGGTCTGGAGCATGACGACGTTGGCAGTACCAAGAGCGCTCGCGACTGACGGGGTGAGAAACGCCCAGTTAGCCTGCGGCCGCTGCACCTCGCCAGCGAGGTCACTGGTCCGTCCGTCTTCGGATGCGATGCAGACATAGGCGCCGATACTCAAGGCCGCGAGCATCTTCGTCATGCACGCGTCAAACGAGTACGAGGCAAACTTAGAGTGCCGTTTTTGGGAAACTAGTAATGCAACAATTTAGGTCGTAACAAATGAGAGCGCATTGAATGTCAAAGATCACTCCTTTAGTATGAGCATGATTCGGGACTTTATACTAGGTAGGTAATTAGCATTCTACGCCACGTAGCATGCTGACAGTATTATGAAATCTTTCGTCGATGTCACATGCAGACGAGGACAGTACCAGGCTACGACTTAAGGTGGCTACCCCTTTTAGCCCTATCGCGATTGTCGTGAAGATTATCGCGAGGATTACTATAAGGAGTATGGGCGGAGTTCTGCACGTTGTGATACGGCCGAGTTGCTGAGACGGGATAGGAAGACAGGAGGACGTGCGGTTGTAGGTGATGAAATGCAAAAGTCAACGCTAATGCCACTTTGGCACTATCGCAATATTTCAGCAGTAGGGGCTCTAGATCCGGATGCCATGACCTCCTGTCTTGGAGGCTTCCATACCAACACTTCAACATTTGTATGTAAACTGCCAATCAGATATGCTAGATACAGGCGAAATGGCAATAAATGAGACTATACGGATATTCAATTTCTTTCTACCCTTTGGTCTTAGATCTTACAAACGGCACCTTGGATATCCTTAACCCTGTCTAGTCTTCCCCTGACATTCCCTAAGCTCTTATAATCCTCTTTGGAAAGCCCCCGTCGCGCCTCAGCGGCTCTCTTAAAGCCCACGCGTCCAACGCCAGTGCCAAGTAGATAACTAAATACGGCAGTAAACGCATTTTCTGGATTCCGAACAACATCGTAAACCGCAATTCCGGCATCACCAATCGCTCCAAGCACGGAATGGTGTCACGCGCGTTCGATATTCAGAGTACTACCCAAACAGTGCTATACGTAAGAATGGTTAAATGCTTCCAGTAGGCACTTTCGATATCGTAGGGTTAGATAGTAGACAATGACTATCTCATAACCGCATCTGATACACAACGTTTAACAATAAACAAGAAGAACCTCCTGTGTGTGAAATTCTGATTCATCAACGATTTCGAACCCGGGTTGATCCGACAAAGGTATGTATGAATTTGCCTATCTCTCGCTTACACGGGCTCATCTCCAGAAGACGAGTTTTCTTCTCGGAGCTTTCTATTTTCCTCCGCTAACATCTCGTCAAACATCAGGTCTATCTCAATACTCCTCATTATACTGCTATCATCTGGATTTATGAAGAATAGGTTTTCTCTCCCACAGGGGTAAAAGTACTCTTCCGAAACCTTATGCCATGTTTTCATGCCATCAAGACAAACTATATAAATCTCCTTCACATTGACAAACTCTTTGAGTTTTAGCATCTGCCAGGCATCACGTTCGACGGAAATTGCACGCTCCATCTTCAGCCGCTGGATAAGTGATGCGACTGTCTTGAATGGTTCAAGACTACATCTCCCGATCGAAACCACATCGACCGCAAAATTAAGCCAGATATAACGACGCCCAATAGTATCTGCGTCAGGGACCTCAGAAAATGCTTGTTCGTACAGGCCTTGGTAACGAGCTTCACGACAGGTTTGTAGTATCGCAGGAGTGGGCGTTGAGGAGACCATATTTGTGGTGAGCCGACCCCAAACTTTGCCTCTTGCCGGCTGTGCTCTGTTGCATAAAACGCGGACGTCAACAGCACGGGAATGAATGGTCATGGCCCATATCTGAGCACGTAGTTCTGTTGGAAGACGAGGGAATGGAGTGAAAGTGGGCATTATGTCCTCACCACTAGCTCTGATTGCTGGCAGTATGCGAAGTTGCCTGTCCGCGCGCGGCGTGTATGGGTGGGTAGTGAGATGCAATATCTTAGGAGGGCTCAAGTTCGATAGGCTGTTGAGTAACGGTGATATGGTAGTAGGAAGATTGCGTCTCGACGAGCATTTAGAATCGAAACGTTCGGCTTGGGACGTCCACGATGTTGGTTGCTGTGAGGATTTTGCGCATATGAAGGATTCAGGAGGTTGGCTTGGCACGAAGCGGCGCAGGTCGCAGAATGATCTTTCGATATTAGATATACAATAACATCTGCGGCCCATTTGGGGATAAGATAACCAACACAATAATCACACAGTGTAGCTTGGAATTTGGAGCGATTTGTATCTGTTGGTCTCAATCCGGGAATGAATCAAGAGGCACCCAGCCTGTCAGAACTTAGGTAGAATTAGAGTTGACGGCCATTACTATCTTATGAGGGAGAGCTAAACTATAAGCGTAAACCATAGGGAACAAGTCATCAGCTAAGTCGGTCACAGATGTATATACTCAATGATCTAGCTCGCAAGGAATATCAACTGGCCCCCGATGGGACTGGCTGGCCTGCCATGCCCCTGCAACGTGCCGCACCACTACAGTACCGGTCACTGGTATCACATGATGGGCTACTGGTAGGTAATAGCTGTTAGCTACACTGTTATAATGGCTCATAGAGACGTTGTGCTGCGACGAACGCACAATTACATGATTCCCACTCTCCTTCAACATCTCAGAGACTTTTCACATGTAAATGCTTCACAGCTCTGTCCCCATCTCTACCTACCACCAGCTCAATGAAAGTTGTAGGCAACTAGTTGTGTCTATGTGGCATGTCTAGTTCACAATTAAATGAAATCGAGAGAAATAGTGCGGATATCTTTACTGGTATGGAAATTACACGTTCTTTTCACAACTTAACACTAGAAACATTTTTGAATATCCTATCAGTCTCATTCTTGGGCTGCATTGATGATCACGGAGATGTTGAAGCCCTGGAACAACCTCATCAACTATTGCAACAGATAATATTTCAGACTCATCCACACATCTGCAACTTTCACTTCTCTAAGCATTTATTAGGTACGTTTTATCTTACAGCTACATAATTATGTACGAGATACTCACTATGAGGAGGGAAACCCATAGTCACATCGGTATTTCTTGATCCTCATTAATCTACTTCCTTCGTCGCCATTGTAAGACACTGAAGTAAATAATGGCTCCAATCCCAGTAAACATGGAGAGCCAAACTAGAAGGACCTTAAGTAAGACTTTGGTGGCGTATTTATCCGCTGCTTTGGCATCATTGGCTCGAGGAAATGGTTCATCAGGCACTGGCACCCCCAAGAATTTGCACAGAGGTTCCCAGCCATCGCTGAGGTCCATTTCCAACAGCTGATCTCTCGGAACTAGAGATCTGACCTTGTTTTCGTGGGCTTCAAGAATATCTGGCAAAGTTGTGAGCAAAATTACCGAATAAGCTGGAAGGGACACTTACGAGGACCGCCATTTTTGATCAAATCCGTTGGAGTGGCATTCGGGTCTTCCAGACCTGCAAGCCGCAGAGTCGATCGGCTGTAGACCTGTGCAAATGTAGCGAGGTGCCTCCATCCAGGAATCGGGGCGAGAATAGCTCCCAGCCATGATGGAGTTGTGCGACTAGTCACAGCCGAGATACTGTTCCACCATCGGGTCGCATCCCTCTTGACCAAGACGACTTTCGCATCCGGATACAGCTCGACCATCTCTGGAATGAAGTCAGCAGGTGGTAAGTCTGCAGTCGCCACGAAACCTGCGGTGGCTTTGCGGACAAGCTTCAATGTCTCCTCCTTGTTGCCCGCCTCTCTAGCTTCATAGGCTTTGATCCATGTCAGACAGTAATCTGAGTCGATTAGTACCAGGCGTACGAACGAATGAATTGGGAGCGAGCTACTTGCCATCATCGCGAGTTAGGATCTACGTGCCGCCGTGTAGAACCGGGCCGTCGAGGAGCTTGGCCAAGGCAAGGGACATAGACACCGTCCCCGTTCGCGAGTAGCCCGCCGAAATAACCTGCACCTTCCGCGAAGGATCGGTAGGAATAGATGCCACCCCTCCCATTGAATCAGCTGATCGAGCTTACGGTGCGCGAGTTTAGTTGAAGAGGGATTGCAATTTTATCGAGAGGGATGACTGGGTCTGCTGGTAGTGTTATAAGTCCCAGCGAAGAGCTTGTGGCCGCCCGCGCGTGCAGCCAACAGACAATATACAGCCCGAAATAGTACAAGTGTTAGGTTTATACTAACAGCTCTAAACATCTAACCAATCAGTGGAACTACAGTTTCGCATCATCAATTACATAGTTTCAAACCTAACTCCAAAGTTGATAGCGGTTGCTAGGGTTTATTAGAATAGATGTATATAATGTGAATCTCTCGGGAGTTGCCGAGTTCTAATGCGCTTTCCACCCGGACGGTGGGATTGAGATATTCAACCACGTGAATAAAGAATGGTAGGTAATTGAAAATTATCATTCAAGCGGATCTTGCCATTATTCTGACATTCGTTGTATGCTATCTATTGCGTCGCGAGCCATTCCTCATGCCTCTTCTTCTGCTTCTCCCAATCCTTAACAAGCTTCTTGCGCCTGTTCTTGGGCACCGTATTCCCCGCTGCATCCACGGTCGGGATTCCGTTTTCATCCCATTCCAAGTACTCCGACGTCCTGAACATCAGCAGAGGGTCAAGTTTGGCGCGCTCGTGGAGTTCCTTCGCCTTCTCAGCCTCCCTGGCCTCCTGCTCAAGCTTGGCCTTGGCTTTCGCAGCGCTGGCTGACTCTCGCTCCGCACGAGCCTCTATGAGCAACTTATCGAGGGGCCTTATCAAAGCAGGCTGAGGACTGTTACGGTCCTCGAGATATATCCCTAGCTTCCAGAGGTGTACATCGCGAAGCTGGTCGCACAAGGTGAGAAGGTCTTTGGCTGATGCTTCTTGGGCCGCGAGGGCCTTGACGTCGGTGCGGAATTGCTGCAATACTTGGTCGTATGGTATTGAGGCCGCAGCCACTGGTGTTGACGCCGTAGCCATAGTTCCGTCGGCGAGCCTTGCTAGGGATATGTGATCAACAGAGTTGGAACAAGCCAAGGTTCGAACCTTGTCGCGCAATTCAGATGTAGGGTAGACATAGGGTTTTGCTGCTTCGGGAATATCAAGGCCCGACCATCCTATGCGGTCAGAGTCGCTGAGGTCACCCTCGGGATCCAACCCAAATATAGTGACAATGCGTGTTACCCATCGAGCGATCAAGATGACTGTCTGGTCTGAAATCGATTCTGCAGAGTTAGACTCAGTAATGAGATCAGATAGAATCCTCATGACAACTGAAGTGTTGAAGGAGTCGCAAAGAGCAGCATCGATATCTTCCTTCGCCTTATCAAAGGTGATTAATAACTGTTGGTCTACGATTCCAGGCTTTTTTGTTGTCATAGTCTCGGAACTTGAATGTTTCCAGAGATCCAAGCTCTTTAGAAAGAAGTTATTGAGCTTGCCTTCCCAGCCGACTACAGCCTTCATCAGCTCATCTGTCACCTCGATGCCATCTTGCCAAGGCATAAGTAAGAAGCAAATCCGGAGAGAACGTGCACTCCACTCCTTTCCAGAGAGAATATCTCTTATGGTCGTATAGTTCTTGAGGCTCTTGCTCATCTTGAGGCCTCGGATCCTATAATACCTGTTAGCGCGTCTACGTGGTGGTATCGCATCTGAAGCCTTTTACCTCAATTGCCCCATGTGGATAAAGTAATTTGTCCACTGAACCTGGCAGCCCGGGGTCGACCAGTAAGCTTCCGATTGCGCGAGTTCATTGTCGTGATGCGGGAATCGAAGATCAACACCGCCAGAATGAATATCTATATTCTTGCCGATGACTTCAGAGGCCATTGCGGAGCATTCAATATGCCACCCTGGACGCCCAGGGCCCCAGGGACTTGGCCATGCTGGCTCGCCCGGTTTGCTAGCTTTCCACAATGCAAAATGACCCTCGCTCCGCTTTGATGATGTCTCATTGGAAAGTGAGCCTTCGCCGTCAGTTTGAAGAGCACGATTGTTTTTGTTCCACGGTTCTAGCCGGGCATAGCTGTGCCCAGCCTTCTCAAACGCGTCGATATCGAAATACACTGAGCCATCAGTGGTAGCGTAGCCAAAACCGTTCGCAACAATTCCCTCAACGAAGCGCACAATCGGGTGAACATACTCGGTCACCCGAGTTAGCTGGTCTGGAGGCAGGACATTAAGTGCATTCATATCCTCGAAGAAGCGCCGTTCAAACTTTTGGGACAATCTCAAGTACAGCTCGTGGTCATTGGAGTCTACCTCTGCCCCTTGCAAGGCATCGAGATATGGAAGAAAGATATCCTCAGCCTTGGTTAGGAATTCAGACAGCTTGCCTGGGGTTTGAAGCGCCTCAGCAGCCGACTGCGCCGTTCCGATGTGTGCTCTCAACAGCAGATTGGCGACAGTGACAGTTTGAGCTAGTTCTATTGCCGTAGCGTCGGCCAGAGGTAGAGGCTCAACTATTTCCCTATACACCTTTTTCACTACCTCGGAAAAAATTTCTGAACTCGTATCTGGCGATAGGCACGGAAGGTGATTGTCAATATAGTGTTTGAATGCGGCTTTGGCTTCTGCCAAAATCAAGTCGTTCACCGAATCGTCCTCAGTAGCATGCTCATCCTTGAAGCGAGCGAGCAGATGTTGCCGCCGGCCTCGTAGGATGATCTTGTCGTCGATATCGGTCGTATTCATGACGAACTTCACATGGAAGCCAAAGTAGTCACTCATAATGCGACGTATGATGTCGGTCGAGACGTAATTTTTCGCATGTCCCAAGTGGGCGTCATCGTAGACTGTCGGGCCACATGCGTACCACGTCACTAGCTTCCCATTCGGATCGACTGGGACGAAGTCATCCTTAGTTCTTGTCAGGCTGTTGAATATCTTCAGTCGGGGCAGCCGGATGTCAGGTCGAGCTTGGGGAGCGACCCATGGTGGCTGTTTGCGCCCGTCGGGAGCCATGATATATGCACTCAGCAATCTGAATTGAGATTATTATGTCCGAGAGTATTTGTTTGGAACAGAAGCGCTGTTGGTAATGAAAAAGAGATGGCTCGACCTAGCAGTGTCACAGCACTACTGTTGCCCATTCCCATTTACTTAACCTGTTGGTTCTGGCGATGTGATGCAGTAATGACTCACCCAAGACACCGCCCTCCCTTGCCGGTCTCGGCAAGGCTTCTATTCGGGGTGCGAGGGACAGCAGCCATTCTATTGAGCAGCTTCCCGCAAGTCGGATTTTCGTATATAATATGGCAGGTTCTCGAGATGCAAATAAGTTCAATAGACGACGCATAAGACGCTAAGTCCATGTGATTGTGAAGCACGAATTGAAGTGGTGTTGTTACGACATTCTAGTCTGGTGCAGTGGACCTGCCGGGACATGGGTTATGGCCTTGTGAGACTGCTTGGGACAGGCTGGAGAGTTCCTCGTTTCTCCTTATGTCCATCTCTCTGCAGATATATATTGTATTGTGAAAGTGGAGGTTTTCGTCTTCAGCTCTCATGAAAATGCGCTGTTGGGATACGAAACGCGCGCGCGCAAACATGCTGTAGATAGTGCCAAGAAAGAGGCGGTGCAAAGTGTTAAGCCACTTTGTGGTCTCGGAGTCTCGGAGTAGGAAAGGCATATTTGATCCCGTGAATATGGCTCTATTACTGACTGCCTTCACTTACGAGACAATATGATGAATCCTCTTCCATTTCACTTTCAAGTGTGCTTCATTCATTCATTCAATTTACCCTAACCATTTATTTATAAGACTCTGACATGCAGAACATGGTTTGCCTTGATGACCGAGAGTCTCCCTAGACTATTATTATTAGTTCCAGTCAACCAATCGAACAGAAAGAAAGTGCACGTAGGAGCAGTCTATGGATAGATAAATATTGCAACAAAAACCATGATTTAATATATGCCTAGATCCCTGTATACACGGATCAGTAGCTGCAAGATCTAGTGCTCTTGATCTTAGCCCCTTTTTTTCCTCTAGAACCTGTTCATGAGAGTTTTGAATTTAGACCTGCAACCAAATGTGTACGTCGCTCGCAAATGTTAAATTTTATCATTTCTAGAGAAGTGATCTTGCTTTAGAGACTGCCCTCTTCATTTTCCCTTTTCAGCTAGTATTCTTAATCATAGCTTACTACGCTTTTTCCCCCTTCCCCTGAGGCTTTAAAACGCCACATAATTTCAACGTAGCCCAGCCTAGAAGTGCTTAGTAGAAGATTCAAAACGACGATAGGGCTGGTGAGAATCAGTCTAGTAAGCCTTTCGCTTTATCCGGTGTCTTCAGTGTTTATGGCCATTACGACCAGGTTTATTAGACTTATAGGGCCACTAGTATTCTGTGCAGGTAGGTAAGCCGTTGGTGCTGTTCACAGAGATAAACTTTTGTTCAGTATGATCTTCTACTTACAATTACTACTCATGCCGCTTTCCGAACCACCTATCGCCCGCGCAGATGAACCTTTAATATATTGTTCCGCCCATACTTCAATGATCCTAGTTCGAAGAAAGCACGTGCATAATTATGGCGTAAGTCAAGATACATGGCCAGATTTTATGTTATGCACTTGGATCAGCGCCATGCAATAATCCGATCGTCAACCCTCACCCATTAAGTTGGGTCCGATACCTACTACGTACGGATAGTCTCTACACTGAAAAGTCACTCCTCGCACAATGTACTGTAGAATGTGAACATAATCATTTATGATGTCAACACGGTGACACTCACGGTGAGCCTACATAGGAAGAGATCGCCATGAGGGATGATCTGTAGAGTCTAGAATGCGATATTAATCCCAAAACTCAGCATGGACCTGAAAACTAGCCGCGCTAGATGTAAAGAGATCGTTTCAACGAAGGATCATCGATCGAGTGCGTAACCCACAAGGTGCGGACAAGCAAGAGTCATTGATATACTGACCGGCGGATTCTAAAAAGATGATCTTGTGGATACTGCATCTTAAAATCTCCGTAATGGGTAGAAGTCTCCTTTAGTACTGTTAATTTCCCGGATTGAAACCATACAAGAGGCACATATGACAGCGGAAAAAGGGTCACAAGTGTGCAATGATAGAAACCGGAAGCGGAGCAAAGAGAAAAGGGACATAAGTAACTAATAAACTTAGTTTATTTAAGTTGTATTTAGCGGATGACTATATCAACGAATAAGAATGTTGGCTAAACTTTGCACCACTGCCTCGCCATCAAGGCTATGACGTAGGGTGCACCAGAACAGCAGTCCTACGAGGCGGTATCTACTTTCAGCTGAAGACTAAAGCTGTTAAGCATCTCAAGCGGCTAGTCTAGCATTTAGTGGGTTGCCAAAGATGAGGATCGCCGTCGATCAAGAACGGCACCAGTCGGCTGGGTCCTCTTAGCTTCTTCACGGCATTCTACGCATCTAGCGTCAACGTGGGAGTTCTATATTCTCGACAGGAGATATCGCACCCTGGGCCTCTGGTAGCAGCGAGAGCGTGTATAAAATGTCGTGAGTCCAGCCAATTTGATGAGCCGGTTTTCTTTACCTTCATCTCTCACACACGACGTTCTTTGCAAGTCTTATACCTTATACCTTAATTTTTAACACTCAACTTGAATTCTAAAATCATTCAAAATGAAGGCCGCTTTCTTCACCATCGCCGCGTTCGTCGCCACAGCTTTCGCCGCACCTGCTGGTGTTTCTGATGCTGTCAAGACCGTTGACGACATCGTTTCTACCGACCTCGGCGTCAAGCAAATCACCGATAGCTTGAGTGCTGGTTCCAAGAGCAGCATCACTGACTCTGGAGATGTCGTCCAGGCTCTTGAGGGCCTCTTCAGTGGTATCCAGACCAACACTGGTGCTTTAAGTAAGTTCCCGATTACCCTACATTACTTCTTGTAGCACGGTGGCCAAGTTTCATAGACTAATTCCTCTTCTATCGTAGACTCCACCGTTGCCAGCTTCCAGAAGGGCAAGATCTCTAAGAAAGAGGCTCAGACCTCTGCTCTTGGAGAAGTTGAGAACATGAAATTCAAGCTCTCCGAGATTGTCACCGACCTCACCGGTGCCGCCGGTCTCGTTGTTGCCAAGGGTGACGTCGACAAGGTCCTCAACCTTGTCGTCGCTCTGTTGGCTGAGGTCTTAGCCACCGTTAAGGCTCTTGTCACTATCCTTGGCATTACCCCTCAACTCACCGTCGCTCTCAAGGCCGTTTTCGGTATCGTCGCCAACCTTCTTGTTCTGTTGATCGGCCTCCTTGCTGGTCTTCTCCCCGGCCTTGTCGCTGCCCTGAGCCCCCTCTTGGCTGCTCTCGGCAACGGTCTTCTCGCCCCTCTCCTAACCCCCATTGTTGCCCTTCTTGCTGCTTTGGCCGGACCTGGCCTCGCTTAATTGGGAGCGGTGAAAATGAACATAAAAAACCAATCTATCAGTCGGAAAAGGTGCTTTAAGGAGAGTGGATTGGCTTTAGCTGAAGCACGATAATGTTTGATATCATAATACCTTGGCGTATGGTCTAGAATTTCATGTAGTAATTAAAGATCAGACGTTCAATTCTATGAGTTTTCTCTATTTAGATATGCTCTGCCAGATACTCAAGTACTGCACCCTGCGTCAAATGTCTCCTGCTGTATTGCTGTTATTCAAAATAGAGACCTCTGGCGTGTAATCTTGAAAATTACTTGCTGCATGACCTATCCAGGCGAGGCGATCTGACAAAAAACTGTCACCCCCATAATAATTATACCACCTATGAAGTGTGACAGTTTTTTATCAGACCGCCTCGCCAGGGATAACCCACCTTACTGTATGTAGACTACTTAGAGTAACTATGGCCCTGTTAGTACATAAATTACCTCCCGATGTGGAGATATCTTAGCTTATGCCCTAGTACCTAGCCCATCTACGATTCCTCCTACTTGATCCACTGGCTAGCATGGCTGGTGCATACCGTTACTTATAATGCTTTAGTCTCGACTCCTTTCCGTTCTAGGTTCGTCGATCCGTACTGTAAATCATGTCTTAACCGGGCCCTTTGATTTGAATGCTCAATAAGGTTCTCGATGCCGGGCCACGCTGTTGATCTAGACGATCTCCATCTCAGCGTTTGCCAGAACACACTAAAATAGGTACCACGACTCTGATTATGGGGTTCATCAACTCCAGGATGACTCGAGGTGCCGGAAAATTGGTAGTACTAACAACGTCATATCATGACTCGTATTCAAACCTCCGTTTATGATATCTTCTTGTTGTCTTGGTATATTGTCTACAGGTTATAATGCTCGGCTGCTGCCTTGACAAGAGAAGTCCGTCGGCCAACAAAAGACATTACGCAATACTGAGAATGATGTGAAATGTTGATTGTGCCGCTGTCGAGGAAGTCAACTTGAGAATTTGGGCCGGAGTGGACGAATAGGGGCCTGACAGGGTCTTGTACGGATGGAAGTCGTAGCTTTCGCAGGTGATGATTTCGAGTCTACGGCGTAGAGGCTTTCTAATGTCTGCTGGGGGATGAAGCAAGACTAAACCAATATTATCAATGGTTAACAATTCGTAAGTGGTATAAATCTCTCTTGAGGGTGGCGGAATCGCTACACCGGGACTTGACTTCCAGCCTTTTCCATAGGATGTGAAGCCGCCTCGAACACTACGCGCATTTAGTCCTTTTTTCTTGTGAAACTCAAAGGAGGGGAAAAAAAAAAAAAAAAAAAAAAAAAAAAAAAAAAGAAAAATTTTTTTAGGAAGACAAAAGATTGTTAAAGTATTTTTTGGAAGTGGAGGAAAATTTCATTTGCACCGGGTAAATTAAATTGGGGTTTTGT